AATATTCCCGTATATATTACAAACGTTTGTATAACTTCAGACTGCATTTCCTCTGATATATCTACCTTCACAGACGAATTTACTTGATTTGCCGCTGCTATTTTCAGAAATTTTTTGTTCATAGTCTGTCGGGACTTTAATTCTTACGATCACAACTTTCTCATATCACTTGGCCATGAGAACTTACTCAAATTCAATATTTATCGGGACAAAACACCAGACTTTGTTTTCGTGACATATAAGAGGCGCAGAAAAGAGGCCCGCTGCTGAATTCTGACCATTGTATTATTCGTATCTTACTGAAAGTTTATGATAGGTTTTCGTCCACCTGAAAAATAAAATCTGGAAACGATCCTATTCACATAAAACAACTCTTGCACTAAGATACGTGTCGCATTACAAGGACCTATTCTTTGGTCAAATATCAGATGTTACTGTCCCCAATACCACCTGCTTTCTCAAATTCTGCTTGGAGAGATTATGTCTTATTGAAACTGTGAGGTCTTATGGATCTCTTCTCCACAACTAGGAAAGCTTAGAAGAGAATAAGAGAATCTGCATAAATCTCGCCATAATACTGATATCCGAAGGATGAACTCCCTGATAAATTCTGGAACGCTTTATGCGATATGTATTGAAAATTTTATAATGTATTAGTGCTTATAAAACCTGGAAACATTCCAGTCGACATACAGGCGAAAATTGAATTTCATTTGATGTCTGCTCTGATGTAAATGCCTTAAATCGATCTTTTATAACGCAACAATTATTATTGCACCTGATGTTTCTAACCACGTAGATGATTATCTCCCTGTCCTTAGTGGAAAGGGTGTGTTGTCATGTCCCAAATCCTGAAAGCTATCATTCAATGATGATATACTGTGCCACCCTCTTACACAAATGTTTGATACATCATTTCACAGGGATACGGTATCAGTTGTCTGGGAAGAAATAAAGGTGGTGCCTGTACCAAAAACATTTTCTGGATCGGGTCTTAAATTTAGGCCAACTGCCATCACGTCCCCATTTTTGAGAACTATGGAGAAACTTCTCTTGCAGGTTCTTAAACCTTCTTTGAAGTCCCTTAATGACCCAAAGCAGTTTGCTTACGAATTCAGTAGAAGCACGTTAGATGCCGTCGTTGTTCTTTACCACAATATTGATTCCAGTCTTGACAAAGGTGCAAAGTTTGTTCGAACCTCCTTTTTAGACTACACTGCTGCTTTCGGCTCTATTCTTGGGGCACTTTTACCATGCAAGCTGATTTCAGCAAGCACTGAGTCCTGGGTCACAAGGTGGTTGTCTTCTTATTTTTCGGTTAGAAAAAACATGCTGTTCTAAATAGAAAGCATCCCACTCCATTGCTAACGCAAACTAGTGGGCCTAAATGCACCGCGCTGTCCCCATTCCCTTTTCCTCTCCTTTTGCATGACATTGGATATTCCTCCCAAGCTAACTTCATTAAATTCGCCAACATTCTAAACAATACTGTTACAGTAGTTCCTGCTTTGGATTGTTTTTATATAAATAAATTCTTATCTGAAGTTTACAAATGGTCTGACGTAAACGGTGTTAAACTGGACCCATCTAAATGCCATATTGTTGATTTTAGTTTCAGATAAGAACAAGGCTTGTACAGACAGATTCAATTGCATTAATCCTGTATTACTGACAGCACTGTGATAGGGAGCAAATCGAATATCTCTTATCTTGGCATCACCTTCTGGGCGAACCCCCGTCCGTCGTCTCATATCCTATGGATTTCCAGGAAAATTCCTCACTCGACTTATTACATGAAGTTACTACTTTCTGGCATAACTCAACCCATTCGCTCACACCTTACCAGTTCATGTATTCTACCCACTCTTCATTATCGTTCACCCTTACTCTTCCCTGGACTTCCCAAAATGACCGTCATATTACGTAGAACACTCAAGACTGTAAGTAGGGTTAGTGGTGTGCCTTCGACTCAGCTAACTGACATTATTGACCATAGGCCTTTCAATTTCTTCAGGCACTTGGCTATAGTTGTCATGCCTGATAAGGAAAATCCTCTTTATTTTCAGCTGTTCCCTTGTGTCTTCGGGGGTAAAACCAGAATATGTAAATTTATGTTTATTTGAAAATATAAATTATTATTATATGCTCCTACAACCAAATATAAAAATTCAACCACGACGTATTTATCATGGGTGTTGGATGAAGACTCAGATATCGGCAAATAAGTTATAAACCTTTTAAAGTAGTAACTGAACTGCGAAGTATAGGTGAGGATTATTGTCACATGTACCACCTGTGGTATTATTTATTTGTGATTTGCTGTTTCCCCCAACTTTCAGCTTTGTGGGTTTATTATTACTTTTCTTTTAATTTTTGTATCTAACTATCTGTAATACTAGCCAAACTGCTGCAGCATATATAAAGACGCTGAAAATTCCAATCTGTTTAATTTTTATAGTTTGGAATCAAGCAATTGTCGCCATTATTATCGTCTTGCTAATTAGATAAGATAATTAGAAACTCACAAACTGGTGCCTGATGTTGAAAGTGATGTTCTAATTGAGCAAACGGCACTTAAGAATCATGTCTGTCAAACTCAGGCAACCTAGCTATATTGCTTACTAAGGAACGTATTCTTGCAGAGGTAGAGTTTCAAAAGCAGGATACCCGAGTTGTTAGATATTATAATAAACAAAATAAAACTAAATTATGGACAAAAAATCAGGAAAATACCCAAATAAGTATATGAACTGCAGCTAGTTAGAATCATATAAGATACGCAGTATAAATGCATCGGGCTCAATAATTCAGTAAAGAACTGTCGTAAAAGAATAATTATCTGAGATCTTCCGGAACGTAAATGACAATAACGGTGGCCCATCCGAAAGGGAACTCTCCGGAACTGAGAATACTATTTTGCATATATATATATATAATAACCAGTTCCATTTCAACGTAGGGTGTATCAAAAGATAGACAGGAAGTTGAAGATTTACTGGTCAGCCAAGTATAAACCAATATAGCAGGTTAAATGCACAGCAGTTTGATCAAGTGATTAGCAGTTGGTTACTATCAATACTCTGAAAAAGCCTACAATTAACGTCAGTGTAATATGCATTAAAACGCCTGATCGTATTGCTTCGGTCAACTGTTAACGAGCAAACGTCTAAGATACCACGGGGACTGTATTCTCCAGCGGACAGGAAACTTGTTCAGATAACCAAGTTGATTGAGCGTTCATTCGATGTTCACCATCATTGACAACTGGTACAAAGAAGTTGGACGGCAATTGTTTTTCAAGGTGCATCTAGTAAGGAGTTGGTGTTCAGGTGAGGTAGTGAAAATTGGTCAGGCAGAGAGGTGGCCCCACTTCATTCAAAGCGCGTCAGTAAGGAATGAGTGTTTCACAAGTCACATAGGAGTATGGTGCCTGCCTGGATACTCGTTTGGTTCTTCTGTGTTCCTAGCGAGCTACCGTAGCTTTTGTATAATGTCCTGCGGGGTATTGAAACCCTTCAGCTTACAGTAGCAGAATAAGTACACAAGTCTCAGTTGAAATGTACAGTATTCTTGATGCACGGGACCTGGCGTCTGTCAGTGACATTGGGAACGAAGGTTATTACCATAGTTATTACGGGATTCAGACTTGGGACCATACTGACCTAAACGCAAGCCAAATAGCCAGTTCATTTACGAGGGATCTTTCATCTTCCTACTGATTTTGCACTGGAGATTCCACCGCCTTTTATATCAAATCTCACGAGCCTGGGAGAATACCTATTTGCAGCACATTGTTAATTCACACAGCCCTGCTGAATTAAGAAATATCACAGACACTCAGACGAACTAACCAGTTTTCAACTGATGACGGTGTTTAACATAGTTGCAACTTCCAATTAGTTACGTTATATGTGAATCTGATAAAATTCCGAAGGAGCTGGAGGGCGACAATGATACGTTCACACTGCAACGAGGCCTCAACGGGTTTCTAGCTTAGTCCGAAGAATAATTTCTTCCAGACCAAAGTAGCGAAAGGCGCAGCCATGCGCGATGGGCACGCAAGCATCAGCTTTCACAAACTATAGGGGATAAGACTCCTATCAGCTCTGACTCATATAGATTTAAGTACTATAGTAAGTTACGACTTCAAAACTCCAGCACGTTGTCGCGCGGTGGCTGCACGTGGTTTCACATCATTATGGGCAATTTTCAGGACCTTTACATGGGTCCCTAGAGATATGTTCAACTCTTTACATACATCTCTAACAAGGTCACAACTAGGAAACTGTATCCAGGTAGCCAGCCTTTGTCTTATAGGGGACTCATAAATTCTAAAAAAGGTTCAAAGGAGGACAACATGTATGATTCTTGGCATGACTAATTTATCATACGAGGAGACACTAACCAGTCTAAATCTCTTCTCTGTGTCATACTGCAGGCAGAAAGGAGGTCCAATCACAATGTTTAAAGTTTTAAATAGTGACTACGGACCTGATCTATTCTCTCTCTTCCTTCTCACCAGGTCGGAAAACCTTAGGAAACATAGAAGTAGAGTTCAAAAGTCAAAGAGAAATCATACTGCTCTGGAGTATTGGTTCTTACAACGAGGTATCAAATCCTGTAACCGGCTCCCAGAAGAAGTGGCGTCAGAGCCTTCAATCGATTCATTTAAGAAGGGTTTGGACAAGCACAGAAATTTACTAGAAAGTGATTAATATAGACTTCCAGCCTTCTATTTTTACTCAAAAAATCTGAGTCTGTCTGGCATCATCAAAGCTCAAACATTAGTAAACTCATATGTCCATTGAAACGAATCACTCATCTATAGAATTTTGGGACCTTAAACAGTTTAAACAAAATGGCGAATGCAGAAATTTGTAAGATGATAGAAATGTTCAGATACGTATCAAATAGTAATATGTCAACCGTTGTACATCATAGCATTGAATACAGCAACATTTTTCTTTGAAACCATTCTCACGCTGCTATTACTCCTTGAAGCGCATTTTTAGGATAGCGCGTTACAACTAGTCTGTCTCTTATCAGCACGGTCATCTGTACATGTTGGGATGACTAGGCTTTTGACAGATGAATCTGCTCAGGAAAGGTTCAGATGGATGTGTATTCTAGTCTATGAGGGCTATACTGAAAAAAGGACACTTTCAGCCAAAGAGATTGAGCAACTACTGGAGTTTATATGTGATCTTGAGAATAATCCGTAAATATTGTTTGTTATATGATAATGAGTTTTCAGGAGCGCTTATCATATTGATTCAGAAAATTCAAACAATTTATTGGCATATCTTTTGAGTTCGACTTCGGTTCTGTTCATTACTGAGTTGTCAGGTTTGTTCTTCTGTTTGGTTAATAGTTAATTAACTTAGATTTGCTGCATCTAAATGTCAAGATTCCCGGGACAATATTGGTTCGCTGGATCATCAGACTTTTAGCTGAAGCAAAGGATGATAAGGTGGTGAGTAATGCAGTGAAATAGACAAGCTATGTACTTTAGACCGTAAACGTGTATCTGACTGAACATGTCAGACCATTGTTTATAACTAATAATACTTACAGTACTTTAGACACGTGTTCAGAATATTTTACCAATGCTCGCGCAGTCATTTTATTTATACGCAATCATTTTTACATGCCTCTGATAGAGTATAATCCAGTCATAGGACAATTTCATCATATATTACGTACCTATAAAGTTTCGAGCACACTTCATTGCTCATAAACATATCGAGATACTTACGAAGCTTCGAGACTTTGCTTGTATTATTCTGTTATTTCTTATACTTTGGCCCTACTGAAGGCAGGGGTGGGTCACTGAGTCCTTGTAATATATACGTTGAGGCTAAGTTGTTCGAGGGGTTTCTAGATACTTCTCTCCACAACAGATGCTGTTGCTATACACAATAAAAAAACCCTAAAGTATATGTACAGAGGGAGTCTATCTATTCCGGTTTACTACTGTGGACTTATTTATATAATAACGTGGTATGTAATCTATATTCATTCGTTTTTCTTTCCTTTCAAACTGCTAACTTTAAAATTAACTTCATACATCTTCTGAATCTCTTACACTGAGACCTTGCAGTTTTGAGTGATAATTATTCCAGAATGATATCAATTTAGACTGTATAAAACTACTAAGTTACGCAATTTCTTCATTATTATTCCTGATGTGTACTTTCGTATGTTATCAACTGGTACTAATGACTGACCTTTATAGACATTTTCATTATCTTTTAGAACACCATATAACTATACAGCTGTGAAGTTAAGTTACGAAAACAAAATTCTTTGCAGACCTATTTTTTATTTGAATCCTTACTTATAGAATCTACATATGTCAAGATTAAGTTGTCTACTGGGCACTTGATTCGTCTCTTTAAGTTGTCTTTTTAACCCACCAAGTGATTCAACTAAGTGCGCATTTTAACTCAAGCTGGTTGTATATGAAAACCATTTCATTGATGTAGTACTATTACTTGCATATACAGAGTGGTAAGTAGTGCTCTGTTGGATAAAATTGAGGCACGATACTTAATTATGACGATTCAAATTGTCATTCACATGTAGATCGCTAAGATGGTCGGTGTGAATTGGTCTTTTAAACCCCCATGTTCAGAGAGGGGCTTCCAACTGTAATCACCTAGTCTGAAATTTGGTACTTAAGCAGGTAGCGTAAGATTCCAACGGTAAGAGTAAATATTAGTGACATGTTGAGTCTGAATTATTTGTATTCCTTCAACCCTGAACATCAGCCTCTAAAGGTGATCTGTAATTTTTTTGTCCTCCAACATATCAATAGTGATTAGATTGCCAACTAAAGATGTACAAGAACGGTTTATTTAATTTCTCCCTATTAGATTTTCAGTTGAAATTTGTCACTGAAATAGATGAATTTGTGTTTAAGGATCATGCATCTTATTAGCAGAAGTATAAAGTAATACATGTGGGTTGTTTGTCCATTTAACATTCACCAGTAGTAAACCACCTTATACCTACTAAATCTTAACGCACTTATTGCCAGTTTCTCTAATTCAAATATTTTTTTGCTTTCAGGAATGCTTCTCAAATATATTGTGTTCTTTATTGTGTTTGGAACCTCCGTTGGCGCACTGGTTCGAACCAGGTGACTTAATCCTGGAATCTGACTACCAGTTGCTCACAAGCTGGAAGGACGCTATGTCAGACAAGAAAGGAAGTCCTAAGGGAACTAAATTCCTGTTGCGATATCGAGAATCGTCTTTGGCTAATGAGTTGTGGAATGAAATGACTCAAAATATGGTAATTCAAAAACTTAGCACTATTAAGATCAGATAACATAGAGTTGGTGTCATTGTATTTTTCAATCTTTGTCAAATAATTCCCCTACATTTATTATATTTTCTTTGACTATGTCAATGGTTTGCATCAGTTGCGCAAAACTTTACGCTAGCGTTTTTAACACTCAAATTCCCATTAGTAGGTTGGAATTCACTTAATTAATTTTGTTATGAATAGGCAGATGGCTTCTTTAGTATGTGTGATTGAGAAATTAACATTTGGGTCCACTTGTTTGTATGGATTGCATTTTATTTTACACCACCTATCCATCATACTCAAGTTTCTGGTTATATAATTCTGGACTATACATAAGTGCTGGTGTATAAGTTCTGTATTCTGTATGGAAGCGGGCAAACTGAGTATTACAAACCAAAAATTTGTTTGCTTTTATCATGCACATGGTGACTGACTTCCATTTGACTCAACTAATACCGTTTGAAAGGTCACCCCCGTATATACTCTGGAGTTCAGGTGGTTGAAAATGTGTAGTTTTGTTAAACTTTTATACTCTGCATTTTCGAAGCCAACTGTGATAGTTGTGATTTCAAGTAATTCTGTTCGTTTAGTAGATGTTTTCCGAATAAATGGTAAAACAGCTGTGCATATATCCATTTGATATGTAACCTTATCGGGAAATATTATTCAGGTGCTTGTTTCTGTGAGGATTTAGGACACTGACATTTCTTAATACATCAGGTATCCAGCTACGTTTTTCTTCTAACGATTTTGAATTAATCGAATCTAGGAAACGTAAGTGGGACTGCGGTTTTAATTGGTATGTTTCTCTTACATAAGTGATGTCCAGTTTTGAAAGAAAATGCTCGGTGACTAGAGTGGTTGAGGAAACATGACCAATTTTCATGCGTTACTGTAACTCATTAGTTGTCCGAGTCTCTACGATACGGCCCAAAACTGTTTCCAATGACGCAAGTGTATCCACCTGCTGTCAAGTGAAATGGGAGTGGTTCGAATGCTTATTTGCTGGTTCTTCGCCCTCATTTAAACGTCAGACTACCGTGAGGGTTTTACGGAGTTATTCAAGTTTCTGTCTTATTCGAATTCAATTGAATGCAACTTGGCAACAATACCAAGGGATTTTGTATAAAGTTAACATATAAGATCCTGTATTTCTCCTCGATTAATCGGGTCTTGTTAGATGTAGTACTTTTAAGCTTATTTTCACGTGTTTATTTGTCAATAATCCACAGTTTGATTGATTTCTACGTGATAGCTTATTTTAAGTCATGTCTTCGTAATAAATACTCAGTTTTTCAATCAAATAAGTTTAAATGGCGTGTAAGGATTGGTAAAATAGTTGATTGTAACGACAAAATACTGACATCAGTAGTATAAACACACCGTATTCGTCATGATTCTGCATTGTTCATAATTTTCGATCCCTTCGATTAGCTCAAAACTTGGAATTGTCGTAATTTTATGGTGTAATTCAGTGACATAAAGAGAATTTATACCGCGTTAGCATTTGGTATTGCTTCATTAACTCATGTAGCTTAAATGAATTTATAATATCGTGTTATGAATTGAAAAGAATTTTCATATACTTCTCTTTATCATTAATTCAGAATCAAATTAAAGGGTGTTCTGATCCTTGTGCTGTTACTACGCGCAATGAATTAGCCATTTGTTGTGTTCAGACGTTTTGGAATTGTAATGCCTGGCAACATGTATTCAACAAATTGAATTCAATATTGCCAATTTTAATCAGGTAATTTTAACATTTGGTTATTCGTTTATACTGCACTAATAGTATTAGTTGTTAGACTTATTAACGAAATCTACATTGAGCCTATGTGGCTCAAATTTTCTATCTGCCGGCATTTGTTTGCAAAGTTATGAAAACTTGTACTGTTTCATGTTGATTGCTTCCACTGGTTATCTACTCCTTTCAGTAAAAAAAAATCAGTACAGCTATGTGAATGAATTCGCCGAAAAGAGTCTCTTCGCTGAATGTCTTCTCTTTTTCATATGACTCAATGGGGATTTTCAATCTACTAAAAAAAAAAATCTATTTGCTGACTCGGTTTCTAGTAAATATCAGTTTAAGTGTTTGTCAAAATTATGGCCTACTACTATTTCTCTTCAGATACCTTGCACAGAGCATGATTCAGAATGTTAACCGGTCTATTGTTTCTTGTATTTTACAATCTAGTAGTCAATCCATTTCTCGGATTTTCTGTAAACCTCTTTTTTATCTTTGCATTTCAGCGATAATGTAGACCACGTTCGTGAACGATTGAAAACGGTTCTTTCACTGTCACGCCTATTTTTGGTTGCTGTCCTTCAGATACCATACATACAGTTAACAAACATGATAGCCAAAAGTAATGAACTGTTGTCTCGTGATGGCAATACATCCCAGCAACAATTATCCGTTTCTATCCCTGGGAAGATAATTATTCAGTGGATTGAATTGATTTCCAAAATAGTTCAATCTGGTTGTCTGTGGTTCGCAAACTATATTGTTCACAGAGATTTGGATGATTCCATGATGGATTTAAAGAAGTCATTAAGTGCAATCGTGTTTGATTTGGTAGGTTATGCTCTTTAACTACTGTTATCAAGTTTGGAGGGCTTGTGTTTTTAATAATTTCTGAATCCTCAACTGTAGTCTCTCAGTCATTTTGAGTCAATATGTTTTAGAATATATTGAAGACAGTTCACTGTTTCACTTATGATAATGTTTTTTAGGTATCAGGTAACATAGTGGCTCTTATTTCCTGTGTACGAAAATTCTGACGTCACTGACAAACAGTCATGACTACTAATACACATAGAAAGTTCATTTGGTGTAAACTGAATCACATTAGTTGCTGAATTATTGTGCTTCATCAAAGAGTAGGTGTATAATGCACCAGTCCGCTATTTATTTTGCGTAGGACTGCATTAGAAACGAATAAAAAAGAAGATCGTAGGACTGTGATTACTGATTTATGTCTAGATTTTTTTAGCAAAGCCATCGATTGCTCTTTTTTTTTAGAAATAATGCATAAAACTTTAGAAATGGAAGTTTAGTCAATCGAGGTAATGTATTTGCAGCAGGTGAAGTGTTTAGTATGTATCCAGCGATTATCTGTTTGTATAAAGTCATAAATGTATAGTTTTTTGTTTTACTCCTTTACGTACGTTCAAACTAGATCTTTGAAGTTTAGGCAGCAATGGTTTTCTTAAATTTTTACTTGCCAGTCTCCCGCCTAACCTTCGCTCTTTACCGGCGTTACCACCGGCTTAGCGAGATTTAGGAGTGCTTCGGTTGGGGATAGCACCCCAGATCACGTGCGTGGTTGGTAAGCTTTCTACTACTGAACCATCGACGCAAAAATGTGTAGTGATAGCCTCGAATATTTTATTGTCGTCAAAATATGATACTAACTGTCGAATTCTATGGACATTTAGTTTTAAGACAATGTTAACTTCTGGATTACGAATTGGTTTGGTTTCATAAGTTGAAGAAGTGAATTACTATTCGCTTATTTAATCAAACAGCAATATATTCATAATAATAATAGTAATAATCTGCTTTATTCTGAAAACAGTACTTATAATACAGAATGGAATTCTCAACATTTGTTACAATATTGCATGTAATTTGGTTGCTACATCACTAGCATCAATTTTACAACGGTCATAGGAATTAACAACACTTAACTTTCTTTTGCATCGGAAACTGAAATTAACAGTCTAACATTTGGAAGGATTTAGTTTTAAACCATTAGACAAAAAACCATTTGCTGACTCCTGATGGAAAGCTGTTCATCTTAGTACAGTCTAGCTGGGAGTTAACATGCACTGAAACAGTTCGATCGTCCGCCTACCTAACAAAGTTCACTTCATCAGAGTGGGGTAAGTTATGCAATAAGAAAGAAAACAGAAAAGGAGAAAGAACCAGAGCCTTGAGGGACACCAGCCTCAGTAAGCAATGAAGTGGGCGACTTCCCCTAACATACAGTGTACTTCTTTCTTCCTGAGAGATAAGAATGCATCCACTTAACAACCCAAAAGTCAGTTTGAGTTTCAGCAGGCCTTTTTAACAAAATATCCACAGGTACTCAGTCGAAAGTAGATGTGTAATCTAGGAAGGTGCAGCAAACAAATTTAGCCCCCTTATCTAAAATGGAGACAATTTTATGATGCAAGACTGCAGCTGCATCTGAAGTACCTCTGCAATGTTTGTAGGCGACTTGTTTGGGATTTTTAAAGGCTTTAAGTGAAGGTTTAAGATTAAGTAAGAGCAACTTTTCCATAGTTTTTAGAATACGAGAGGTAATAGCAATGTGTCTAAATTTAATACTTGTTCCAGTAGATGACTTAGGTATAGGTACAATTTTAATATCCTTCCAAATGGGTTTGCACGACATTTCTGGAAAAAGACTCATTAAATATGTAAGTGAGAGGATCACATAAGATATCTGCACATTTTTTAAGATTAATGCTAGGCACACCATCTGGATGTAGGTTTAATGAAGGGTTCAGCTCTTGGAGACATTTTAGAACGTCATTTGTATTCAAACCAGGAAAGAAGCTTTCATTAATACTTGTGACACTAGAAAGTTTGACATTTGTGGGAGAATGTATGAAAGACTTGTTTAGGGTACACACATCAAGTGAACAAGGAATACTGTTTATCTGTTTACCATCAGTAATTTCTTTGGAAAGTTTCCACATATTAGAGGCATTTTTACAGGATATGAACTTCTGGTTAGGTATTGAATTCGACCTCTGCATTTCAGACTTGATTAAGATGTTAATTCTTCTCACACCAATGTCATTCTTCAGTTCATGTAACTTTCCCTTTTTCTTGCGAAGCTTTTTAAGTTGAATGGGAGAGAAACGGTCAAATCTGATGAAGAGCGTTTCTCTGGGACAACAGGTGTCGAGACAAAATTTGAGATCACATGTAATATTTGGGATAGTGTTATCAAGAGAGTGTTCATTAAACAAGCCCCACCTTATGTCTTTGAGCATGCTCCTCAGATTCTAGACATTCTCCTTAGAGTAACATTTGTACATAATTTTCTTGGGCAGGTGTGAAAAGGTTCTCTTGTGTAACTTTTCATACATTTTGGATAAAACTCGTGCAATACAATGATCGGAGTTAAACAGTGGGGCTCTTTTACGAGCTTCATATATTCATTTATAAATACAAGATCAAGTGAAGTATCCAGTCGGTTGGGAAAGTTAACAACATTTTCATAACCTAGCACTGTAAGAAAACTGCAGTCACAAGAATTAAAATCGCCTGTCACTATGGACAGTGAGTTACCAAAAGAGACGGTAGCAAAGACAGTGAGTTTATCAGCAAACATGGATAGTTCTGAGAGACTAAAACAAAGTGTGACATAAATGTTCGTGATAAAAATGAAGTTGTACTTAGACAGGTGTTTAGGACGACATGTTATTTTTCTCTCATTCCCTTGCGTTTCAATTGGAATATAGGACTTCAGACTTGAGATTTGAAATTCCAATAGTATTGGTGTTTTACTTACGGGGTTGGGTTACTTAACATCATGCCCAACCTTATCTCTCTCTACCAGGTTCTTACTACCTGCCAAACGAGGTGTAGAGGAGTTCGTCAATATAATTCATTGATTTTTTGTTGTTGTTGAATGGGTAGAACTGTTATAAAGACTCGCAAATAATGGTGGCAATAGAAGTCTTTTGATAAGGAGAGAATAAAGTTCTTCTTACATACAACACTACGATTCGGTTCATGATTTCCAAGACGCAAGAATTTTTTGTATGCTATATGTTTGTGAATTATCCATCTAGAGTAGTTTGTTTGCATATCTTTTCTCATTCAACCACAAGCATACACTTTTAGCTGACAGAATTTCTTTTACATCAATCTTTTTACAGACTCATCTTTATCAGGAACATTTGGGTCGATTGTTCACCTGTCATGTAAGTATATCTTGTATCTTGTATGATTATATGCATTTCAAACTCATTTGCTTTTATAACAACATTCTAGAAATGTCTAGTGTGTGGACAGCTGCCTATCGGCGTATTAAAAAGCCTAATCTGTGTTACTTTTATACTCAGAGAATTGAATAAGTTGTTGAGAGGTATTTCAAGTCATGACTTGAATCTCTGTGAGAATCACAGCGGAGAGAACAGTCGCGCAGTGCATTAGGTAGTATTACCCAATAAGTAAAATATTTTCGTTGGTGTACTTACCTATCAAATTTTTAAACAAAATAAAACCATATTCGTATTTAATGCTTTTTCTCAATGAACCACTGGTTTAAATCTATTGAGAAAAAGCAACAGATTGAACAAAGAAATATGCATTCCTCTTCAATTAATTTCTCGTTATCGGCTGGCTCTACACTAATATATAGTTTTTTTTTCCTTCAAAATGTTTTACCAATCAAGTGGTTAATTTAATTAATCAGTTTTATGTATACGCGGAGGAGAAATTAAGAGGTTAAAGGTCATCAAAACAAATAACTAATAGATATTAGTAAGAAGATATCTAAGTTTTGAAGGAAGGGTGAAAATTAATTACAGAATTCAAGATAAGTTGATTCTTAGGCGTTGGCAACAAGTTATTACATAATCGAGAAATCTGAAGAATAGCAATGATGTTTATAAGAATAGAATGACTAAGAAGAGTTAATTTTTACAATTCTAGCTAATTCTCCTAACCTGTTTGTACGTTACGTAACTTTTCTGAGTCATTCTATTCTTATAAACATCATTGCTATTCTTCAGATTTCTTGATTATGTAATAACTTGTTACCAACGCCTAAGAATCAACCTATCTTGAATTCCGTAATTAATTTTCACCCCTCCTTCAAAACTTAGATATCTTATTACTAACATCTATTAGTTATTTGTTTTGATGACCTTTAACCTCTTAATTTCTCCTCCGCGTATACCTAAAACTGATTAACTAAAATAACCACTTGATTGGTAAAACACTTTGATGTAAAAAGACTATGTATTAGTGTAGAGCCAGCCGATGATGAGCAATTAATTGAAGAGGAATCCATATTTCTTTGTTCACCCTGTTGTTTTTCTAAATGCGTAAATGGAAATTCGGAAATTACTTAAACCTATTTGACTAGGTTTTAGTCAGGTGAAAAGTGTGGTCTAGCAGCAGTGACTCATTTAGTAGAAAGTATTCATACAATAATGTATATATATACATATACATATATTCTATCCGTTAATAGGAAATAGTAGTCTGTTCACTTTGTAGTATCAGTATATGTATAGACTTTCAAATATATAACACCCATCTGGATGAGTGTTACAAATAAAAAATTCTTGTATATGTCCACGATATTATCTGTTTCATAAAGCTTTCGTTTAACTTACGATGGTGATAATCACATCAGATTGGTTACAGGATTTCATCATGAGCTGACATTAGTTAGAGAACCATTGGAAAACCTAGGAGTACTGGACAGCTGTTTCATCCTAGTTTGGGACTCTTCATCAGTACGCATCCACTGGAGTTTGAACCCAGGACCTTCTGGTTACAAGGCGAGCTCGTATACCATTAAGCCACTGGGACCCGATCCAATGGCCAGTGCATGAATTCTAACTTCTGCCAATTCACGACATAGCGCGACCGTTAGCCAATGTATTCGGTGAGTATTTGTCCTCACGCCCGACCTGTGACCGTCGTGACCAGTAGGGTGCAGTAGGTCGGGCGTGAGGACAAATACTCGCCGAAGACATTGGCTAGCGGTTGCGCTATGTCGTGAATTGGTAGAAGTTAGAATTCACGGGCCATTAGATTGGGTCCCAGTGGCTTAATGGTATACGAGGTCGCCTTATAACCAGAAGGTCCTGGGTTCGAATCCCGGTGGGTGCGTACTGATGAAGAGTCCCAAACTAGGACGAAAGGACTGTCCAGTACTCCCAGGTTTTCCAATGGTTCTCTAACTAATGTCAGCTCATGATGAAATCCTGTAACCAATCCATAAAATCCCTACAAACCAACACTTGAATCACATAAGAGTTTACATCAATGACTACTGAGTATACGCATAAAGTGATATAAGACATTTTTCATTATGCATTTCTTTAATTGATGTTTTGTGTATTCTCTAGAGAGGGGTTGTGCAGGTAAACTGATTAAAATGGATATGAGACGTGTTGCGTTTGCCGATCCACCGCCTTCTTCAACGGACAATGCTAGTTGACATAAGATTAGGCTGGGAAACATTTAGAGGCTGGTCAAACCAAAACCTGACATCAGTCCATGAAATCTTTGACAGTTAATTTGAGCAACGTAAGGAGGTATAGACAGTCTGTTTGGGGATCCTTGGGGTGCAGTGACTGGAGACTATTGATGATATGGCTCAAAATCGTTCTCAATGGCTGGCACAGCTGCATTCACTGTCTATCATCCTCATAGTTATTTTGAATCTCTTTTTTTTTCTCTTTTGTCTACTTTTGTGCGCTGGACAGAATGCGGCAATTTGAACTGCTGCACTTCTGTGCAAAGTTCTGTGTTGAAACTCAGTCAGCCTATACTCTAGAGATGTCTCATAGCGATATCCAGTTAATGTATTTGTCAGTGTTAGTTTCCACTTCTTTGTCTGTAGAAGACTGAAGAGATGCTGACTTTGGTGGTATTTTCTCAGGATATATTTTAAATTATTAAATAAATTTTTAGGCTGTTTAGTGTCGGTGGCATAGCGGTTAAGACACTCGCCGACCATACACATGGTCCGGGGTTCGATCCCCGGCCGACGCACTCCTTTACCTCCCTAAGCCAGAAATAATGCTGGCGAAGAGGAAAGGTTGGGCATGAGGCTAGCAACCCCATCCTGTAAAATAAACACTGCTACAGAAACTTCAAGCCACAAGCTTGAAGCCCTATGTTCCACTGGGAACGTGAAGGATAAATAATAATAATATAGTGTTAGTAAGATATGATGAGTAGCTTTGTTGAGGAGTTATGCATTTCATCCTTTCCCCACTTCAAAGTCATCTTAGGGGAATAATTTACAATAAGCAACTTACTTATTCTTCGAAGGCTGAAATTCAATAGGACAATTGAAAAAAGTATCATGGCTCGGAATCGACCTCAGATCTTATAATGTAGATGTGTGTATCATATGGCCTTCATCTTAGCGGCTATGTTCGTCTTTCTGTTTATCGTCTTCTTTAATTATTTGAAGATCTAAGGTTTTAGCTTGAATTGTCACATAATTACGTCAGTCTCAGTGTGACGACAGAAGACAAGGGCCAGGCAACAGATGGTTTGTAGAGAAAATCAAGAGATATTTATAGATTTTTATGTACATTATTATTAGCGTTATTGTTAGGAGAGAAGCAACGTCTTCTGATTGGTTGTTTTCTGGTGAAGGTTATTCTGCACTGATTATGACCGTTTCTTAGAAAGTTAAGCCATACATCTGCGAATCGTATTTACATACGTTAAGTCTGCTGTGACTGGTTGGTGAGTTCCTCAAGGTTAAGCTTTGTTACTGTTTTTTCTCATGACCCCGACTCGGGACGTAAACATTGATGTAAACTGTTGTCTATAATTTTGGCATTCAGACAGCTCTCACCACACCGGTACTGAGGATACTTGTCTTTCTGTGACCTCAGTTTGTCAGACTGGTTTGTATTAAGTTTATAACCACTGAATTACTTGCTCACAGCTTGTCTGATCTGTGCGGTGAACTACACGAGACGTAGTTGATTATCCGACATTATTTCTAATCTCTTTTACTCTTATAAGTATAAAACTTGGGCACTGTGGTAGAGTGTAACTCCATAATGGATAAGATTTTATTTTGATAAATCACACAGTGTTGTACAGTTAAATTAACTGATTAAATCTTTTACTCTTAGTTTGTTAGCTTTACTTGCCAACTATCTGATTGTTTTTTCTGAATTTCATTCCTCTCTTTTTTAATTTCTGTTAAAAAAAAGGTGGACTCAAAAATCTTGGAAATGATAAGAAGTTTGAATTTCGGGAGTGGTTTAGCAATACTCAATTTTCTCGCCACATCTTTACCTAACATTATACCAGCTAATCAATCAGATCTGTTATGTTTAATTGAATCATTAAACAAATGGGCTTACCAGCTGAATTTAGTGCCAGTTAACTCGTGTTTATTGAGATATTTTTCACGACTGTTCAACTTGAGTTTGGAACTATTGGCTTCCGATGATTCAGAATATTATAGAAATGGGTCAGATTTTTTTCTAACTATGAGTGCTGATATTCAGTCTTCCTCTTCACTATCAGATGAATCGAATTTAACGTATGAAAGTATTGTGAATCGATTAAACCAAAAGTTTGATCCGGATAGTAAGTTCGTGTATGAAGTATACTGATTGTTTGTTGTTGCTGCTGTTGCTATTTGTGTATGTATTTTACTATACCTCTTTTAAGCTTTCGTGAACGTAAATCTTTTTCGGTACAGTTTCAACCATTGTTGTTGTTTAGATTGTGGGTTTTTGTAGGTTCCCAGGTCTCGGTTGGAGTTGTGGATGTGCACTGCTGAAGGGTCCCAGACCAGGATGAAACAGTTGTACAGTGCTCTCTGGTTTTCAATGATCTTGTTTCATGGTGAAACCTACATTGAAGCTTGTTATTGTTAATCAACTTCGATAAATTAAAGTTTGATTGTATTGTATCGCTACCTCTGAATATTTAATCAGTTTGCCAAGTCTTATCTGAAGTCAAAGAAGCTGTGTAATAAATATGTTTAATGAACGTTTGCTGTAATGTCAAGTATTTGAATCTATGGGAGATAAACTGTTTCCTTTCATTGCCTAGTAGGCGTCTAGCATTGGAAGTTTTACCGTCCTATTTGTGATGGCAATTAGAATCCAGCTACTAATATTTGTCAACTTGACATTATTTGAAGATGAAGTTTTTGGAAATGATTAATAGAGCCATCCACTTCGAATGATTTAACTGTGAGATTTATGCAACTAGGTAGTGGTTTGTAGACTGGTCGTAGATGACGAAAGCGTATGCTGCTGAAAATCCAAGAAATAGTAAAAAGGTATCACTGTCTTTCTTTCACCTTTTCGTGGTTGTTAAACTGATAGTAGCCCTTCACCGAATTTGACCACGGATTGATATCAGTTAGAGAACCATTGAAAACCTTCAGGGAGTACTGAACGGCTGTTTCGTCCTGGTTTGGGACTCATCGTTAGTACACAGCTTGTAATAAAAACTGTTTTCACATTATATATGATGATTATCGAAATCATCGATCTCAGATATTCCACAATGTGAAGCCATGGTTTATTATCATTCTCATTTTACTTTTTCCTTTCATCTGACTTGCAGATTTTCTTGATCAGTCAAAACAACCTACACTTTTATCGCGTTTATTTATCTTATGTGGAAATCATTTCCATGTCGATTTAATGCGTATTCTAACTGAAATGTTTAATGTGGTAAGTACTTTTGTTTAATGGGTAATTTATGCAAATATGGTTTTACATACATATGCACATTGTTTTATAGGCGCGATTTTATGTACCTTGTAAATCATGCAACTTTGTCGTTTCAATTTGTTTGTTCTTTTTCAATTGATTGCGATATATATATATATATATATATTGAGAGAGGAAACTTAGTATCATCGGTCCTTGAGTTAAACGTTAATTTATAACTTTATATTTTTGTTTTCAAGTATCGGTTTTGTAGGAATTTTTGTTTGATTGGTTAGAGGATTTCATCATGAGCTGATATCAGTTAGAGAACCACTGGAAAACCTGGGAGTACTGGACAGCTGTTTCGTCCTAGTTTGGGACTCCTCAGCAGTACGTACCCACCGGGGTTCGAACCCAGGACCTTCTGGTTACAAGGCGAGCTCGTATACCATTAAGCCACTGGGACCCGATCCAATGGCCAGTGCATGAATTCTAACTTCTGCCAATTCACGATATATCGCGACCATTTCGCAATGTCTTCTTCGATGAGTTACTGCCTCATCTTTGACCTGCTGTACCCTACTGGTCACGGCTTATTTTGTGTTGACTTGAGTACATTGGTATCGGTCGGAAACTCTGTTCCACTTTCTTTAGCTTAAGCATTCAGACAATACAGTCACCTTTCACACAGTCTGTTTTACAGAGTACATTCATTCGGTATCTGATTTGTGTTCAAATCAAAGTTCATTGCCTTATAAGTCTGTGAGATCTATGAGCCCATATTTGTTTTCTTGTCTGCTTTATTTATTTATTTCTATGTTCCTTTACGTTGCCAGTGGAACATCGGGCCTCAAGCCTCTAGTTTGAAGTTTCGGTAGCAATGGTGTTTATTTTTACTGGATTGGGTTGCTAACCTCATGCTCAACCTTCTCTCTTTACCATTCTTATTACTGACTTAGTAAGGTGAAAGAGTGCGTCGGCTGGGGATGGAACCCCGGACCACATGCGTGGTTGGTGAGCGTTCTACTGCTGTGCCACCGACTCTATTTTCTGCTTATAACCTACTAATTCAGCCAAATTACATTAAAACCTAAACTCCTAATGAATCTAACAGAATTTCTGCTGGAAATAATCTTTTTTCTCCCCATTGTATTTCTGGCTCCGGACAACGTAGTATATGACTGTAAATCATTGTTGAGTAGTTTGTTAATGTTCCTTTGATTTATTACTCCATTTTGATTACTTTTACAGATTCAAGAAGTATCCCGACGATCTTATGACGACTTGCAAATTGATGTAAGTTTTCCTGAATATATTTCTATAGTTTATCATGTTCGCTTCTTTTATCCTTACGGTTTGCACAGGGCAATAATTTGTGACATGTGTCTCCATAATACTCAGCGGTGTTTTGAGCATTGGATTTTCTTTTGAAATTGTATAAAGGATACTCGTAACTCTGGATGTGAATGTTTGTTTCTAGTTGAAACATTTTCTTAAGGGAAATATTTATCTCTTTATTGTCGTGTATGTGTTTTTTTCCCCATGTCAATAATACCAACAGAATTATTTACTAGAACTTAAGTAAGTGTCTTTGCATACTAACAGGCTTTTCGTGAAGCATCTTCTGACTTCCCCCCTGGGTTCCAAGTGGAACATAGGGTTTCAGCAGTTCATTTCTATGCGATCCTCTTCATCTGGCCTCATGATTGCCCATAAGTTTTCATCTCCTCCTCATACAATATCCTCCATGTCATCCTTGGACACACGTTCAACTCGTCGTTTACCACTTGGGTTTCACTCAAGCTCCCGGCTCGTGATATCACGCAACAGTCTTCTCAGCTTGTATCTAACCCATCTCCATTTTCTTCTACATATTTGTTAAGCAGTAGGCTCTTGACTGATTTGTTCCCAGGGTTTCTTGTTGCTAATTGTTTCTGGCGATTTAGTCTTCAATACGGAGAAAAGGCAACTGTTGATAAAAGTTTGTAACATGCTGGAAATGCTTTTCGTGACGCACCAAATTTCCGACCTATATAGAAGACCTGACATAACCTTGATGTCGAAAATCGGAATTTTGTTGTTTATACTGAATGCAGAAGATTTCCAAACTGAAATCAGGGTGATGGAGGTTAGCCTTACCTTTCCGATTCTGGTTTCGACATCCTCATTCGTGTCGTCTGCCTGTAGTTGGAACAATACTTCCTAGATGAGTGAAGGAAGTTAACTCTTTCAATTTATTCCGTTGATATTATTATGTGCTTGCTGCTGTTGGTTGGTTGGCTATCTTTATCGACTTCGTCTTCTCTCTGTTCACTTGAAGTTCTGTCATTTCTGCTTCCTCTGCCAATTTGTTGGTTTTCGCCTGTAAGCCTTCGAGATTGTGTGACATTAGACGTAAATCGTCAAAGAAGTTCAGATATTCTAGAGTCTTCTTATCGGTCTAACGTATTCTTATTTTCTTGCGTCCCGCAGACTCACGCATAATCCAGTCCACCGCAATTAGGAATATCATCGGTGATAATAGACAGCCTTTTCTTACTCCTGTCCTCATTTCAAACGCTTCGCTGTTTAGGATCACTTGACATGTGGTATTGTCATGTATCTGTTGAATAAGGTTGATCGAGATTTGAGGCGCTCCATAATGTAGTTTCCAAACTACTTCTCAATCAATTCTATCGAAGGTTTTTTCGAGATCGATGAAGTTGAGGTAGGGATTTGATTGCCATTCTATGCTCTGTTTTATGATGTGCATTGAGTTGCGATTTGGTCCCCACATGAATTTTTATCCTGAGTCCACCTTGTTCCAGTCGGAGTTATGCGCCCGATGCACTTTTTATCCTCTCCAGGATAACGCGACTTAGTAATTCACTTATCGTGGGCAAGAGGATATCTCCGCGTCAGTTTTTGCAGAGACATATGTCGCCATTCTTTGGTAGTTTAACAATATAGCCTTTCTTCCAGTGAGTAGGTTCCTTCCTTTCATTCCAAACATTTCGCACTAATGGCGTGAGCATATCTACTGCTTCCGAAGGAATTCCATTTGGTCCCACTGCCTTCCCGGCTGACCTTTACTAGCTAGACTGCATGCAAGACTTCTACTTTTGTTGGAGAGTTGGTGTTTTGTCAACTGGCAATTCAGTGCTTGCTGTTGGTGGTATTTCTGGACGATTTGCAGGTGATGGGCGATTCAAGAGTTCTTTGTAGTGGCTAATCCATTGTTTTATTTTATCTCTTCTCTTTGGTAATTAGATTCCCTTGACCATCCTTTATTGGTTTCATCTGTGTTGATCTCTTCTCAGATAGACACTTAATTATTTGATAGGATATTCTGAGGTCTCGTGTACTTGTGGCTTGTTATAATTCAGTTCTTAGTGTGTCGTATAACTGGCTTTTGTCTTTCATAGTACTCTTCTTCACTTTTGTGAAGCATCTTAATCTTCTTTATCCAATATCTGTGCAAGTTAATAGATGGTAACAAATGCAAGAACTTATCTGACTTTTTATGATGTTAATGTTCATTATTCTTATTTAATACTGATTTTTATATATAAACTGTGAGAATACTTAATGGCAGAAAACATAGTTATCCCAATGTTTTGTTATATTGTTCCAAACCAACAGCTACTCAAGTACTTCTTGGATTGTACAAAAAATGGTTTACACTTTCTAAATGATCTGTTATCAGCTCGATCAAATCTTTTGAAATATCATTCGCCAGCTGATTCAATGCATATTGGAGGAGAGGTTGGTTTTAATGTATAAAATTCTTTTTTTTTTTAATACATACATTCATTTGGATGTAGATTTCATTTATCGTAAATGTCTAAGTAATTCCTCACTATTCTGTTTCATTAGGTGGTATACAGCTGTCAATTATCGTTTTTTGATTTATATTCGAATGGTTTTAAAATATGTGTCATAAGATTTGTGCGTTGGTAGTTCCACGGAAGAAGGAATGTTCGCCAAATCACACATTTGGTCCAGGTTTGATTCCCGGCAGACGCGCCCCTAAACTGTGAGAAGGTCGGAATTAGGCCTAGCGACCTCTTCCGTAAAAATAAAACATCGTAACTTATGTTTCAAAACTTGAATCCCCAAGTGTTACTGGATACACAAGGAATGAAAAAAAGAGTTAGAAAGGGTGAAAAATGCCTCTTTTTATTCTGTTACTTCATTTTCCGCCTTATTAAAGACCTACCCCTATGATATAAATCAAGTAACTATTTTCAGAATCAATAAAGGTTGGTTGGTCGGTTTTCGACATAGAACTTTGCACCGATGTGCAGCAGTTCAAGTCGCCACACTCCCTCTTTGTAGCACACAAAGCAAGAAAAGAAAGTAGGAGAAATGCATATTAGAGACAGTAAACAGAGGTGTGAGACCAAGGAATAGTAATAACGAAGAACAAAACAGTTTCATCGGAAATCATAAATCACAAGGAGTGGATGCATCTGCGCCAGCCATTGAGAACGATTTTAAGCCATGTCACCAATTGTTTCCAACCATTCGTTTTTACCGTCCCGAGGTAGTTCTTGGTGCTGTGTTATTATCCTCTGATAATTTCATTTTGCTTTCTTTTCTGAAGAGACCGTAATTATGTATACGTGTGGCATTGAGCAACTTAGTAATTGCAGTTGGATAGTCAGATTGTCTTCTATAAGATAGTTTGTATGAAAATTTTCTGGTGAAAATGAAAGCACATTGATAAATCGTATGAACTTCTGGGAATTATTCACTTCACTATGTTCACTATGATTAAGTGACTAGAGTATATGGTGAATTTTTCTTCTGCTAATTCTTTAATACTGAATTCAGTTTTTCATAGTTGTAAAGTTTTATGTAATCAATTTTTTTTACTGTACCCTGTAAATCGTGAAACTCGTGTCTATTTGTTTCTTTTATCTTTACTAGTCCTGTAAAAGACAACTGGGAGTTGATATCAATTATTGGATTTTATTTATCCAAGATAATCACTTATGCTGATATCACAGTAATGCAAGAATTGAACAAAGACACATGTGATCGTGAATGGCGATTAAGTACACTGGATCAAGAGTTATCACAACTAATTTATGCATTTGCATCTTCTCATAATGTCACTGAATATGCCTTAAAGCATTTAGGCTATGTATTCAATACTGGGAATCATATTCTACAAGAGTCTGGATACCCAGGGAATATGACAACAAAATCAACAGTCACCAATTGGCCATTATGGTCAGGTCCACATGTCTTCTGCCTATTATCCGGTCATATGCTTAGCAAACTACGGTCTACAGAATCGGTAATCATATCAGAAGACTCCATTAAATCATTTTGGTTATGCTTTTTAACAAGTGTACAAGAAACAATCCTAGCATTGTGTGATTTGTCGACAATTAAAAGTATCACCTTACCTGAACAACAATTCATGGATATTCATCCTAATTTATTACAATTCACTTGTTTTCTTGCCGGTCAAAGTCCTGGATTAACTGCTAAAAAGCAACTGCTCATTTTACTTACTCAAGTGTTATGCAGTCTGAATAAGAAAGGTATTTGGGGACAACACAAAAGCATTATAACTACTACTGCTGGTGGTAGTAGTAGAATTATGTCGTTAACTGAACAAAAGCCTTTCACGCATGCTTCTTATCTATGGTTACGTTTAATTATAATGCTACGCTATATGCTGCATTATTTCTATGTTCCACCGAGATATTTATCTTATCAATTAAAACCTTGCATGTTTCTACAATCGAGTGAAGATGCTGTGCAAGCTAATCGTTGCTTCATCTGGGAGTATTCAAACATTGCATCGTTATTACATACACTACATGCATACTTTTTACCCTTACCATTAACAACAGCAACAACAACAACACCGGCAATGATGAAGGCACAGGATTACTTCAGTAGTAGTTCTTCTATTCCATTCTTTTATGATTTATTAATTGCTGCAGAAAAGTCAAACGATGAAAAACCGGTCAACTTAACTCCTACTGCCAAAAGATCTAGTCCATCTTCAAGTCTTCCATCACCTGATGGATTAGTAAGTTTCGAAAGTAGTGGTGTCATCTCTGACTATATATGTATAGTTATCAATTTTAAATATGCTTATTTTAATCTCATTTAAATCGTGGATATATTTCAGTATTGAAATTTTTAGGAAATAAAGCATGGATAGGACAGCTCTTTGAATTTATCTCCAGTCTAAGCTATTGTTCTCTTTTTTAAACTTTATTGAAATAAGTACGTCCAATACAAATTAATTAATTGAACTTGGATGAGTAAATTGTATGCGCATCGATTCGGTTTATTTCTGAGGGTGTTTTATTTCAAGATTTAAGGAAAGATGATGAGAAATTTACTTTTGATAAATTTTGAATCATTCAATTTAGCATGTCAAATTTTTATTTCATAATACCTTGTACCCGAATCCATCAGTTATTTGTTAGAATTCAGATACCTAGAACAGATTATGATGCAGCAAACAATGTGTGTCACACTTAATTTCTTTTTTGTAGATCTAGTGATACTATCCAACTGTTCAAATTGAAGTTCATGGAGCAGGATTTGAATCTGAAACTTAGTGGGTGAAAGCAGGGCACTAAAACCTCTCTGACGCAAATCAGTACTGTCTTACAATCAGTAGTATTTGACTCCAGTCGTCATTAGGGTTAAAACTTAAGGGTGATTCGGCAAAGAAAATGAACGAAAGACAAACTCTAGGAGTTTTTATTTCAGATGAAGTACAGCGTGTGTCGCATCGGCATCACATGTATCGCTTATGATGTAATGTATGTAGTGTGTTTCCAACTCAGAATATCTAACAGCTGGGATTTTCTATGGAATGATGTTAATAGTGACCACTTCGTTTATTGTTCTTATTAATAATGTATCTACATTCTTATTTCTGTCGTACCTTATATGACCTATCAAAATATGTAATAACGTTTCATATGAAGTACCATACTTCGTGAAATTTCAGCAATCCTAATTGCTATATTTTCAAGTATTGGTTTGTAGGGATTTTTTGTTTGGTTGGAGAACTTCGTCACGTACTGACATCGGTTAGAGAACCATTGGAAAACCAGGGAGTACTTGGCAGCTGTTTCATCCTAGTTTGGGAGTCTTCATCAGTACGCACCCACCGGGGTTCGAACGCAGGACCTTCTGGTTACAAGGCGAGATCGTATACCATTAAGCCACTGGGACCCGATCCAATGGCCAGTGCATGAATTCTAACTTCTGCCAATTCATGACATAGGGTGGCCACTTCGATGAGTAACTATCGTCACCTTTGACCTGCTGTACTCTGTTGGTCATGGCTTCCCACTAGAACCCCAGATAACTATCTGAAAGGGCAGAGCATCAGTCCTCAAGTATTTATTGTTTCCATCATAGTTTAGAGCTTTCTAGTACATTCGGTTAATTAATTTTGTGTATAATAATAATAATAATAATAAAGCTTTATTTCAGACAATATGCCAACAAATGGTACAAAAGTTTTCAGCGTATTCACTTCCAAAATACTTTTTTCTTCATACAGGATTTACATGTAAGGTAATATATCTTCATTACGTTGAAGAAATGCACAGCGTTTACTCGGAAGCTAGTTCATGTATAGGTCATTTGATACAACTGGACGACTGAAACAACGATAAATCCAGATGAAATTAAGCATTTTGGCGGAAAGCAATTCCAGTAGCCCTATGATTTAAGCAGGTCGCCTTACGTGACATACCTTACTTGACTACCTTCGAATGTTTCCACAATATACTATTTTGATAACTGGTTTTAAAATCAAATCAAATTAATAATCCATTTTAAGACCGTGTCGTACAATATCCAGTAATCAGTTAGTTATTCTGTAATTTCACATTGTGAACTCTAATTTCATTTTTGATTTCTTTTTTTCTTTTTTTTTTGTAACAGGCTATTTCATCATTGGTGTCAGTTAACAATTATCATGAACTTTTCTCCTCTCTTCTTGATTATCTGGATTGCTTGTTGCTTACAAATTCATCATTTTATGAAGTAGCAAATAGTGTAGATTATGTCCTGACAGAATGCTCCCAGTTGCCATTATGCAATTATGGATTAACATTAAATTGGAGATTGTTTGAAATACTTCCACCGCCAAGAGAAATTTTAAAAGATTTACAACATCTAATGAATATGCTGAAAACATCTCATCAAGTGATAATTGATCATAACACTGTTCCTAAGATTTTCTTGTCACCTTCACATTTAATCTATTTCATTATTTTGTTAGACAGAATTCAGTTGAATTCTACTCAACCTGATTATCAATATTTAGGTAAGTAATGTTCTCTGAGTTAGTATAAGTATTGAACCCTGAGCAAGAATATTGAGTTTTGTACAATAATATAAAATACACTAGACTGAAATACTCATTAGAAAAAAATCATTAAAATGTCTTTACTGTTAAAGTTTCGAATATAATAAGGTTATATTTTAGATGTCAGTATAATTGATTGTATTGTGCTACTCTTGAGTTCACAGTGTCAACTCTTTGCCAGACTGTACTCTTTATTTATTTATTTTAGTCCTTAATGTTCCGAGTGGAACATAAGGCTTCAAGCTAGAGCTTTGAATTTCCCTTGGGTTCCTAGTGAAACATAGGGCTTGAACTACACGTCTCCACTTGTTTCTGTCTTCTGCTGTACTTTTCATCTGCATCCATGTTAGTCCATACTGTTTCAGCTCCTCTTCACACGATCTCCTCCATGTCACCCTTGGACGTCGCACTAGCCGCTTCCCTTTCGGGTTCCACTCGACCACTGGCCTGACGCGAGATGTCACCCAGCGGCCTCCTCAGCGAGTGTCCAATCCATCTCCACTTTCTCCTGCATATTTGTTGGGCGATTGGTTCTTGTTTTGTTTGTTTCCACAGTTTCTTGTTGGTGATTCTTTCCGGCCATCTGATCTTGAGTATAGAGTGAAGACAGTTATTGATAAAGGTCTTCAACCTGTTGAAAATATTCTTGGTGACCCGCCAAGTTTCTGATCCGTAAAGCAAAATTGACTTGACGTTTGTATTGAAAATCCGAATTTTGTTGTTGATGGTGAGTGACGAAGATTTCCAGATTGGTTTCAGGTTGATGAATGTGTTTCTCGCCTTCCCGATTCTCGATTTGACATCTTCGTCCGTTCCTCCTATAGTTGAGACAATGCTCCCTAGATAAGTGAATGAAGTAGCCTCTTTCAAATCCCTCCCACTGATGGTGATTGGCGGTGGATGTTGCTGCTGTTGTTGTTGTTGTTGGTTGGTTATTTTCACAACCTCCGTCTTGTCTATGTTCACCTGTCTTTGTCCTGTCTTTGCTGCTTCTTCGACCAGTTTGTCGTTTTGTGCTTGTAAGTTTTCGATTTTTTGTGACATCAAACATAAATCATCCAAGCGCGAAATCTAGGTCTTCTAAGTTCTTCACGTCGGTCCAGGATATCCCTGGATGGGGTTGCTAGTCTCCCGCCCAACCTTACCTCTTTACCTGCCTCACCACCGGCTTAGCCAGGTTTAAAAGTGCCTCGGCCGAGGATTGAACCCCAAACCACGTGCGTGGTTGGTAAGCGTTCTACAACTGAACCGCCGACATTAGACTGTACTCTCCTGCTAAAGTAGTCAAGGGTTAAAAATAATTAGCGCAAGTGATACAACAGTGACAATATATCCCTTTTATTAGTGGGCATTCAACACCTATTTTCTTCATTACATACATAAAAACCAGTATCTTATTGAAGTCATAAGGCAGTTTTTTAGACTCTTACAAGTTGAATGATTAACACTCAAGTTTGGGCTGGTGATAAAAGCAATATTATCGATCTCGTCAGTTGGTCTACCCGAATTTTTGAACTTCGGCACTTGAAATGTATTTCAATTCAGTTGCTGTCCACTGGTTTAAAATCAATTAACCAGATTAATTAGTTGTTTGATTCAATTTAGGTTTTCCTGTCGATTGATTGAACCGTAGTGCTCGGTCTCAGGTTGACGCGTCAGCTCCTTGTACAGATCCTCCGACGATGTCTGGTTATGTAACTTGAAGTCAGTTGGTTGATTGTGACTAGCAGTGGAATCCCGGATGCACATTTCGTCCTGTTTGAGACTCGCCATCTGGATGTACCTGCATTCTTCAGTGGGTGATGGTGTTCCAACCGAGGTTCGAGTCCAGTACCCGTAGTTACAACTGCTTTGGTGTTTGGAAACACCATCATTCACTGGAGAATGCAGGTACTTTCAGATGGCGAGTCTCAAACAGGACGAAATGCGCCTCCTGGATTCCACTGCTAGTCAGCACCAACCAATTGACTTCAGATTAATTAGTGATAAATTCATAAAAAAGATGAATGAATCACCCAATATACCTACCATTTTTTATTATCTCTTCAGCATTTAGTCTTTTAATGTAAATTTAGAAAGCGTTGCCTCTTTTATTTTCAGACTTTGGTAGTGTTAACAACCAGTCAACTGAAATGAAATCTGATATACCCAGTACAACAACATCCAGCAGTCGGTCTACATCATATTCTTTATTGGATTCCAGAAAAAATCTATTAGTAAGTTATGTTTTTTTTTATAATTTAAATTTGGTTATTTTCTGTATACGTTTCTCCATATGTTTTATTTAGCTTCGGAAGGTAATAGTGGTATTTTTATGTTGATGATAAAAAGGACTCCTTGTAGTATTGGTATAGTTGATTCGTGTGTTTTGATGTAGTAGTGTTTAATCATTTTAGTCGGTTAAAAGACTACTGTATTATCATCTGGCCGTTGTTATGCATCCTGCATCAATGTTCTCCAGCCAGACTCGCGGTCCGGGTTCGACTCTCCACCAAATCACTGGTGAACCTCACCTAGCTGATATTAGACCCGGAAAAGAGGGCAAGTCGGGCGTGAGACTACCAAACCCGATCCGGGCAAACAATACCATTACTGTTGAAACGTTGCAGCTTGAATCCTAAAGCCCCCTATGTTCTACTCGGAATGCAAAGAATACAACAGCAAAATAAATCAATTATCTGTTTTTTTTGCATCTGTTTGTATCACACCAAAAATAGTAATAATATCTGTAAGGTGAACTAGTGTTGTTTTCAGTGCTTTGTTATGTGGACGTGAAGGTTAGCAATTAGTTAAACTGTCATGTTACTTCTCTCTAGTTCATTAAACATTCTATTGAGATCAAGAGAAAATCGAAGTTTTTTGTTGTTGATTATTACTACCGGTCGGCAACAAAACATGAAATTACACACCAGGAGAAAAAGATATGCTATATATATATATATATATATATATATATATATATACATCCATCCCTGTATTCATAACAGTACACTTACTCCTGTGGAAGCCAACTGCATTGACCGTGCCAGTAGGATATTATCTAGACATGCATGAGGATGCTTATCGAAAGGAGAAATTAGCTGAACCAGTAACACTTTGTTCTTATGATGCATCGTATCTCAACAATAGAGAAATCTTTTGAAGTGATATATAGGGTAAGGTCGAGTCATTCGAAGCGTTGCTGACTGCATCTTCTGTCCAGCCTGAACTATTGATACAGAAGCGTGTTTGTCCAACTCTCTTTTTTATACCATGTCCGTAAATATGTCTCTTTTACGTCGTTCTTTTTTTCTTCTTTTAAAACTCCTAATTCTTACTTAATTTTGGTTACAATTATTTTTCTTGCTTCATACAGAAAGAATTGAAGCGCTTCGTTAATGCACAGTGGTCATCGAATGATGATGATACGGAAGAGGCGACTAAAGCTGCTGCAACTGAAGAGTCAATCAATACGCTAACATCTTTAATACATCCAACAGCCTTAATTTCATTTCTATTTGAGTTAGGTTCTTTTCAAATAAAGTCATATTCAGTAAGTTAGTTTTCATAAAGTTTTTTTTGTTCAGAATGATTGATTAGTAATAATAATAATAATAATAATAATAATAATAATAATAAATAATATTCAGTGTACAAGTTCTGTACAAATTTTACTGTTTACCTTGACATTTCTAATAACTGAATAGCTGCGTAATTTTCCATCTGTTACACATAAACAGAATTCCTGTTGAAAATCACTCAATCAAGCATACGGTCTTTTTTCTCTCTGATACAAGCTTTGTAAACTAACAAAATATTTACCAAACTGCATCAACATGATTTAATAATTTTCAAACTGTTAGTTATTCATTGAATTCCCCACTTCATTTCTTTTAGTTCTCTGAATTAGGTATTACCGTATGTTTCCAGCACATTTGTCATCTATGTTCATCTTATATCATATGATTCTCATTTAATGCTTTTCAGATACTACTGAATTCCGTGAAGAACAAGTTAATTGGAATCACGGTTGGGCAACTGGCCTATTTAAGTAGTTTACTTCGATTCATGAAGATATTGACATCACAGTTGAGTTTATTGCACGAGTCTAAAACTACAAAAACATCAAGTACTTCAACGAAATCGCATACTGACTCGACGGAATCTACAAAACGTGCTGGAAAGCATAGAACACGTCATGCAGCCGGGAAAACACGTACCAGTTCAACAACTGAAACTTCAAAATCATGTGCTGGTGGTAGTACAGAAACAAGCAGTCCGAAAGAAAAAAAGAGTATTTGTCTGTTGGACACGGCAGTGTTAGACACCAATGCACCGAACACTCTTGTATCCTCGATAACATTCACAATTGGAGAAAATTCAAACACTGGTGATGCGAATTTAACACCTGAAGAAGTAAGTTATGCATTTTTGGTATAAATATTGTCAAAGTATATTTGGAATGGTAATCACTTGTAATGCATAATACCTAGTTTTAACAATTTACAGATTACATGTACAGATGGTGTTTTGGAAAACTGTTTGTCAAGAATTTATAACTAAGGTTTACCTAAAAAGAATTTCTTACTTTGTTGAATTGTCCTTATAACTTTCTCTCTGGGTTTCATTTTATTGGATTCCATAGAAGAAAAGAAGTCTAAAATACATTTATTTTCCTTAAAATTGTATGTATACTTATATTTAATAAGGTATGCAGAACTACCGCATGTTTAACGATATTAGATAGTTGGAGGCAATCGGCATGAGGCCTGGGACCTAGGTTTCGTGCTAGTTGGTACTCACAAGTCAGCAAGGCTTATCGGCAACCTTGAAGGAACTCACGTCCCTTCTGAGATTCGAACCTGCGTCACCCAGTGCTGCAGTCAGACACGTTACCACTGAGCTATTCGGGCTCACGATTGGCCTATAGGACACGGGTTTGAATCTCAGAGGGGGACATGAGTTCTTTCAAGGTTGGCGAGTGCCAACTAGCACGAAACCTAGGTCCAAGGCTTCCTACCGATTGCCTCGAACTATCTAACATCATTAAATCAGTGTGTACCGTGATGGTGAGCTACCTAGAATGTTGGCCACATTGCAAACCTGACTGATAGAATTCAGTCTGCACCAAAGAAAGGACTAGACACGTCGCACTAGTTACTAGTGTCCAATCAAAATACCACATGTTTAGTTGATGTATTCTGTGGCTAATCCGCATTTATTCTTATCATACACAATACTGGTATTAGCTATATACTTGCAACATACCATAACTAATAGAAGTTTATGTTTGTTATAATTAAATGAGGATTGCTCTTCAAATCTGTAGGTTTTTCAGTGGTATTCTCACATCTGTCCTTCTGTCACACACATACACGAATACACACAGAGTTTCTCTTTGAGTAGATTTATGTTTAACTTTAATATTTAGATGAAATCGTTATGCAAGTTGTGGTTTTAGTCGGAAAACGTTTCTGTTCTTTGTATTCATCAATGCTTCAATTTCCGATTCAAATACTGTCAAGCTAGTTCCTAAAAGGGAAGCTGAAAGCTTATTTTCTAAGAATTTTCAAAAAGGATGAAAAATCATCTATCCATGATTTCTGTGTTCCAGTCGACAAGCGTGCGTGATCGGCTGATTTTGTTGATGTTCTGACTTTCAATAATATTCTTAGTCATTTTTTTTTCTGTATGCCTTTAGAGAGAGTTTCAGGATGTTTTAAATAATATGATTCCATTGTATTATTTCAAAGTCCTTATCATATTTTTACATTTGTCTTATTAAATTCTTTTCTTTTCCCGATAGCTATCTACAATGCGTATACGTTGCTTGCATACTGGACATGTGGTTCTGACGACATGTGTACAACTCATGTATAAATTATGCCAACAAATACGTTCAGAAATTGGTTTGCCTATCTCGCATAATATCAATACGAAGGAGGCATTATCATCTATTGGGAATACTGCATCAATGACATTGTTATGTCCAAAGCGTTTATTAAAGGACAATTATTTACTGTCGCTAAGTTCATCGTCAAATATCTTAGCGCGTAAACGATTGGCTAATAGTTTAAGATTGGCATCACTTGTCTACCGTAAACAGTTTGATACGTTGATTGCTGTAGCCTCAAAATGTTATTCCACCATGTTATTGGAATCGAATCAGGTAAACCAAAAAGTCATCTGATTATTATTATTGTTATTCAACGTTTTGTTAACAACAAAAATGGATCCCATTATTGCTATATTAGAGTTTTCCCCGTAATCCTTTCAAGGCTATGAAATGCTGGGAAGTTAAAATGCTTTTCTCTTTAGAATTGTTGTTTTATAAAACTTTGAAATCCAGTAAATTACAACCAAATATCTCTAATCTTATTCGTCTTGTAACAACAGAAGACAAGGGCCAGGCAACGGATTGTTTGTTGAGTAAATCAAGAGGTATTTTCAGACTTTTATGTACAATATTATTAGCGTTATTGCTAACGGAGAAGCAACCTCTTCTGAATGGTTGTTTTCTTGCTGAAGCTTATTCTGTCATCTTTTTGTGGTTGTTTCTCAGAAAATCAAGTCATATATCTGTGAATCATATTTCCACACTTTAACTCCGATGTGATTGGCTGGTGATTTTCACAAGGTTAAGCTTTGTTATCGTTTTTCTCATGACCCTGATTCAGGACGTGAACATTGACGTAAATTGTTGTCTACAATTTTGGCTTGCAACCATCTCTCATCACAGTCTTACAAAGTCACATATCGAAAATGTTAAACAAAAGTTACAAGAACCACTTGCTGATGCGTCAATTATTTTATCTGAATTATCGATAAAATGCCACAGGAAATTCCTTCAGTTTTATAGCAATGTTACTCAGAAACACAAAAACAAACATACAAAATAAGTTTAAGAGTTCAGTTGATGATGGTAGAAAGTGCGTAAATCTTTTTCCGGTGAATTTCGATAAATATATATATGACAAATCTTTCCGATATTACTCTATTTATTCATTAGGAAGAAGCTTTATTCCTTGAACTACTTAAATTTTGTGTTCCTCGTATGCACTCTACGGATTTAGCCGCCCATGACGAGTTCGAAAACTTGTACGACCAACTTAAACTTCTTGTCGCAACATCCGATGAAGTTTGGGGTTTGTTTAAAGCCAAGATGGTTGGTATAGCTCACCAGTTTTCAAGCAACAATCCGAAAGAGAATCTTATTATGTAAAATAATATGTTGCAGTGTATTTATACATCAAACATAACAATGAGCTTTATTTAGTGCAATGGTAAAACTGGTGGTGGTGACTAATAATTATAATATTATGAGGAAGGGAAGAAGAGATTAAGAGGATAGAACTTTCAGTGAATACTAACCCTAATGTATTAGTGTTTATGTATAATGATTTCATTAGATTAATTTCTTTTACTCTTTTTTTATACATTATATAATAAATAATACAAGTAGAATTAATTCTGTTTTACTTTCACTTTGTTTTTATTATTATTATTATCTTGTTCACTTCTAGTTTACTTCAAGTCTTTCTCAGTGCTTTTATCAGATATTAGCATTCCAGTATGAGGTAGCACTTAGTGAGTTGTCTGTGAAAGAGGAAGATTTATTCGATAACAACAAGCCGCCATCATCACCGATGCCATCTCCATCATATTATCAATCTGCTTTAACTGTCAATTTACCCAACTATTGTACAGTAACAACAGCAACAGCAACTAATACTGCTACAACAGCACCAGCACAATCATCATCAACGACAAGAACAACAGCTACAACAACAACCACAGCTACAAAATCTCTAGACGAGATGAAATTAAAACATACACCAGGATATGCTTTACGTTTAGCAAACGATTTAAAATTATTTGAATCATGTTGTCTATTGAAACGGTTGAATGAATTGTGTAGATTATTAGTGAAACAGTTGTATGATCTACAAGAGAAAATCTATTCTTTCAGTGAATTAAACACGGAACAATTGTTGAATATTGACAGTTATAATGCTTTACAAATGATATGTGCAATGCATTATGATCCTGTATTGAGTGCTTTACATATTGACTTGATGTCTGAAGAAGAGAAGAAAAGCCAACCATCAGTTGCACAATACTTAGGCTATATTTATTCTATTCAACGAAAAGGTACACCAGCATCATCAATGATGACAGCAAAGTCAACAGGTTTTAAAAGTACTGTTATCGGTCGAATGATGAAAAGAATGATATATTCACGTCGACTGAGAAAAATATTGAGTTATGCATTGGAAGATAGACTTGTGCATACAGTATCCTACATGGTTAGATGTCTTTCAAATTCAGGTAGTTTCTCGTACATTTTTTGCTTCTCATCTTGATCAATAGAATTTCGATTTTAATTTTAATTTTATACACCTTAATTAATAGAATGTAGAGTGGTCATTTCCTTTTCTTCAAAGTAATTAGGAATAAAGGGTCTGAGCCACGACATATTGTATCTATGATCATATATTTTAGGTAATTTTATGAATTTTATGATCAAGATTTTACTGTGTTTAGTCTACCTCCTGACGTTTTGATAATATTAATCAGACAGTGAACCACTGAACCTCCAGGAAACTCTGTGTGGCTAGTCTCTTTGTTCACTAGATTTATGCTCAACTTTTCCTGTCTCTTAAATCTTTGTCATTTCCTTAGCTAAAACCTTATTCTTTCTGTCCATATATAATAGTCCTGTAATGAGCATTGTTCCCCCAGGAAAGTGATCGTTGAGCATATATATCTACATAGTCAAAGATAAGTCTATAAAATTACGGAGAAATCCACTTAGAATGTAAAGTCAGCAGACAGCCCGGTCCAATAGGTTGTCAAAACTACCGTCATTGGCACATATATACTGTGCAAAAGCACTAATCTAACATCTTATTCTTCTATATGATCAACCTCAGTCGAAGAATTAACTGTATACTATTATTTATTAATCTATTTTCGCTATCGTAAACAGATTATGTTTTGTCCTTAGGATCGTGAAGGGTAACTTTTGTGTGTGTGTATGATGCATAGGTGACTAAGGGAATACCAATAAAATTTATTCAGGCGACTCATCGTCAACCTTGTTTTCTCGTTTGAAAACCTAACTGGATTTGAAACAATCCTTAAATACTTTTTTTCTTCCTTAGGTTCGAATCCTCTTGAATCTCGAGTCTCTTCATACATCTGCCGTGAAGCTATGGGATTCATGGAAGTTGTACTGGGTAATCATCGTATCGTGAAACAGATTTGCTCCCCAGGCGTCAATACAACCGACATGGATGGCAACAAGTCATCCTGTGATCCAGCGACAGAACCAATAGTCCGAAGAGCAATATTTAACAAAATCTATTTTACTAATTTCTTCTCATCATCATCTGTATGCGATATTTCACAGAAAGATGCTCATCTGTTAAATGAGATAATAAAACATGAGAAACCACCAACTCTCGCCTTTCAGGCGTCATCATTACGTTTGTTATGTGTACTTTCTATGCGTGGTAAGTTAAAGGATATTTGAAATTTTCTTTCCTTATTGTACTACTGCCCAGCTTTATTTCTTCACTGGAGGTTATCTTAAATTGTAATCAATTTCACTAAGGCCATATAAAAAACTAGATGGTATTGGAATTCCGATATAAATATAAGTAGATTACTGCTCTTGTTAGTGAGCCTGTTGTTTAAAATCGGGAGGAAAAGTAAAATAATGAGTCCATTAGAATGTCAGCTACATACAGTACAAAGTAAAGCGGTTCATATTCATTTGCAATGGATATGAGTATCTCAAGCTTCTACAAAAAACATTTTCTCCTGTTTATATATATATATATATATAATGGATGTAGGTGTAGAACTTGTGTACTGCGGTAGAATGTAATGCCATGTTAGATAAGTTTATCCGAAATAACACACAGTGGATGCAGTATTAATTACTGGGTGACGTTTCGAACACAAATTATTACTTAGAAATAATGTTAAGGTACTCACACAACTGCTTGATCTACAATCATCATCTAATTGCCCCTTAATTTGCTTGCAGATATTCAGAGCACTATTGTACACTTCTTACGCTTAGGAATTCATTTAAACTCTTTGATGAAATGACTCTGCTTAAAGATTCTTGTTACGCAATGCTACTGCTTCTTTTGTCTCCAGCACAACGCAGTTTCGCGTCAAGTCTAATCTGATTCCATGTACAAAGTTTGCTTTATCAGAATATGAATCTTCAACAAACCAATTCAGATATTAAGTAATATAATTTTATAGCAATGCTTTGTATGTTATCTGCAGACAGTTATTGCTAGTCTTCTTTGGTTTATTGAATTATATAAAATTATGAAACAATCTTGTTTCAGCGTTTCCAATCATGGTGTTATTTGAAACCTAACAAAATAATACATATGCATTGCTTTATAGAGATAGTTACCAAATTCATAATATTAAAATTCACTTCGACACGCACATTGTTTTCTTCACTACTTCACTACTCACACAACCTAATTCGAAGGAATTCAGTTTATCCCTGCATTTGTGAAAATAGACAACTTCAAAGCAATCAGTTGACCATTTCTGAAATAGTGTTAGTGTAACGACAGAAGACAAGGGCCAGGCAACAGATCGTTTATTAAGGAAAATCAACACGTATTTATAGATTTCAATGTACATTATGGTAGATTATTCTTAGTAGAAAATACAGTCTTTTGATTGGTTGTTTCTCACAGAAAGTTAACCTTGCATCTCTTTGTGGCTGTGTCAGATCATCCATATGCTAACTGTATCCGCCCGCCTACGCAAAGCCTTTGTTCTCATCTTCTCACCACCAATATTGGGGACATCAAGCTGTAAATCAAAATAAAAATAAATAAACATTGAAGTAAATTACTGTCTACCAACTTTGGCTAGCAGCCAGCTCTCACCACATTAGCAGTCAGTAGTTTGAGTTTGCCTAAAGGTCAAGTTATACATGTAGTAGGATGAGTACACCATGTTTGCTCTATTTTACTATCAGTTGTCCTCTGGTAAAACGCTTCACCTACAACTGTATTTATGAGTGGGCAGTACTAGCTGATTTAAGCACACAGTTATATTTCAGTCAAAAAAAGTCTTCTGTGTAGCCATATTCTAAATGTTTTTTATCATGAATCCCTTCCTACTGTTGTAGGTTATAATTTCGAGGGGATAAAGAAAGTAATCTTAAGATGATTAAGCAGAGAAATATGCGTGTGTATCTTGTATTTATAAAGTATAGTTAGCTCTAGCTCTAACTGTTTACAAAGAAATCAATTCGAAGTGACAATCCAATATAAAATTTTCTTTTGTTGACTCAAATTATTATTAATGCCAAAACATGTGACCTACTTGACACTATAAAAAAGTCTAAAGAAATCAATACGATACAAACAATCCCCCCCCCGCCCTACTTTTTTTTGATTACCTCAATTTGCTTGTCTATGCTATCCCTTCCCAACTACTTATAATCAATTAAGTAGTATGTATTAAATGTTTGGAAGTTGGCTGGTGTTTTCTTTCACTTCAGTATATTCTAGATTATTCATCTGTTCTTTCTTCGTAGTTATTGTATAATTGTTGTCGATTATTTCGTTGAAGTATCAACTCGGTTAGTTGTGGAGGTCGTAATTAATTCACGCATATAGTAGTAGTAAGGTAAAATACTCGTGATTTTCTTTTCATTCCTTGTGTTCCGAATGAAGCATAAGGCTTCAGTGTTTGAAGTTTAAGCGGAGGTATTGTTTTTACGTGATGGAGTTGCTAGCTACATGTTCAACCTCTCCTCTTCTCCGCACTTACTGTCAGCTGTTAAATTAGATGGTGACGTTTAGCAGCATATCGATCGGAAACAGAACCCGAGTATACTGTGTGGCTGGTAAGTATACTACCATTGAGCCATCGGCACACTAGATACTCTCCGCTGAACTACTAGTCTTCTCTCTATTAATTTTCCAATGGGGATTTTTCATGAATTACCTTTTTTTAAACCTTCACTCTTGATAGTGCTGACTGGTAAATATTGCAATTGCTTTTTCCGTTGTGCTTATTTTTTTTGTTTACCTTGTTCATACTTTATTTGCATTCAGCTATTAATGCCTCTACAAGACACCGCAGTAACTTCAGTGATCTAGTGAAATTAGCTCTTGACTCATGTATGTTCAAATCATGGAAATCAGATGATGAAGGAGAAAAGGCGAACACAACATTATCATCTTATTGGTTAGAAAGTCTACTGCCATATGTTTCTTCATTGAAAGAGAATTATGATAATGAATTACGCTTCACTGATCTCCTAAACAGAGTTGATGATTTCACATTAAATAGTGATGAATTCATTGAAACTGAAGAAGATATACTAACAGATTTATTTAACAATACACCGGAGGCTATTCATCATCATCAGGATAATAATGGAGATCATGTCAGTCTTAGTTTCTTCAATAGTGATAATGTTTTACTGGAAACCAATGCAGAATTGATCAATGAATGGAAGTGTAAACGCTATCTATGCACTATTGCATTTTACTTTGAACGTTTCACCAGACTGTTGGCGTCAAATTGGACAGATGATGTTGGCTTACGAGAGATGGTAAGACGACCTTATTCATCTTCCTAATTTTTGACGTTTTTAATCTTACAACATTGATTCATAATAATTTGACAATATCTGGTTATCATTGCTTCTTTGTATTATTGTTATGGTTGAACTGTGACTGACTGACATAGAATAGTTACATAAAAAACCACGAGGGCTTAGTGGATATGGGAGTTCACAAGGAGTGAATCCAACTGTTATGACTGGTACTGAACTTTGTTATGTCTGCGCCTGTTAATTACTATAACTTCAGTGAACTCTACTGGTACACTAATGCGTCTATTTGTCCGTTATACATACCGATTCACTGAGCCACGCAAATAATATCAAAAGACATAGGCTCACCTGTGACTGTAATATATTTTATAGTACTGTGGTGTACTATATATAGTTTAAGAAACAACACATGCTATTTATACATTTTCTTTACCAACAATAAAGTCGGCTCACAAACGTGGGAATTTACTGTTCCTATTGTCTGGATATGTCTGTTCTGATTGGTAGGTTGGTGATCCAACAAAGACCAAGGTCAGACAAAAAGAGACGAATTTATCGCACACTAAATCACAATATGCTTGAGAAATGATACATTTACGTAGTAACTCCATAAATAGAGATAAATTACATGATTCGTGAGAAAGGATGATATACTATTTTATGCTGGGTCCTAACACCATCTGTGCCATTTACAACCATTTTGATATATTTCGCCATTTGTCTACATCCCTTGGATCCTGGAATTCCGATGACCCCAACCAGACAGTCTTCACCTCCATACCTGGCTACCTCAAACCAACTGTCAAACACTTCAACGATTGGTGCTATGTTTTGTTCTAACCACTCTGACTTTTTCCAACCAAATCCTATATTACCTAACATTTCTTAACAAGGAAGGAGGTAGCTCAGAATGTACAACACATGTAGCCATCTCAATTGACGTAGTCTCACAAAATAGTCGACCGACTTCCCCTCCCCACCTAACACTTTACGACTAACCTCAGTATTACTCATGGTATTAAGACGTCAAACACGGGAGAGAGAGAACGCGAACATTTGTAGTCAAGGGCAGTTAGCCTTTTTGCATCATTCGTTTTTAGTGGCCATGTATCACAGCCATAAACGAAAAAGGACAGGACAGCTGCGCGACACACACATCCTTTGATCGATAGCCAACCGGATATCACATCTACATACACCAGAGACAACATCGATTGGCAAATGCCACATGATCCCTTTATATTTGTGTTGAGATTTCGCTAGCGATTAGTCCAGTTGGGGTTGACGTAACTCTCCAAATGAGTGAAGTCATCAACATGCTGTATCACCTCACTTTCTGTCTTCAAACTAAGAGTCGGTACAGTACGGTCGCATAGCATTATCTTACGTTTGACATGCCAAACATTTGTAGATTGGTTTCTGCTCAAAGTGTTCCGAAGACTGTATTTTAGCGGCGTCCTCAACTAGGAGAATAACACCATCCACATATTCAAAGTCAGCATTACTGTTCCCTGGTAGGGTAGCAAGTCAATCCGTGAGTCGCTAAAGTCAGTCAGGGTTAATGTCATTGCCACTTCTATGATTAATCGAAAATAAGAAATATCCAGTTGAAATGTGTTACATTGAAATATGTGGTAGAGTGAGGTTGTAAAAAATTTATTCTAAATATCATTAGTTTTTTCCGCAAATATCTTCAAGATAAGGAAGTATTTGTCACTCTGTACAATAACTTTGCTATTTGGCTACTAATAATTTTCTGCCTGTAATGCACTTCATATTTCTGGAGGTAAATATCGCTTAAACACTCTTCATTATTCGATACAGTTACATGGTATCTTTCCATCAACAACTGATATTCTGTCGGTACTCTTTTTTCGTAATTTTTTTCATTTTACTTGCAGGATCCCTTGCTTCTCAAGGTGATACTTTGCGAGAAAGTTTAATTGGGGAACTACCGAACCATGATAAGCTCACTTAAAAATTATTATATTAAAAAACGGCTCTAGATAACCCTTCAATCGTCCATTATATATTTGTAACCCATTTAAAATATTTTAATGGGACCTTTAACTTTTCTTGGTTTAGAAAAGCTTTTTAATTGATGTGGCAGTGACTAACGTGACACGTCCTAATAGACAAGTATCAAATTTCAAGAAGTGTGACTGAAAATTTATGGTTGGAACATTCATCCCCTAACTTTTTAAAATTTAAATTGCCTTTATCACTATAACTGTTATTATTATAATTCTGACTACATATGCTCACTTGTAATCTTTTCCTATAGTACTGTAATCACTTATTGGATTCTGCAATACGCGTTTGGCGTTCTCGCTTAACTGTGAAAGACAGTACAGTTGTGAGATCAGAAGCATTGTCATCGTCTTCATCCACCTCTCCTTCAGAAGAATCTACAACAATCATTCAGAAATACGATTTGACATTTCTGCCTTATGCGATTACATCGTTGCATTGCTTGTCGTTTGGTTTTACCAACGGCTTGGTGCATACAAAGTTATTCAGCTTTTTTACACATTGTGCTGATATTTGTTATGCTCTAATTATGGAGAAGCAGAAGGACGGGATAAAAGATGAAAAGCTTTATTGTAATGAAACTAATTTAATGTTATCAATGAAGCTACAACATCAAAAGCAGGTATATTTTGATTGTGTAGTCCCGCCTTTTTATTACGTGACATCTTTTGTTAATACGTTTCTAGTTCTGTGTATCGTCGTTCATTCATACACCGAAAATGAGCTTCTCTTATATTTGTACTTATCGTTCACAGCAGTGTTTGTTCCTTTATTCTAGAGTCTGGGTTTGATCCTTAATAATACTAGGCTAATAATTGAATAACTATCTATTGGGGGTGAGTTTGAGCCAAAGATTCCGTCTAAGATTGTAACAAATGAAGCAAAATAGGATGGTTCATGCGAAACTACTCCGTAGACAATGTATGATAATAAAGAAGAACAGTTTAGTGAAGTAATTGTGTTTGTTTTTGGTGGATTCACCATGAATTGAACCAACCTAATTTCTCATTAACCTGGAGAAAAAAATTTTAATTTACTACTGATTAGTAAATCTTTTGATGAGATATTTAAGAAAAGGTCGTTGTTGGTGAGATCCACTAAGTCGAATGTGAGGGCGATTACTAGTGATGTTCAGAATTGATTATTTCATATTACAAACTAGTATTAATCGCGTAGTAATTCAAGTTGCCACACTTCATAACCCTACTGATGTATGTAGGTAGGAAAACACATTGGAAATACAAAGAATGGAAGTGTCGATTGATTAACACTTCTCCTAACCTCAGTATTATATACTCTTCTGTCGCTACATTTTAACATTGAGTGCTTCTGTTTCCGCCGAAATTCTCTTCCTGTGTCTCTTCATTGTTATTACGGAAAATACCAGTATAATACTGTGAGAACTGTTCAAGTCTCACTAACTGCATCAGTGGTTTTATCTGTCCGACTAATTTCCACTTAAAGTTATTGAGTGGGATAAAAAGTGGTGAAAAACTCTGTTAAAATCCGTCAAACATAGGAAATCTTTATCAATAACGACCGTTACTCACAGACAATTCTCTTTAACGATGAAAAAACTTTGTGTATTTGTTTTCCTTTACGTTCCCAGTGGAACATAGGGCTTGGAGTTTCAGTAGCAGTAGTGTTTATTTTCACGGGATGGGGTGGCTAGCCTCATTCCCAACCTTCCCTCTTTACCAGTCTTATTATTGGCTTAGCGAGATAAAGGAGTGCGTTGGCAAACATTCTGCCTCTGTGCCACCAACGCACAAAACTTTGGGTATGGAAGGCTACAATAACATCAATGAAAATCAGGTTAATATTCTGGTCTAATTTGTAAATTTTCACTACTATCTATCAGGAATAATATATTGTCCTCATTAGATTATGTAATTTTTCTCTGCGCTTTACTCAATGTATTAACCTATTCGTACTATTTTTTTTTGTCCAAAGGCCTCATTGATTTCCAGCCTACAATCAATATACTTCTATGTATCAACAATTGTCAATGTATTAAATTCAGCGAGCAAATTAAAATTAACCGATGGTCTACATGAATTACTCATCAATTCCCCGAGTGCTCGTTTAGACTATTGGCCAAGTTTATTGCATACTCAACCCGGTGTATTCAATCGTCTACTACTGGCTGATGATGATGATGATGCAAAAAATAAGAATGTGTCGTGTTGTTCCTCATCGATAACTGATAACTTTCATTCTAAAGTGCAAATCTACTCTCATTTGTTAAGTAGTCATTGTACGCATAGTTGTAAATCAGTTTTTCGAAAAGTAAGCGAGATTTGAATTGGTTTTTTTATTTGTGTCTGTATGTGTGTTTTTATTCATAGTTTATTTTCCACTTTATTTGTTGATATTTTGTAAAATATTGGTTTGTTTTTGCTTTAAAAAAGCGAAATATTGTTTTGTGATTATTTACTGTTGATTTAAAAGCGACACTTGGCGCATCGTCACAAAAGAAGAATAATTAGACAATTAAATTCCATTCTTAGATGTCTTAGTCAAGAGAACTAATACAGGAAATTTAGACACACAAGTATGTAGAAAATCAACTCACACAGACCAAATACTCAGTTATAATAGTAATCACCCGATTACCCACAAAAGAATCTGTGTACATTGTTTAAAAAAGTTCAAACACACTGTAGAACTACTCCTGTTTTGAAGAGGATGGAGGAAAAATACCTACTAACCGTCTTCAAAAACAATCGATGTCATCACAATTTTATCAAAAAGTGTTCAAATTCGAGTGAGTCATAACACCAACAACAAGCCCATATCAAAGACCACAAGAAAATTCATCCTACCATATATAGAAATATCTCCGAAATAACAGAATATTAAGAAAAAGATATAATATACAAACCAGTCAGCACAATTACTATATTCGATATTGTGCAAACTAAAAGATCCGACAGAAAAAGAAGATAAAATTAATACCGTTTACAAAATAAACTGAATGAACTGCAATAAACATTACATTAGGCAAATTTAAATCCAACGTCACAAATTAGCTGAGAAAAGACATGATATATATTCATTAGCATCAATGCATGTGGATAATTATGGACACCGATTTTGTTGGGATAATGTGGAAATTTTCAATAGAGGAAACATCAGGCAGGAATGCCAGGGGATTTTTAGAAGCCCGGTATTCAAGTGAATTAACAACTAACAAACATTATTATAGACCAAACTTATCAGCTAATAACAAGCGAATCGCATGACAAGAAAGTTCGAATTCCAAGTCAATAAAAATGATCAATAGAGTCGTAAATTAACAACCAGTCACCAGAAGATAAAACTACATCATTCGTGGCGAATTTAAATAAGTTCAATTTATACTAAAACCTGCACTGAAGACGTTGTCAAGATGGGGAGAGGAGGTGGGCGAAAGCTTCGCAATTAAATCAACCATCTCAGAGAACACACCTTATTCAATATTTAACATCATGGGCACCAAGTGGTGGGATAAATAGTCAGTCATGACCACTGCTCATAAGTTTTACAGGCGTGTGTAAATATATTCTTAGATTAGGCTGTATACTTTATGTCATTCTGCCTAGCACTAGTGTTTTACGCTTTGATACAACAGTGAACATATTGTTTTTGATTGGTGGATACCATATACTTCTTCCGTACTCTAGAATAAAGCTCAGCTATAGCACTACATACAGTTGCAGATAACCATATAGTAGGATAAGTCAAGATGGTAGCTTTATGAATCTTAAATAGCATAGTGGAAGAAGGGGCTGATAACCAAAGCTTTATTTATCGAAACAACTGGAAGTACGTGTAAAGGGAATGGTTCAGCATCTGGAGAACTATCAAAAACCCAATGACTATTGATATATGATTGTGAATATTGAATTATTTTAGAAACTCCATCCAGTAAATGATAATGTTGTTTCACTGCTTGATATTATCCAATAAACCAGTTAATATGGGATTGCATTACCACACATGTATAAAGCACTTTCTTTATTTTCATATTGCCTAAAGATTCCATCTTCACTCAATCTCAATAAAACATGGTATTGATTATTCGTAATAACTTCACCAGGAAAATATTAAGGCTATTAAAGTGCGCGAAAAATATAAGCGGTGTCTAGTGAACCCATTAGTCCAGAACAACAAATATATTCAATACATCTTCAGTCCCATGTTTGTTCTGCTGTTCTACTTCTTACTCTTTAGCTTTGTTGTGTATATGTACAGATGCCTTATATTATCAAGTTGTGTTCATCCTAGTGACACATTCCTAAAAATTATTTTTGTCTCTTCTAAAATAACAACTTTAATTAGTGGAGGAAAAGATTGAAAGTTCTTAAACAGATTCAACATAATTGTTCTGTCGCATTTAGTGGAAGAGTACGCTTTCTAATCTAAAACGTCAGTGTGTATGCACATACTATGTAGAACTGTGGCGGCAAATGTAATAGTTAAGTGTGTTATTAGTGTGTAACTAGTGTAACTTTCCTGGTCTCGTGAAATTTTTCATTTGATTTCTTATTAGTCACTGATTTATTTGTTTGATGGTCTTTTCAGTGACTTGTTTCTTTTGATAAAAGACTGTTATTAACTGTGTCTGGTTTCGGGGTACATATAAGAGTGTGAATGAGCGTGGGGAGTGAGAAGACAGGAATGCGCTGGACCGGTAAGAGGACTCTAGAAGATCTGGATTTCGCGTGTGGATGATTTAAGCTTAATGTCACACTAACTCGAAGAAGCACACAGAGAAGACAGGACTCCCGGTGAACACAGAGAAGATGGATGTGATGAAGACAACCAGCCAACAGCCACAACAACACCAACCAACACTATTCACCATCAACGGGAGAGATTTGACAGAAGTTATTACCTTCACTTATCTAGAAAGCACAATTTCAACAACAGGCAGAATGGATGAAGATGTCAAAGCTGGCCAAAATCGAAAAGACAAAATACGCCTTCATCAACCTGAAACAAGTTTGGAAATTTTCTGCACTCCGTGGGATTAAAGAACAAGATTCGGCTTCTCAACACAAATGTGAAGTCAGTCAGTCAGTGGTTCTATACGGCTCATAGGCTTGGCCAGCGTGTTGCGAAAAGGATTTCCAATATATGTTGCAGACTTTTACTAACAGCTGCCTTCGCTGCTTCCATACTGAAGACCAAATGGTTGGCCAGAAAGGATTAACACCAAGAAACTGTGGCTGGCAACTAACCAACCAAGAGCCGATTGCTCAACAAATATATAGGAGACCGTTGATTGACATCGTGTGCAATGCAGACCGTCACTGAAGTGGAACCCGAACGGGAAACTATTAGTAGGTCGTCCAAGGGTGACATGGTGGGGATTAGAGATTATTGACAATCGCGTGGCTAGCCAGCTGAAGTGGACTGCAGAGAATAGAACAAAGTGGAGATGTGCTGTTGAAGCCCTATGTTTCAGTTGGAACCAAAGGAAATATTAATAATAATAAGCGTGTTAGAAATAGAAGCCATATCTGCTTTGTGAACATTAAAGTACCTGTTTAATTTCGATAAATTTAGTTGAAAAGGATCAAATTGTAATTCTCTATTAGCTATCATCTGACTTTCGTTTTATTTTCCTTTTCATTCATAGAAATGGAGTCAAATGGCTTTATGGAATACAACATCCCATTTACACTTTTTGGACGGTTCCACTGGGACAGACCAATTATCGAAACCAAATGTGACAGATCAGATGATTTACGATATTGACCACCAACTGTCTGATGCTACAGATATAAGCGATGATTATGATGATGATGATGGCTGTCTAGAAGATGATGTATACCATTCATTTCCTGGTCCATTAATTAATGATTCAATATGCTCTTTTGTTGCAACTCAAAAAATGTTCGTCGATCAACATTGGTATCATTGTTTCACATGTAATCTACAAGAATCGCATGGTGTCTGTTCTGTCTGTGCTAAAGTATGCCATTTTGGGCATGATTTAAGTTATGCTAAATATAGTGGATTCTTTTGTGATTGTGGTGCTGGTCAACACGGGGATTCATTTTGTCAGGCTATGACACCAAGAATTGTGTTGAATAAAGATGCATTACCTGATAATAGTACTATGCATCAGAGTGATAATATATTCTTGCAATGTATTAATAAGAATGAATTGAATTATTATCTACCGTGGTTAACAGGTAAATTTCTTTTTTCTTAAATAAATAATTTACTACTATTTGAGTAATCGTCATTATCTTTCTCTTTTTTATGTAATTTCAATGGTGCTTTTTTCTTTTAAGGATGTTTTTTTCTCATTTTAAACTAAAATGTATTTCAGAGCTATTAACAAGTCACTTTTCAGTTATGAGATTTCCAACCGTATAATGAAGGCTAGGGTGGCATACATCAACTTGTGCCACCTCTGGCGCCGTCGCGACGTTAGCCTGGCTGTCAAAGGTCGGGTATACAATGCTTCGGTGCGGACTGTCTTGCTGTACGCCTGTGAAACCTGGCCTCTCTGAGCTGAGGATGTGAGGCGACTCTGCGTGTTCGATCATCGCTGTCTCCGCAGGATTGCTTGCGTTCGATGGCATCATCACGTGAGTAATTCTGAGGTTCGGCGATGTGTGTTTGAACACAGTGGAGATCACCATTCATTGAGTGTCGTCACCTGGAAACACCGACTTCGGTGGCTTGGACGTGTGCTGCGAATGTCATTCCAGAGGCTTCTGTACAGGTCTCTGTTCGCTAGCCCTGGAACAGTCAGTCCATGACGTGGGCTCTCACGCATTTTTTTGAATGTCAAGATCTATACGTTTGTAGTTGGTGTTTTCCAGGATAAAGAGTTAACCTCATCTACAGTTCCGTATAGTGTATTCAGTAAACACTTTTATCTTTCACAGCTAATCTTTTTTAAAGTTTACTTACGTGTTAATGGTAAATGCTTTTTGCGTGTTTTATACCACTGCAGCAAGTCAATTTATTTTTTATTTTTATTTTTTATTACTCTAGATGGATATCAACCATTCATCTCACCACCGCCTACTTTATCCAAAGAGTTACACTATCCATGCAACCGTTCATCAGTTATTACTGTTGATGACCATCATTCTAGTGGAGTATCAGTGGTAGAAACACAAGGTTCTAAATTAGTCAAACGACGTCGTAAAGAATCTTTACAGTGTAATGAAACACGAGATAATAAGACAGGTGTGTGTGATTATAATTCATTCATTCATTCTTTCTATCTTAATGATACTTTTGTCGCCTTGATTATTGGTTAATAGGAGTGTTATATTATGTTGTACTAACAGTATCACAACCCAAGATGTTAGTACAAAGTGAGTTTGTGGTCGTCCCTCGCCTGTTTGATCGATGTGGGTGATTAAAGAATTCTCCTGTTAGGTTTCCCTATTTACTTACTCTAATAATACTAATTAGAAAAAGCATTCCAGCAACTATAAGACCGCAATGCATTAAGATGAACTGAATTCTTCACTTACAAGTCATACAGTTTCCGGTGAGAAATCAAGACAGTTTTCTTTGGAAACCACCAAAAATATTTGGATTTTTTCCCGGTGACTTGTGCCTTTGAGAACTGTGTGATCTGCAAATGGTGTAAGTAACTGGCCAGTATTTGGACGGTTAAAACTCGTTCGGCTCTCTGAACTGAGTCGAATCAGGCACGCAACTGGTAAGCTCTACCCGAGATAGACTGTCCGGAGTGTTGGCTTTTTCGATCTGACCAGCACGCGCGATTGTTTGACGTGAGTGTTTTCCATCTACCGATATCAATCAGTAAGTGATCCATTGCAGTGCTGCTTCACATAACTTAATTGTAACACTGATTCACACTTATATTAGTTGGCCGTCTGATTATCAAATGAGTCACTCATTTTTTCCCTAGCAGTTTAAAGAATAATAACTTCTTAAGTAAATTTAAAACCTTACGTTGAGCTGTGCAAACACGAAATATAATGTTTATATATATCCTTTAACAACTATTACGTTTTAGTTTCTCGTCAACGTTCGCTTCCTAACGTCACTAATGCTGGCACCAGTCAACCTGTATCATCGGATGCTGTGTTGAATACGAATGCAAATCAAACAACCAATCAAATTAATTCACGTTCATTATGGTGTCCAGGAATTTCTGACACTAATACAGATTCATTACCACGTTTTCCGTTAAGTCATCAAGCAACTTCATCTACTTCTAATCGTTCTAATACTCTTAGACGAACTGGTGCAGTTCGTTTACGTAAAATCTCTTCAGATGTTCATTCGAATTCTGGAATATTAAAAAGTCTTCAGATGAATCAACATCAAACTAAACTATCGAATGCTCAAAGCTATCGACCAAATCAGCAAGATATGCTGTCTACTAATCAATATTCTTGCAGTACCGATACTCTACCTTGTAAACCTAGTGTTGTTGTTCCAACGCCTTTGACAATGCCAACAACGCCATCCCATCTGGAGGATTATAATAAACCTGAAAGTAAACGAATACGGAATGTACATCATTTTCTCAATCTGTTTGATAAATATAACTGTCATGCTGCAACACTGGCAACTGCTACCGCTACTACCAAAGGAAAACGTAAATATTCTAAACATGCAATGACAACAACAACAACAGGTGGTGATGATAATGAGGATGAAGCGGATCTGTTGCAAGCAAATGTTCATCGTTTTCAGTGTTGTCAATTAGTACCTAATGAAGCGAAATTGATTGAATTTATGCGTAATCAAGTGAGTACAGGCTTATTATTATAACGTTTTTTTTGCGCTATACAATGTTTTGTTGTTGCATTTGGTTGTCATTGTCAATGGAAATGTGGATGAGTCAGATATATGGTCCCACAATTATGCAAAGAATTTCACACAGCACCTGCTCTGTCTTCACGGGATAGGGTGGCCAACCTGACGCCCAGCCTTCCCTCTTTGCCAAGCTTGATACCGCTTCAGTGGATTTTAGGGGTGTGTCGGTCGGGAACCGAACTCAAGATCATGTGCGTGGATGGTTGGCATTCTACCCCGAAACATCATTTCATTTCTGATAATCGACGTTTAAAAAAGAGTGTAACTTTATTTTACTCATTTTTGATGCAGAAACAGTAAATTCTTGTGCAGTATGCCTATCTGATGATATTAGATAGTTGGAGGCAATCGGCAGGAGGCCTTGGACACCTAGGTTTCGTGCTAGTCGGCACTCACCAGTCAGTCAGCAAGGCGTATATGCAACCTTGAAGGAACTCATATCCCTTATGAGGTTCGAACCCGCGTCAACCAGTGAGTGCTGCAGTCAGAGACGTTACTACTGAGCTATTTGGGCTGGCGATTGATCTCCTGTAGGACTGCAGTGGGTATTTGGATTGGCCTATCTTGTGCCTATCTTATGTAAGTTTTATGTTATCTTGCCACCTCTGACGATAAGGTTAACTGAAGTGTATGTGTATGTATCAAATGAACCCTTTATATCACAAATTAATGTGAACGCTTTGTATTCGTGCAGAGTTTTTCGGATGACGAAATATCACACCAGTAGAGTTTTTCATATATCGCCAATGAAATTGTGTGTATGTGTGCGTGTGTAATTGGTGTTTAACTTCGCTACATCATCACATTTTTTTTATTGTTATAATCTTGTAATTTGTCTTCTTTGTTGTTTTTGTACAGATTGATTCGGATCAAACTGGTTCATGTCGTTCGAAACTGATGATGATGTTGTGTACAAGTGATGTGGTCTCACAAGCGGCTGAAATTTTAATGGGATTCACTAAACCTGATACCGAAAGTAGGTTGATCAAAAGACTACCATCTGTTCCCCTTTCCAGTTATCAGTATTATTAATTTTATAAGACACTATAACATGTTCACACCATCTGAAAGAGATGCTAATGTTGTATATATAACACACGCGTTACGGCGTATCATTTAATAAGGCTATATGATATAATATAGCCAATATAATATCGCCAATGATTTTCCTGATTGCAGTAGACTAGGTAATGCGACAAACTGTGGGCAATGAGGAAACAGGCATAAAATGGACTCACACAAAAAACTTGGAGGATCTGGACTTCGCCGATGATATATGTCTGATTTTCCACAAACTGGAAGATATGCAAGTGAAAAGCAACAAGTTGGCAGAAGAAGCATCAAAGATAGAAGGGACTTCAGGTGAAGATAGAGAAGACAGAGATGATGAAGATTCCTGGCCAACACCACCAACAGCAACAACAACAGACAACAATCAACATAAATGGGAGGAATCTGAAAGAAGCAACCTTCACCTACCCGCCTACCTGGGAAGCAGGGTTTCAACTACAGGCGGACGGAACTGACGAGGATATCAAAGCAAGGATCGGGAAAGCAAGGCAAGCTTTCATTTCTCTCAAGTCTGTGTGGAGGTCAACAGCATTCAGCGTCAAAAATAAGATCCGGATTTTCAACTCCAATGTGAAGTCAGTGCTACTCACTATACGGATCAGAGACTTGCACTGTGCGTCATAAAGAGCACCTCAAACAAACTACAGACCTTCATTAACAGTTGTCTTCGCTCAATACTCAAGATCAGATGGCCAGAAAAGATCAGCAATAGTGAGGAATTTCTGGGAGCGAACCAACCAGGAACCGTTTGTGAAACAAATAGACAGGAAGAAATGGAGATGGATTGGCTGGCCATACTCTTAGGAAACCATAAAGTGACATCACTAGACAAGCCATTGCTCGAGTGGAACCCGAAAGGGAAGCGGCGAATTGGTTGTCAGTGCAAGGGTGACTTGGAGGAGGTCATGTGAAGAGGAGATGAAAACGTGTGGGCAAACTTGGAGCCAGGTAAAGACTCTAGCAGAGAACAGAACGCGATGGAGACGCACAGCTGAAGCCCTATGTTCCTCTAGGGATTAAAGGATATAATAATGATATGATATAACAAAACTTCAATGCAACATTTAATTATCCAAATAATTATCAGTTACTAGTACATATGAATGATAAAAGATGCATGAGTGATTGTAGTTATTCGTGTCTACTCGATATCCCTCAGATGTTCGGTTAGATGTATTGTTTCACATTCTCGAGGGGAATGTCAGTCACCTCTCATCGGGATGCAAGCACATATCTGAATGGTGTGCTTTGAATAGAGGGCGAGACCCACACCTCACCCACAAATCTTGCATCCTACTGCCTACTAGCTAGGCTCAAACAATTATTGTAATATCCAAGTTGACAAGTATTCAACGTAGATTGTAATCATTTCCCCACCTGTAATGATTGTAATTGACGTAAAGCATTACAATTTCTATTCCGTTGTCTCTATTAATGTTGTTTAGTGACTATTATCTCTTCTAAAAGAGTTTATGTGAGATAAATGACTATCGATGTGATCAGACGTGTTTGGAGAGATTAGACCTGTTTTCATGTATTTTACTCTTTCTGTCCGCATATATTTATGCATGTGTGTGTGTATGTTATTCTTTTCTTTTATCTCCTACAATCCAAAAAGGTTTACTCAGTCACCTTATGAACTGTTCAACTGGAAATGAAGTCGAATTCTCTGGAAAATCTCGTCTTGATAAATTAAATGAAATGCTTTCAAGTGAACGAAACACTACTCCAGCTATTCATATGTGTTCTAATATTACGGTAAGTAAGCCTTGCATTATTATCACTATTATTATTATTATTTGAATATCTGTTCCAAAATGGATTCGCTGTTTTTATTCTTAGAATGTTTCTGTTTGTTCAGCGTTTAGTATTGTAGCCTCTTGTATAACTGTTCTTCTTCTTCTTCTTTTCCTGATAGCCTAATCCTTTTTCCTCTATCTGTATTGGCGAGAGTTTTGTTTATTGATTTCAGCACTTCAGTTTCGGCCAACGAGATCTCAGATACGTAGACGAATCACTTTACACTTTCAAATGGGTAAACAGGCAACCGATCCTAATATAGGAAAAAAAGGCACTGTTCCTAGATATTGTAGTTGCTTGCTTATATCAACACTACTATCATCATTTTTGCAGTCGTAGTGAATTCTTTTTTTTTTTGAAGATCTACGATCTCTGTGTAGTTTTTGTTAGATTTCATACCACCCAGATTTGGTTTCACTTTTCATATTCATGTGATCAGTAATCGTACTTCATATTATTATCTGTTAGTAGTTATTGACTATCCTTGTTTTATTCCTGAGTATTCAATGTTATATTCATAAGGAGGGTGTATTGATCATGTATTCACCCTTTGGCAGATTCTCGAACATAGTCATACTTACCGGTGTCCAACAATCATTGATTGGGAGGTATTAAGGCAATGTTTGGCCGTGAAGGGGGTAGTGATAAAGTACATTGCACTGATCAATGCGCATTACTGGAACTCACGCAGCCGTGTAAGAGTTTACGGAGAGTTGTTACCTGAAGTGTTGGCAAGCAATGCTTTCTGTTAGGGTTGTCCACTGTCCCCATTTCTCTTTAAATACAACTGAGATGTACTAATAGAATTCGCCATAACTGAATTCAGCCACTTAGGGATTGACTTCCTACCAGGGAACAGTCTTGTTGACTACGAATGTGCGGGTGATATTGTCCTCCTACGTGAGGACGCTGCTAAAATATAGCATTCGAGACACCTTTAGCAGAAAGAAATCTCCGAATGTTTGGCATGTCAAATGTAAGATGATGCTACTGGACTGGACAGCGATGACTTCTAGCTCAGAGATAGAAAGTGAGGGGATACAGCATGTTGATGACTTCACTCATTTGGGGAGTTGCATCAGCCCCAATTTGACTGATTGCTAGCGAAACCTCAACACAGAGGGCTGATGTGGCATTTGCCAATCTACGTTATCTCTGGAGTGAGTAGTTGTGATATCCGGCTGGCTATCGATCAAAGGACATGTGTGGTGTGCAACAGTTCGCTATTTCCCCGTTATGGTTATGATACATGGACACTGAAGGTGAATGATGTGAAAAGGCTAACTGGCCATGACTACAGATGTTCGCGTCCTCTCTCTCTCTTTCATGTTGAGTGTCTCAATATCATGAGTAATACTGAGGTTAGTCGTGAAGTGTTAGGTGGGGAGAGGAAGTCAATCGATGATTTTGTGAGACTACGTCAATTGAGATGGCTAAAACATGTGTTGTACATTCTGAGCTACCTCCTTCCTTGTTGAGAAATGTTAGGTGACATGGTTTTTGGCTGGGAAAAAGTCAGAGTGTTTATATCAAAACATAGCACCAGTGGTTGAAATGTTTGACAGTTGGTTTGAGGTGGTCAGGTATGTTGGTGAAGACTGTCTGGTTGGGGTTGGGGTCCTCAGGACGCTAAGATTTATTGGATGGAGACAAATGGTGGTATGGCACAAAATTGTTGTAAATGGTGCAGATAGATTCACTCTTTTTTGATCTTCCATATCCATTACCCAACTTTATTGTTTTTCCGTGTTATTATTTTTCCCTACTCTCATTTCTGCTTATTGTTGTTATTTTGAATCTCTTATTTTCTCTTCTTTTGTGTGCTACATAGAGTGTGGCAAATGGAACTGCTGCACTTCTGTGCAAAGTTTTATTTTGAAACCAGTCAGTTAGGATGCATAATTTGCCTTTGTAAGTTTGTAACCTGTTCTACTTCAATCATCAATTCATTCCAAGATAAATCATTCACTCAAATAAAATGTCGGCTTTCTTTTAGTTCAACTTTTAATTAACTTACTCTTAAATTAAATTATCTAATGGTGTGTAGGCTAAAGTTATTTGTTGATTAAATTTTAGCAGAATATAACGCTTTCGTGGGATCAACTAAGTAGTCAGTGAGTGGAATGAACTTTTTTTTGAAAGAGATTATTAGACACCATATGATGTGAAGAAAAAGCCCACATCAATGTCATTTCTAGGTTTTCGACAGAGCGCCACACCATTATGCCTCTATTGTTGAAATTCTACAAGTCATACAGATTTTGTTTCATATGTGTTGTTTAAGCAGTCTATGTAATCAAGACTTTTAAATTGGTGGATTTTTTTTCTTCTCTTTGATTAAATAGACTCCAGTACCAGCTATGCCAACAAAAACAAGGTCATTATGGCGAAATATTTTCATTGCTGGTCGTCAAATATTTCGTTCTAAATCTCTTTATTCTACTTGTGATATAAGTGAATATTTAATGCGTTACTCGTCTAGTGATCGCTTGTCAAGAACGTGTGATGAGGCGGATCATGGTGTCATTAATAAATCGATTCATTCAAGTACAAGTACGCGTCATACACCTACGTCAACTGATCATGTATCATATTCAGTTGTATCTCCGGGGAGAATTGTAGTCCACTCACTGTCTGATAATTCAAATAGTGCAGTGTCATCTTTCTCGCCTTCGTCATTATCGACAACTCCTCCTATTGACGCTATAGTTTCTCTACCTGCATTATCTATGTCTACTGCAAGCAATGCTTCACGTGGGACATCGTCATCCACCAACCCTGTTTTGCTTATTCAAGCACTGGCTAGTATTCTCTCTGGTACAGACAGTTCAAATAGTGGTGGCAGCCTAATTTTGTCTGGTGGAAATACATCTGCAACATCTGATGCAAATGGAACCGCTGTCTCTTTTCTACCGTCTAATGCAGCCTTGTCATTAAGAGAATTATTTGGACCGCGTATGTCAAACAATATGTCTTCATCTACCGCTCCTGTTGCAAGCAAAACTAGTTCCTCTGTTACTGGGGCTGCTGCATCTAGTGGAGCTACTACATGTGTTGTTCGTGTACCATGTCCAGGACAATCCAAATGTTCTTACTTTCTGGTAGTTACAAACACAGGACCTAAGTCAGTTGTTACTGGGTCGGATACAGGCGTAAACACAACGACAACAACCAGTGCTTCAGATACCCTAAAAGGTCCACGATCACCATTTGGTCACCGTGGATTAATGACCATCTACTGTTTGGATAAGCTTTTAATAAAATTAGCAGATAAGCAAGACCGAAGTTTAAAAGAAGTTGCCAAGTTAAGAGCTGTCACAGCTTTACTTCAATCAAGACATAATGAATCAACAATTGGGTCTGACAATGAAACCAATGGTAAGAACATCAAATGATGGTTTTACAATTATTCTGTTTGAAAAAACAAGAGATTGAGGGAAGAAATATACATTCCTCTTCAATTAGTTCCTCGTTATCGGCTGGCTCTACACTAATACATAATCTTTTTACATCAAAATGTTTTACCAATCAAGTGGTTATTTTAGTTAATCAGTTTTAGGTAAAGGCTGGGGTGAATTAAGAGGTTGAAGGTCATCAAAACAAATAACTAATAGATGTTAGTAAGAAGATATCTAAGTTTTGCAGGAGGGGTGAAAATTAATTACGGAATTCAAGATAGGTTGATTCTTAGACGTTGGCAACAAGTTATTACACAATCTAGAAATGTGTAAACTGCAAAGTAGTTAATAGAATTAGCTAGAATTGTAAAAAATAACAAATTCAGAGATAGTCACAAGGAGAGGGGAGGAATCGTTTTAAAAAAATTAGTACATATTATGTAGTTGGCTATGGCAAAGAAAGGAGCTGTACACATTTCTTGCAAACATCCAGATTCGGCTTGTTCAGATGAATTCCGATTGCCTCTACCATGGCCAACTACATAATATGTACTAAGTTTTTAAAAACGATTCCTTCCTCCTTCTTGTAACTGTTTTTTGACTTTGTTATTTTTTTTACAATTCTAGCTAATTCTATTAACTTGTTTGTTTTTTACCTTATTCTACTCAGTAATCTAATTCTTCTTAGTCGTCATTATTTTGCAGATTCCTTGATTATGTAATAACTTGTTACCAACGCCTAAGAATCAGTTTGTCCTGAATTCCGTAATTAATTTTCACCCCTCCTTCAAAATTTAGATATCTTTTTACTAACATCTATTAGTTATTTAAGTGTTGGTTTGTAGAGATTTGGTTGATTGGTTACAGGATTTCATCATGAGCTGACATTGGTTGGAGAACCATTGGAAAACCTGGGAGTACTGGACAGCTGTTTCGTCCTAGTTTGGGACTCTTCAACAGTACGCACCCCCAGGGTTCGAACCCAGGACCTTCCGATTGCGAAGTGAGCTTGGACCCGATCCAATGACCCATGAATTCTGACTTCTAATTCACGACATAACTCGACCACTAGCCAATGTCTTCGGCGAATATTTGTCCTCACACCCGACCTGCTGCACCCTACTGGTCACGACTTCTCACTAGAACCCCAGGTAACTACCTACCTGAATAGGGCAAGTCGCCATTGAGCATGTCATCGATATTAGTTATTTGTTTTGATGACCTTTAACCTCTTAATTCACCCCAGCCTTTACCTAAAACTGATTAACTGAAATAACCACTTGATTGGTAAAACATTTTGGTGTAAAGAGACTATGTGTTAGTGTAGAGTCATCCGTTGACGAGGAACTAATTGAAGAGGAATGCATATTTCTTCGTTCAGTCTGTTACATTTTTCTAAATGCCCATAAATGGGAATTCTGATATTCTGTTTGAGTTGGTCCATGTTTCATGTTTCAGCAATTTATTTGACAATTTTCTTTAAAATATTTGAAAAGGAAATGTGAAACATCTGAAAATGTGTATTTCTTTTTTTGCAGGTTAAATGCTAGAAAGTTAGAAAGGTATTCGAAAGTGTTTGAATCTAGATTTATATGTTGTTAGTGTGTGTATCACTAATTCGCTTCAAACGAAGTGTATTCATGATAAAAATCAAGTTCATTTGTACTATACGTTTCGTAAACAATAATATTACTTACTTGCAGCTTGTAGAATGTGACTGAGAAAGCGAAATACACATATATCCTTGGCACAGTTTCTTTTGTGAAACTAATTGTTATATACACATACTCAATTTACGTGAAGACCACTTAGTACACACTGGCTTTTCTAACTATAAGGTCGACAACGTATCAGAAAAATTTATTTATTCTGAAATGTTTATCAAGTGAAAAAAAACTTTTTTTCTTATTAAGAAGACTGACGCTCTGTGTATAGTTGTAACCGGTTTCAAGACGTAATATCGTCAGCATGTATAGTTGGGGGCTGTCGGGACTACTGGATTATTTTCTACTCAACAGACTTCACGCTGAAGTATAGTTTTAGAGAATGTTGTAACTAAATTTGATAAAAAGGTGCTTAGATTGTGTTCAATATCCATGTAATAGTTTCTGGTTTCCTAGACCTTTACTTGCACTTAACCTTGCTGTTCATTGTTTCAATCTTAATTTATCCAAATTAATTTTCAAGTATAGGTTTTGTAGGGATTTGTTTGATTGGTTGGAGGATTTCATCATAAGCTGACATCAGTTAGAGAACCATTGGAAAACCTGGGAGTACTGGACAGCTGTTTCGTCCTGGCTTAGGACGAAGTGGTCGTGCTATGTCATGAATTGGCAGAAGTTAGAATTCATAGGCCATTGGATCGGGTCCCTGTGGTTTGATGGTCTACGAGCTAGCTCGCCTTGTAACCAGAAGGTCCTGGTTTCGAACCCCGGTGGGTACTTGCTGGTGAAGAGTCCCAAACTAGGACGAAACAGATGTCAAGTAATCTCAGGTTATCCGGATTGGTTAATTTACGTTGAAACAATTTCACAGTTTGTAAATTACACAGTTTGAGTTGTAATTATATCAAAATTTTCTTTTAAAAATTATTACCATTTGACCCTATGGATTAACTTGAATTGGAGTGATTTGAACTGATTCGGCTCTTTGATCCTTAACAAAACCAGCTACACTGCTGATGAACAACTGAGCCCCAATCGCGTTGAGATCATTTCGATCTGGCCAGCTGATACACCTGTTCAATATGGGTGGTTACTATCTACTCATATCAACCAATCAATCAGTTAGCACATAACATCTCGCATTTATGATTAATTTACACTTTTATTATGTTTCGTAAATCTAGAAGTATAATACCTTTTCTGTCTTCTTTTTTTTGAAAACAAAAAATATGTTTTACAGACATTAAAAGCTCATATCGGATTCAGTTAGGGAAATCGCCACTATCAATCCTACCTGAATTAACCAAGAATTTGGATTCAATCGTTAATGAAATGAATTATAGCATGAAACAAGTTTCTGTTAATATTAATGATCTGCCGAAATCTAGTACTGCAGCTGCTGGTGTTCTTATCACAAGTATGACTGTTAATCCATCATGTCCATCCACATTTGTTATATGTGGTCTATGGGTAAGTATGGGTAAAATGTAAAGATCTATTTGTACAAATGTGGTATTGTTTATATCATAATTGTTTGTTTTTTCTATCCTATTGAAGGTGCAAACGTTTATTATTATTATTACTTAATATTGAATACCAGGGTGTGCTGGTGGAGGTCCAATGGAAGACTGTACGCACGCCACACGAAAATTTGGGTTCGATCATCGCGTAGTTTACTAGTCAGTTGCAAGCATTGAAAGAAGCTTCATTTCTTTGATTGTGTGAGGTCTGAGATACTGCCCGGGCGCGCAGACCAAAGCAGGTGGTTGTCTTGAAGGACCACCCTCCAAACTTTTTACTTGGAGTCTAATCCGCAAGGCAGCGGAGCAGCGTCAGGAGCTACTTTCCCATGGTTGCCAGTGACCCATACAAACAGGTTCATACGCCATTTGATCCGATTAGATTCTGGAGCCCATGTACCCTATGGTAACTGCTTTCAAGGTAATCGTTATCCAGACGACATTCCTGACATGGTAGGACGTGCAGGAACATGAATCCCAGCCAGTTTAGCTTGTTGGGTCACTGCGGTATTCAAACCCGGCCACCTCGACAAGGTACTTTACTTTACTTTGGCTATCTCCTACGGGAGGATGAGCTGGCTTCATGAACATCTCGAATCATCGCTGCCCAGGCGCGGCGATCTGATGAAGAGAGTTCATGAAGTTTCATGGGAATTTGGTACGAGTGATGTCCCCAGAATCGCTGGGCCTTTTGTTTGAGAGTGCAGCTCTAGCCTTTACACAATCAAGTGTGACCTACAAGGCAGTATGAGTAGAATAGGGAGTCCACTATCCATTGGCAGCCGGTGACCGGAGTTCGGTTCATACGCCTTTTTGAATGGGGCCAGACATCCAGGACATCCAACAAGCCCTTTGTCCACACGTCTGCCGGTGAGCTCCAGTGAGCTTCATACGCCAGTCGTTGGAGGTTTGGAATCAGGGTTTGGCCATCTCCCCTAGACTGTCATCCAATGGACAGTCAACCCGGTGAAGAGCGCCGGACATCCGCTTTCGCCCTCTCACTTTGGTGAAAAAGCACCTCCGCCACCTGAAAGCAGTGAGTAGGACTTCCTCAGGAGAGGCTATGTAAGACTCCCGGTCATATGGGAGCATTTCAAGAGGTGTGCGGAGGGGTGGCTAACCCGCAGAGCAAGGCACTCACCCCCGACCATCCTGAGGCTTTGACGGTGATGGTTAGGCATGCGCAGCACATGACCTAGCCATCTCAATCCGTGTAACTTTATACCCTCTTCGAATGATTTTCCCTCTTTGCCCAACACCCTACGCCTAACGTCAACATTACTTACCTTATTATATCACCTAACGTGAGAAAGAGATCGTAGACATCTATGATCAGAAACATTCAACCTTTTCATGTCTTCCAATCGTATTGGCCACCTCGACAAGGTAGCAGTTGTTGGCCGGAGAGGGGAGCTTGTGAGTTAGAATGGCGACCTCAGACTGTGAAATTAACACTATCGCTACTGAAAGTTCAGTGCTTGAAGTCTTATGTGTTTCTCTCGAGAAAGAAACTAACACTACCAGGAGTGTTCAGAATTAATTTGCTTCTCTGAATTCAAACGGCAAAAAATAAATAAAGGTATGGGAAAGTAAAGAGATTCTACCTCATGATTTATCTAAGTTTTTTTTGGAAATAAACCGAGTACTTTCCAATTTCCAGAAAATATTTCACAAACGATTATTGTTTCAGATCATTTTGGGCTTCCTACTAATATGAGGTTGTCTTTTTTTCTGTTAAAATCTTTATATTACAGGAATGTATTGTGATGAGTCTGTCATCTGTGGGTCAAGTATGCGGACGTATTTCAGTGACACCGGTTGTAGGAACAAGACGAGAGCAAATTATCAAAGCTTTTTGGTTGCCTAATTCCATCAAGTTAATGGCTATACTTACTGATCAATCTGTTCAAGTGAGGAAATTATCATTTTTTTTTATAAAAAATTTTCTTTTTTGCTTATAAGAGCAAAATATTAATGAAGAATGCTTTTACTAGCATATTTATTACTGTGATGATTACTCTATATCGCTTTAAATCATTGGATATCTCAGAATAATAAAAAAAATGTGGTGTATGGGGAATTTGTTCGATTCAGCTGTTGAGAATAGCTGTCTATTGGCTATGTAATTTTGTGTTTTTCTTAGCAATATCCAATGGTTCGTTCTCATATCCATATCTCTCATGGTATGTGGTGTGTGTTGTATACAACTGACAGCTTCTTGGTCGCCAGTAGTGTTCTCACACTGATATTGATTGATAATAAATTCCTTTCCGTTTTTTTTGAAAATAATGCTATTCCCTTTTTCGCATTCATATAATGCCTAGTAATATGCTATTCTGTCATTTGAGTATATATTCCATTCAAACTGGAGGCTTTATTCAGTTGAAATGTGGCTGCTGGCTGGATTCAACATAGAACTTGGCACCGAAGTGCAGCAGTTCGTTTAGCCACGTTCCACATAGCATACATGGTGGACAAGAAGATGAGTGAAGAGAATCAATAGAGTTTTGACAAGTATAAGAGTGAAACAGAATGAGTAATGGTAGAAAGGAATATGAAAGATTACAGAGACTGAATACATCTGCGTAAGCCATTGACAACGATTTTGAGCCATGTCACCTATTGTCTCCAGCCATTGATTCTTAGAGTCCCGAGAGTCCCAACCTAGAAGTCTGCATCTCCCTACCTGACTCAGTTTAACTGTCAGGGATTTCATGGATTGATGAGGCCATGTTTTTGTTTGGCCACCACTTACTCTTTCCAACCTGCACCTATATCAGCTAGTAATGCCCGTCGGGGGAGGCGATGGTTAGGCATGTGCAGCGCGTGACCAAGCCATCTCAATCTATGTAACTTTATAGCCTCTTGGATTGATTTTCCCTCTTTGCCCAACACTCTACGCCTAACGTCAACATTACTTACCTTATTATACCACCTAACGCGAGAAAGAGATCGTAGACATCTATGATCAAAAACAGTCAACCTTTTCATGTCTTCCGCTCCCAATGGCCACGTCTCACCGCCATAGAGAAGGACGGAGCGAACTGCTGAGCAGTATACACGTCCCTTGGTTGACAGCCGGATGTCACGCCTGCGCCAGAGACGGTGTAAGTTAGCGAAAGCAGCCCGAGCTTTTTGGATGTGTGCTGAGATTTCGTCACCAATGAATCCGTTGGTGCTGATACAACTTCCCAAATAGGTGAAGTGGTCAACATGTTCTATCACTTCACTCCCTATCACTAAGCTAGGAGTTGACGTAGTCCAGTCCTGTAGCAGCATCTTACATTTCACAGGGGCGAATCGCATGCCAAACATACGAAGATTGCTGCTCAAGGTGTTCAGAAGACTCTCCATTTTGTCAGCATCCTCCCCTAACAGGACTATGTCATCTGCATATTCTAAGTCCATAAGACTATTCCCTGGTAACAAGTCGATTCCTATGTCGTTGAAATATACCTTGTGTCTTCTCTTTTCATTATTATTATTATTTTTGATTTTAGATATTCGATATATTCGATAATCCAAATAAACCGAAATATCATTTTAAACCAGTGGATGGAAGCTTTTGTGATGCAACATTTATACACTTACCACAATCTGCGCTAGATCAGAAAATGAAAAAGCAAAAAGATTCTGATGCTGCTGATGATGATGATAATGCTAATGCTGATGATTATTATAGTTTTGGTTTTGATCCAGTTGAATGGGATATTCACCTTTTAGTTATGGTTAATATGGGATCTATTTTACATCAGGTTAGTTATTTTCTTCGAGACTGGTGTTTTTGCAACTCCTTATTGTTGTAGTCCTTATCAGCTCGACATAAAGACTTTTTCACTTGTAGAAGTTATGCTGTCGTTCGAATAGCAGTATATACTTTTCATAGATTGTTGACTCTCAGACTTCCTTGACACTGAGCTGCGGCGTAAACTACATAAGGAAGAAAAAAAGTAATAGTTTGAATAATTTTAAGATAACCCGTCTAGGCAGACATACATCAGTAATTTGCTTGTAATAGACTCTGTGTATGATTATTATTATTAGATATTATTATTGTTTCCTTTAATTCCTAGAGGAACATAGGGCTTCAGCCGCGCGTCTCCATTGCGTTCGGTTCTCTGCTAGAGTCTTCACCTGGCTCCAAGTCTGCCCACACGTTTTCATCTCCTCTTCACTTCACATGACCTCCTCCAAGTCACCCTTGCACTGACGACCAACTCGCCGCTTCCCTTTCGGGTTCCACTCGAGCAATGGCTTGTCTAGTGGTGTCACTTGATGGTTTCTTTGCTCAGAGTATGGCCAATTTATCTCCATTTCTTCCTGCATATTTGTTTCACAATCAGTTCCTGCTGGGTTAGTTCGCTCATTGCCAGAGATCTCTGTTGCTGACCTTTTCTGGTCGGCCATCTGATCTCGAGTAGTATTGAGCGAAGACAGCTGTTTATGAAAGTCTGTAGTTTGTTTGAGATGCTCTTTATGACGCGCAGTGCAAGTCTCTGATCCGTATAGTGAGTAGCACTGACTTCACATTGGAGTTGAAAATCCGGATCTTATTTTTCATGCTGATTGTTGTTGACCTCCACACAGACTTGAGAGTAGTGAAAACTTGTCTCGCTTTTCCGATTCTTACTTTGATATCCTCGTCAGTTCCGCCTGTAGTTGAAACGATGCTTCCCAGGTCGGTAGGTGAAGGAGGTTGTTTCTTTCAGGTTCCTCCCATTTATGCTGATTGTTGTCTGTTGTTGTTGCTGTTGGTGTTGTCCAGGAATCTTCATCACTTCTGTTTTCTCTATGTTCACCTGAAGTCCGTCCTATCTTTGATGCTTCTTCTGCCAACTTGTTGCTTTTCACTTGCATATCTCCCAGTTTGTGGGAAATCAGACATAAATCATCGGCGAAGTCCAGATCCTCCAAGTTTTTTGTGTGATACTATGGCGAGAATTTCACTAGTTAGGCGTTTACACATACATCAACTAATGTCTCCTACGTTTATGCTTACACCTTGTAATCACCATTCTGATTCTATTCTTTTGATAGTTCACGATAATAATAATAATTGATGAAATATTGCAGGAAGATGATTTATGAAGCACATTTCACTAGCTGTTTTTATTAAAGAGAGACGAAGTCTTATTCATCGGTGAACTGGATGTGTATTTGTAACGACAGAAGGCAAGAGTCAGGCAACAGATCATTTATTAAGGAAATCAACGCATATTTATATATGTTTTCATTTACATTACTATGGATATGTAAACAAACAAACACAGTCTTCCGATTGGTTGTTTCTCACGTCAAATCTTGGGAACGTAAATATTGACGTAAATTACTGTCTACAAAGTTGGCTAGTAGACAGCTCTCACCACATATTCATTTCGGTAACAAAAGTCTGTTTGTTTAAGAATTGTTAAATATTGTCAAGTGTTTATTCGCAGGGATTCGATTGGTTACAGGATTGATCACAAGCTGATATCAGTTAAAGAACCATTGGAAAACCCTTAGGGAGTGCTGGACAGCTGTTTCGTCCTAGTTTGGGACTCCTCACCAGTACGCGCCCACTAATGGGTCTCGAACCCAGGTCCTTCTGTTTACAAGGTGAGCTCGTAGACCGTTAAGCCATTGGGACCCGATCTAATGACTAGTCCATGAATTCCAACTGCCAGCCCATACCACAGGCTAGTAGCTGTTCTCTTGCCTGACATAGTGGACTCCGCCGGTCACGAATTCTCGCTACTACTACTACTACTGCTTCTCTAACTGATGTTAACTTGTGATCAATCCTGTAATTGTTAACTTCTCTATAACATTCATTATTGCTGAATAACGAAATTTTTCCCACTGAAAAATTATTATTCTACTACATGCAATGATCTTTACTTTCTTCTTCAGTTAATAGCTAGTCAATTGCTGTGGAATTATATGCTTTCAGTTTTTACTAATTCTTAAGGATTTGTTTTTATCTATTTGTTTTTTTAAATTTCACATTCTTTTCAATTTCTTTTTTTTCGATTATTTTTTTCTGCTTCCCTAGAAACTGGGTCCTGACTGCTTATCATCATTGGGTCCGTTCTTTTTAGCTGAATCTTTGGAATGGGATGTTGCAAGTTTAAAGAGAAGCAATACAACATCAGATGACTTTGGTCCAATTCCAGAGTTAACACGGGATCGATTAACCGGTGTCCTAGGCGGTGGTGGAGTTAGCCTGCAGTATATCAGTTCTTTAGGTCTTTTACTGCATGCTTATCAATCTGGACATTCTGTAGCTAGCGGTATTGATTTATTCAATACAATGAATGCATCTTCCTCTCAATCTCAAGATAAAAATAAATTATGCATAACGCATTCTTTTCTACTGGCAACTGGTCCAAGAGAGGCGAATGTATCAAGCGGTACTGCTGGTTCACTAGCCAAACTGTTGAGGTTCGTTCGCTCACTGTTTTGTTATATATAATACTGAGTTAATTTAAACCGGCATTTTACATAAGGTTTTAATTAAATTGATGGAATCTATACAAATCCGTGAATTCTTTCTTTAAAAATACACTGTATAGTGTACTAATATCCTTGCTGTTATAAATCGTACATATTTCGCTCTGGACGGACGACTAAGACATCCATCGAATAAACTGAGTTGTGTAATAGATAGTCTGCATAATCTACTACCTTTCAAGTGTCAGGACAAATGAATATGTAATTCAGGTATTTAGATTTCGTATGAATTATATGGTGTGTGCTTTGCACCGTCTAAATGCAAAGTACTGTTACAAGACTGGCAGGAGCCTGTACCTGCACTCACTCTTGCGGGTGAACCGCTTGAAGTTGTTGATAAGTTTGTGTATCTGGGTAGTTGTGTGAGTACTGGCGGAGGGGTGACGGATGAGATTTCCAACCGTATAATGAAGGATAGGGTGGCATACATCAACTTGAGCCACCTCTGGCGCCGTCGCGACGTTAGCCTGGCTGTCAAAGGTCCGGTATACAATGATTTGGTGCGGGCTGTCTTGCTCTACGCCTGTGAAACCTGGCCTCTCCGAGCTGAGGATGTGCGGCGACTCTGCGTGTTCGATCATCGCTGTCTCCGCAGGATTGCTTGCGTTCGATGGCATCATCGCGTGAGTAATTCTGAGGTCCGGCGGTGTGTGTTTGAACACAGTGGAGATCACCATTCATTGAGTGTCGTCACCTGGAAACACCGACTTCGGTGGCTTGGACGTGTGCTGCGAATGTCATTCCAGAGGCTTCTGTACAGGTCTCTGTTCGCTAGCCCTGGGACTGGATGGAAAAGGTGGAGGGGTGGTGAGTCCATGACGTAGCGTCGTGGGACGAAGGATATTTGTGCTAGATTAGCATTGGTTGGTGTGTCACGACTCCCTTGTTGGTGTCCGCGAGATAGCTCGAATCGATGGCTCGAAACGTTATCGGATATGACCAAGAATTGTAATGAATGGCGAACGTGTTGCAATTTCTTTCTTTCTTCCCTTCCTGACGATAGTTAACGAATACTGTTTGAACTTGTTAAACATGACTGTTATCCCTCCAGATGAAGTTCTTTAACCATTCTCTACTTATATTTTTACTTTTGATCTATGTTGTTTTATTGTTAATTTTGTGTGGCGCATCTTTCTTGGTGCCATATTGTACCAAGTTTTTTCTGCGTTTAAAAAAATAAATAAATAATGAATAGATGGACAGGAACTAAGTATATCTTCAGTATTTATGTTAATCAAAGACTACTTGTTTTCAAGTGTTGAGATACTGTCGATCAATCTGACTACATTATTCAATTCACAAAGATGCAGTTTTTAATTTGGGCTTTCATGTTTTCTGTCCCCTTTCACCTATTTTGTGCAATATTATTATATTTTTTATTTCTAGGGGTTCGTCTATGATATCTCCCGAAAATTCGCATTTCGATCCCGACAAACTGGTAATCCCATTAATTTTAGCCAGTCATCCTATTACTGCCTCTGCTGTGACCACTTCTGAGACATCTCCTCAAGCAACAACCGGTAAACAACTATCTACTCAGTCCAGTCGTAAAATGACTATTCCCAGTATTGGTCCACTATTTCGTTGGACTGAAGTTATGGGTAATCATCCAGGTCTAGTGAGTGCAGTCTCCAAAGCAAATTTCATGTCTTCACCTCATTCTCAACATCAATCATTCCTAATGGCTTTCGAGCCTGATCAAGTCTGGGTACAACATTTATCTATTCACCCTAATTCACGTCTGTTTAATGTGAATGATTCACCTGTAACCAAGTTGAAAACACCTACTGCTATTTCTAATCTCACCAAGACCACTACCATCAACACCACCACCACTTCGAATACAAATACTGTTAAAGTTAGTACGTTGGAGAAACCTAGTACAACAGGACAATCTGTTTGTGAGTTTATGCTTTTATTTGAAGAAATAATTTCTTTTATCCATTTTTCAGTTTTCTATTTGTATGGTCGGTATAAGTGAAATTATCGTTACATATGGTCAAAAAATGGAAAAGTAACATATGTTCTAAGGGCCACGTGCACTTGTATACTGCATCTCTTGACATTTACAAATTCTGTCGTCATGCGTTTTCCATACAGTCATATGACGTAATCATTGATTGCCTTTTGTCCCTTAAATATGTCACTTTCAATAAATACGGTTGTAACTACTTACAAGTAGTCACTCGTAACAATCACTTTTATATGGGATTACATTTTTTTAGCATTTTCATAATGCAACAAATTGGCTCATTTCACAAATAAAGTCAAAAGGAAAGTAATTATGAAATCCGAAATTTATATTGAATAATTCATAGCTGGTTGTCATCCTGTGTGATATTTTCTGTTGAATTTACGGGGAATGCGAAAAGTGATAGGTCGAAATGTTTTCAAAAATGTGCAAATTAAATCATTACGAATTGACGACATCTTTGGTTGATTGAAACAAAATCATAGGCAGTAACTCGAAGGCAGGTATGTTTGGTCGAAGAGGGGATCTCGGCAACCCCAAAGTCCAGAGTGACTGTCGTCTTTCTGGCTGCAACAGTTTGCAAACTGATTTTGTTACCGCTCACTCTTTTTCATATTGTTTATGTTGATGGTCGTTTGTTTTATTGGTTCCCTATCTCGTCCTAACTATTCTCAAGCTGTTTCAGTTTTAAATTATTTTGTGTATAGCAGAATTTAGATGTCTAACTTGAGAAGACAGCAAATTGTTCGCGCCCTAATTCGTTTTTATGTCTAGATTTAAAGATGCAGCTCACACACACATTGACGGCCTCAGATACTGCTCCACCTACTTCAGCCTCGACAACTGAAGAGTATCCCCAGGTCATTGCTTGGTTCATGCAAAATCCGTCCCGGGCAAATGAGTTGCAGTAATAAGATACACGCTGTAATGGCCCTTCTGAAGTGTCTCAAGTGATCTGGTATTTCAACGGAAAGATTTGTTAATTTGTTCTCGGTACCATAATTCATTCCCACTTTTCGAGTCATACTTCAAAGTCTGCAAAGTATTCAGGATGTGTTATCTTTCATTTTATAGCGAGTAATATTTATAATAATGCTGTTTTATGATTCACTTATAGCTACTTCAACGCAGTTGGTTGATTCATTCTCGTTCCACTGGTTTGGCTCTCCAGGATATTTGAGTCGTACTATGACATTTTTACTAACATCAGATGGAACCTTGTTCGCTAGTGCTTCTGCCCCTAGGTACGTGACACTGTTTGTAGCATATTTTTTGACGTAATGTGTTTGTTTTTTTCAATTATATATCTGCATGGATATTGATCGGACACAAAACGTTGTATATTTTTTTGTATTTCAACTACTGCTAGTTGTATTAGTAGTATGATTATTTTATCTAATAAATCATTCATGTCTTCTAATCTTTTTCTTGTTTTGCTGCTAATTTGTCATTTGTGTTTAGATCTTCTATATATACACTACAAACTAAGAATTGTAATGAACCCGGTGAAGTGGGACCAAATTATGAGTTGTCTGTACTGCCTGGACAATATTGGCTTCAGAAAGATTTTAGCAAGAAAGTTATACCGTCATCTAGTCATTTAATGAAATTTTGCTGTCCAGAATTCCTTGGTCCTCTTTCAGTTAACTCTCTAGTGCATAATTTACCAAAAGGTGCTTTATGGGATTTGGCAACAGCTTCAACAGACCATTTCACTGAAGATACTAAACATCTCAGTATAAACCAAAAGGCATATTATGCAAGAAAGCAATCGTTAAGTATATCAACGGAAAATACAATTGAACTATTACAAAAACGTTTGATTGAATCACCTGCATACGGCACCTTACCTGTTGACTTCTTTGAGCATGTTACTGAAACGAATGAAGTAAGTATATATATTCCCTCACTTTTTCATTTCCTCACACTAAAATTAGTTGGGATAATTTTAGACACAGTTCACGTCAGTTGACTCAAATTACTACACTCATAAAATTTGCTTATTGTCCGAAGTGTTAGAATTCGAATTTATCTATTCGGAGTTCAAATCCAACTTTGTGTATTTCGAACTTGACAAGCAGACAGTAATCGACTGTTACTCATCATATGGTATAAGCACAAATGAGTTGCATTGCCATTTTGTTGCTGCGCATAACACATTTATTTTGAATTACGTAAAGCTTGTGTTTAATACAGTGTAAAACAAAATGGTTCGATTTTATATCGCAATGCTTTTGGTGTTACTGTGTAGTTTAATTACATGTTCCTTGTTATTGTAAACAAAATCAGTACCGACTGCGAAGAGTGAAAGGGATTGAGCTTTTCTTTTAAAAATTTCCTATCAATGATAAATCATCGTGATTGGTTGCACTTACATCCTGATATTCATATTACAGTTTTGTTTCTTGAGGTTGATATTAATTTCACTTCTAATTCGTGTGAGTTAATTCACATTTCCTGTTGATTGATTTATATTGAACCGAAGTAATCGATCTCTGATGGAAAGTTCCAGTGCAAAGACGACCACTCACTCGTCTTGCTGATATGTCTAAACGGGACGCCTAAGACTAGTGATTGGAAGTTATTAATGGCTTGGCTAAAATCACTTCCAATGACTCATTGGCTATTCACTTCTTATGAAGTTCCAGATGCATGGGATTCTCAATAATGCTCCGTGTAGTTGTCCTGTCTTCACTGCATTGTTATTCTTTATATTTCGTTCGGGTGGTTCTTTCTTCACTTAAACGCGCTAGCTCAAAAATAGGGAATGAAGTGGTAGGGCGTGTAAACCGCTTCACGTATTTTGGAAGTTACATCAGCTACAGTGGGTTGATTGCTGATTAAATCTCAGCACAGATACAGGCTTACACCATCTGTGGCGTAGACGTGATGTCCGTCTGGCAACCGAGGGACGTGTGCGCTACTTAGTAGTTCGTTCTGTCCTCCTTTATGGCTGTGAAACCTGTCCATTGAGAGTGGAAGATTGCAAAAGCTTTTCTAGCTGTGTTTGATCATAGGTGTCTGCGTTCTACCTCCCTTGTTAAGTATTATCATAAGGTGAGCAATATTGAGGTTACGCTTCGGTTGAGTGCTAGGAAAGGTCTGTCGGTCGGTCGGTTTTCGACATAGAACTTTGCACATGTGTGCGGCAGTTCAAGTCGCCACACTCCATGTAGCACACAAAGCAAGAGAAGAAAGTAGGAGAAATGCATAATATAGACAGTAAACAGGGATGTGAGACAAAGTTATAGTAATAATGGAGAACAAAACAGTTTAATTGGAAATCATAAGTCACAAGGAGTGGATGCATCTGCACCACTGAGAACGATTTTGAGCCATGTCACCAATTGTTTCCAACCATTGGTTTCTACCATCCCGAGGATCCCAACCAGTCTGGAGGTCTACACCTTCTTACGTGGCTTAGACTAACTGTTGTAGATTTCATTGACTGGTGCCATGTTTTCGTTTGACCGCTAGGAAAGGAGTGGAAATCAAGCAACGAGGTTGTGAAATTACGTCGACTGAGATGGTTAAGACATGTGTTACGTATGCCTAGCCATCCATCGCCTTCCTCGACTGGCAATGTTAGCTGACATAGGATATATCAGGTTGGAAAACACGTAGTGGGGGTCAAACCAAAACATGGCTTCATCAGTCAATGAAATCCACAACAGTTAGTTTGAGCCAGCCACGTCGGGAGGTGTAGACTTCCTAATTTGTTGGGATCCTAGGAATGGTAAATACCAATGAATACTGGAGACAGACAATTAGTGATATGGCTCAAAATCGTTGTCAATAGCTGGTGCAGATGGATTCACTCCTTGTGATATACAATATCCAATAAAATTCTGTTTTTTCTTCCATACTACTATTCTTTTTGCCTTATATCTCTGTTTATTATCTCTCTTTTGAATCTTTTTTCTCTCTTCTCTTGCATTGTGTGCTACAAGGAGGGAGTGTGACAGCTCGAACTGCTGCACATCTGTGCATAGTTCTACGTTGAAACCAGTTATTCAGTTACTTTTATGGGCTATATAATATCTTATGTAACAAAGTGAACTACTTCACTTCTGTGCATGAATAGTTGTACGTTGAAAACACATTCAGTTAATCACCGGACTCTGAAATATACAGTCCATTTCAGTTGTTGTTTTTTTTGAAGAGAAAATAGTCAAATTAGTTAAAGCAATAAGAAGACGTAATTTCTCTGAATCGTGTAATGTATTTGCGCAACACATTTCGAACAATCTAATTGATCATACACGGACTTATCATAGGAATATATATGAAGTTAATTAAGAGTTAAGAGGTGAGAAAATAAATTTAGGTCAAGTTAAAAGGACATATTGAAGGTCCAAATAACAATGAAGACCAATAAACCAGATAAGAGAAGTAATAGTACATCTGCCCTGACAAGTATCGAAACAAAGTTTACCAAGGAAGGTTTAGTGTGATGACGAATTGTTTTGGAACTCAGAAAGGTAGTTTAAACTTTCTAATTGCTAGGATTTCCACAAACTTTAGGATACGCCTCAAACACGTTTTATAGATAGGCTTAAAAATGGACTATATGTATGAGTACAAATCATAAATGTATGAACAAAACAATTCCAACAATGGTGTGAACACGGGCAGTAATTTTGTTCGAAATATTACCAATAACAAAACTTATCATTGTGTGTAAACCATTGAAATATAATTATACGTTATTTGATCTATTCCACAATGCTCAAACTTTTTACTGACTTTAATTTAAAGATGTGTTATCGTCAATTTTATGCCCTGTCTCTACAATATGTTTCGCAACAGATCAGCTAGGTCGTCTGTTCTCAACATTAATGGGTTCTGAAGATTCCATTTGTTTCTGGAGCCATTTAGGAATATGCCCTGAAGCCCCTACTTGCAGAGATCGATGAATCCTCCCTATGTATGTGTGTCCACACGTACATTCAAATTGGTAAATAGAGTGGGATGTGACATCATTGTTCGCATGTTCGAAGGGTTTAGATGGATATATTGGCTTCACATTCTCAATTATTATGATGTTAGCTGCAGTCTTTTTAACAGCAGCGTTCAATCTTTGTCTAGTTATCAAGCTGCTATGATGCCCCATATAGAGGGTAGCTTGATGTACACGTGTTTCTTAGGGGCAAGTTGTAGAGTGGGTCAAATTAGTGTTAGATTGAAGTACACATAGGAATATATTGAGTTTATATTTTTGAACAATATCTTCAATGTACAACTGATTGTATTTTATCATAGCGATCTATCATTAACTGGAACCAGTTGTCAGTGTGCATGTTAATTTTAGTGAATTTTAGTGTTAATGTCTAACTATCAAACTTGCTGAGTATGTTTATTTCTTTTATTTATACTTTTGTATTTCTATTTGTTAACCTGTTGGTCACTCAATTTTTTTTCACTTTTAATTTCTCTGAAAAAAACAAAACAAACAACTATCAATTACAGGTTGATTTTGGTGGTCCGGATCTTCTGCAGTTTTATAATTATGAACAACTTAGACGTCGTTTAACAACACCCGGTAGTCCTGTCACAGGTGCTGGCACTTGTAATTATACCACTTCTAGCGGAGGAAAACGTCGAGAGGATAAACATGCCGGATCGAAAGTTACATCTACAACTACATCAAGTGGATTAACAAGTGGTAAATCGAAAGATATCACGGCAACTATGGGACAACAGCATATTGCTTTTGTAATTGATATTTGTAATCGTCGAAAAGATACTGTACTGGCTGGTTTACGTGTTACACTACCTGCACCAACAGATGAGAATGCAAGTCGATGGCCGAGATTTTTCAAGGTAATATCCAGTTGAATTGTTAGATGTTTCACATTTTGTCTGCATAACTTTTATTTGTGATTGTATATAGAATTAATCTAACAGTGGAAATTTCTCTGCATGTTGTGAAATTTATTTTAAACAATTGCCAAGTGCACAAGCGATTGGTTGGTCGAATGTTAAGTTGATCCCAGTTCTAATAATAATCCTTACGTATGTTTGGGAAGCTGGTTAAGTAATTGGTAAACATTGGGCCATAATCTGGGATTTCCCTTCATGTGGCTCATTGGCTTATACACTCGAATTTCGATCTGTTAGTTTCATATTCGAATCCCGTTCCACCTACTTCAGCTTTGGCTATTGGGTAGTATTGTAACGACAGAAGACAAGGGCCAGGCAACAGATGGTTTATTGAGAAAATCAACAGATATCTATAGACTTTTGTGTACATTATTATTCGTTATTGTTAGCAGAGAAGCAACGTCTCCTGATTGATCGTTTTCCTGCAGAAGGAAGCTGACCTTAGCGCGCACTCGTTGGTATTTCGCCTCACACTTCCACATGCTGCTTTCTCCCGACCTCCCAGGAGTGTTCCAAGTAACAGCCTCATTGCTGACGGATCTTGAACGCCACTCAATTGCGCAACAGCCTCGAAGTCCTGCCCGAGGATCCATATGTCTACATCAAAAGCTGCAGGGCATAGGCTTTCCATTTGTCTGCAGGCACTGACAAGCACTAACGACAGAAGGCAAGGGTCAGGCAACAGATCGTTTGTTGAGAAAATCAAGAGATATTTCTAGACTTTTATGCACATTATTATTCGTTATTTTAGCAGAGAAGCAACGTCTTCTGATTCGTTTTTCTTCCTGAAGGTTATTCTGTACTGCTTGTGACCGTTGCTTACAAAGTTATCCATATATCTGCGAATCGTATTTGCACGCTCTAAGTCTGCTGTGATTTGTTGTTGAGTTCCCCAAGGTTAGGCTTTGTTATTGTTTTTTCTCATGACCCCGATTCGAGAAGTAAACGTTGACGTCAATTGTTGTCTGCACTCTTGTCTTGCAGACAGTTCTCACTACAGTACCCTGATATATATTTTTGGCTAATAGTCCAGAGCATAAAAGAATTGCTCAGGAAACCGACTCAACAATGACATTTTACTTCACAATAACTGAGTTTATAGAAACCGCACAGTACTGCAAGTCTGTAGTTGATGGAAGCGTTTCATTTGAATTTCTTCATGAAATTCAGAATCTTTTCCATAACGTTTCATTCTGAATTCATAGACATCTGTATAAGGTTCAAATTAATAGGTTTAAGGTGGATAACGCATATAAAAGTAGTTCTCCACTCATTGTGTTGGTATTCCGTCTTGCTGACATTACTTTCCGATTGATTTTCTTCACGCTATACCTTTCATTCATGCCAACTTTTTGTTTTGAAATTTCACTTCCTCTAGTTGTTCGACAGAACCATACCTGTTCCTCCTCCGTATCCAGGAGTGACTTCACCTCGTACTATTGATCTACCGTTATATCGTTGTGAAATGCTTCAATCTGACGGATTGTTAAAGCTATTCGGTGAGTGTAATTTGCACTGTTGTATTTCAATTATTTACCTTTCTGCATAATGGGATTTGTGAAAATTTGGATTAATTTAATCTCAATTGTTAGATTTCATTACGTAACAAAATTATTTAGAAAGACCATTTAAAGCCAGGAATCACTCAAAAGCTGTTCCACCATACGTTGAGATTCTTCAATATTGCGCACTCACGACTACCCCACTAGGGAGGGATCGAATCCGGGACCTTCAAGTTACGAGACCAAGTTCATTTACCATTCAGCCACTTGGTTGAGAATTCAGTGGTCCATGGATTCTAACTTTGTCAATATAGCGCTATTCTCACCATTGCTTTTGGGTGAGCATTCACTTCATCTTGACATAGTTGGACGCCACTGGTCACCACTTAATCAGTGCAACTTCGTGACATCTATCCAGTAGCCATCAATGACCTGGAGATTGATATCTAGACTTAGGGAGGACTTATGGCAACTTGGTTTAATGTAATTTAGGTTGTTACGTTTCGTCACGAATTAACATCACCTGAAAAAAAGGGTCTTGGGTACACACTATTGAAGAGTCCCAACCCAGGAAGAAACAGCTATTATTAGAAATCATTTTGAATCTCTTGAGCATTAGTATTTTCTTGTACTCGTTAGATTAAATCAGTAGCATTTAAATTTACATTTTGCTGTTTAATAGTGTATTTATATACCCTTTTTGTGTTTGTACTTAATCGTGCTAGTGGTCTAACTCTTGTCAATTAGAGTTAGACGTTGTAAACAGTAGCTTCAAAAATATATTGATAGTAGGTTTCATCATTCCTTTAAATGGATTCATTAGAATTAGATCTTCAACACTTCAGTTTCAATCCAAGTTCAAGGAAAAAAATATGGTTTTAAGTTGCGTTCTTTCGTCAGCCAACTCATCATATTCATGAAATGGCTTAATTTGTCTGTTTTATTTTTTAACCTCCTTTTTTCCTCTTTTAATAGTCGGCACAAGCGATGATCCTGAAGATATGACTAGCATAGATTGTATCATGGTGTATTGTATTACGCGTGATATGCTTTCATTGTTGCAACAATATAATAATATTCATGATATATTCGATCAACAAAGTGTCATCAAATCGAGTTCTTCCTTGTGTAGAAGTAAATCACAATTATCAACCAGCAATAATCAGTATAACAATACAATTAAAGGTCCAATGGACTTGTTCGTTTTAAGAGATAATCGTTCCAGTAGTACTAATGCTGATAACATTCATTCAAATGAAAATGACAATAACAATGATACTGAAGATGTGGATCGCTTTGATTATCCAGAAGATTTCTGCAAAATGAATTTGAGTACTTTTGGTAAGTTTGTTTTTGTCACTTAGGTTTTCTTAAGTGTGCAATTGTTGTTATGTGTACCTTTAGTTTTGCTTAAATTCTACCTGATATTAGTGTTCATCACTTTAAAATAGCTCTCAGTTGTGCAGTTGTTGGCCTTTCTTGTCTAGAACCTCTAATAGTTTCGCTTATCTCACTTTAAACGGTCATTTATCACTACGATACAGTAGGATGCTGCGCAGTCCACGTCTTCTTGATGGATAGCTAAATATCATCATTCTTGGGCTGAAGGTAATGAATGCAACTTGATAAATATCAAAATAACTTTTTGTATCCGTGCTGGTGTTTTATCAGCAATCAGAGTATTCGGTCTAATACAACTTCCCAAATAAATAGAGAGCAGTCGACACACTCGACCATTTCTCTCCCTATCCTTAAACTGGGGTTTGGCCTGCATCAGTCCAGCAGGACTTTCTTACATTTGATACGAGAGAATCGCATATCAGAATACTAAGATTTCCGCTCAAGTTGTTCAGAAGAAGCACTTGCATTTTGTCGATATCTTCACCTAGAAGGACTTTGTCATTTTCATACTTAATATAGACGATTGTCTCCCCTGGCGATTGGTTGGTCCCTAAGTTGCCAAAACGAATCAGAATCCCTCTCATTAATACATAAATGTAAATAAACAAAAACCGTGAGATTGAGTATTCATGACCTTGTTATCACTTCATGTTGCAACTTTCCATGAGCGGTTATGCGGCTGCATGAGTTCAAGTATAGTGCCTTGATTAGTATGATATAATTTTTTAGTGCACTCTTCACAGTCAGGTAATCTGCACAGTATCTCTGGATCGATGGCGTCAAATGTCTTCCATATAAGTTGGGATGATAAACGACCTACGCTAGTTCCGTACGTTAACTAATACTCTATGCGTCAATGGTTCAACGGTAGAATGCCCGCCGATCAAGGTTCGATTACCGACCGGCGCGCAACTTTATTTCCCCTAACTGGTTGCGAGCCTGACAAAGAGAGGCGGCTAGGTATGAGGTTAACAACTCCTCCCTTGAAAAAACACCACTGTTACTGAAACTTCAAGGCTGATACTCTGAAGTCCTATTTTCCACTCTGAACACGAAGGAAGAGAAAAAACGAATGCTCTAGTTAACGTATTAACTTATCTCCACCATCTTTAAACACTTGGAAATATGCCTTCAGGGCATGCTGCTTTGTATCGTTTTAAATTAGACACGACTAATGCAACTTCAGTTACTGTTAGAGGACTAATGCCTACAACCCATTCAAGCTGTGTTTCGGTGGTGGAAGGTTTCAGTCCACTTAAGTCACTCCTGAAAGTGTTCCGTCTAATGTTCCATTTGTTTCTCCCGAGAACTTATTAAAATTCTATCCTCCTCAAATGGCATTTCGTTAATCATAGCATAGCTTTACAGAAGCCGTCTACACAATTAGCCCAAACTGTTGAAAAGTGCCACCTATTGCTGATGCCTTCTCCATTTTTTTGCGCTTTCTTCATCCATCATTGTGTTAATTTTGAAAATGTTTCAAAGTGCTCATATTTTAGCATGTAGGGCACTTATTAAATGAAAACGATTGGTTTTGCGCATTGTTTTTTTTTTAAATAGCAGTGCCAATTACAGCATCGTGTTATCGCTCACTCGATATCGTAACTTTTCTGAGAACTTGGCTATAAGCCACATTTATTGTGTGAAGTCTGGTAATAAATCTCAATCCTCCGACCTGCGTTTAATGAAGAGGAAACTGAGAACCTGGGATTCAGTAACTGAAAGTCACTAAATCCCGTATGTCAGCGTTGGTTTATTTTCATGCAACAGACTGAGAAGTAAATGTGATTCACCATATAGGTGTGTATTCAATTCCTTAAATACTGATTGCTTACGAGAAAAGCAAGTTCAATTGTAAAGTAGCAAAAGCATCTAAGTTATCCAATCGAAGTTTCGAAATGAAGTCGCATATTGTTTCCGTTTTAGAAATTGTTCACTGTACATGTGCAGTTTAATTGTTTATTTATTATTCCTTAATGTGTATCTTTCCTTATTCTTTTATTACAGAGCAATCATTGGCTTTCAGACTTGATCGTTTGTTCAGTACAGGCTTTGTTACAGAATTAATTCCTACTGACAAAATAAACAACAATAATAAGACTAACACCAAAAAGTCGGCACGATCCTGTCAACCACAATTGTCGATTGCCAAGCCATTTCTATCTCCACCAGGTGGAATGTTTACATCCACAAATTCTATCGGTTGTTCTCACCTTACTCTATTCAATTCTTCATTCACACAATCCCGGTCTTCTATCCCATTGTCATTATTTTCTGATTATTGTGGTTTAACAGCTGCAATCACCAACTTGTTATACACCGTGGTCAATATAGGCATCACTTCAAAATCGAAAAAGCATGTAAGTGTCTAATCATTGAGGTAGTAACATACTTCAATTTTTTTGGTTTCTTTTGTCTACAGTTGTTTTCTTCCTTTTGTTTGTTTGTTTGGTAGGTAACTTGAAATTCTTTTCTTTTTCAAGCATCTGTGTAACACAAATCAGTGTCCAACGGAACGGTACTACTAGTAGCGAACTATGAAGTATTATGAATAAAAGACATCTGGGTGTTTGCTTTCTTATAATAGTTATTCCTAAAACCTACAGAATGTTTCGAAATTTTTACATCCCTTATAATGGGGATCATGCTGGCATGTTTTTAGCACCTCTACCCAATCTGGTGCATTGTAGTCTTCCTTTTTTGTAATCTGATTCCCTGTCTAGACTAGTTTTTCTTATTGTCTTCATAGTTTTGTCTTGTTTAAAACCAGTCGTGACCAGTAGAGTAGAGCAGGTCGGGTGTGCGGTCAAATATTCGCCGAAGACATTGGCTAGCGGTCGCGCTGTGTCGTGAATTGGCAGAAGTTGGAATTCATGGTCTGGCCATTGGATCCGGTCTCAGTGGCCTACGAGCTCGCCTTGTAAGCAGAAGGTACTGGTTTCGAACCCCGGTGGGGTGCGTGCTGATGAAGAGTCACAAACTAGGACGAAACGGTCGTCAAGTACTCCCAGCTGGTTTTCCAATGGTTCTCTAACCGATGTCAGATCATGATGAAATCCTGTAACCAGTTAGAAGTAGTCAGTTATAAAGAGTGTCATAATGTAGGATACCGAGGATAAGAACGATGGTTGTTTGCGCATAGTAGAAAAGCGCTTAACTGCAGTAAAACTCAGCGTAAAGATTTCATTCACCCATCAGTATTATTAGTGAGTGTATAATAGAATTCAGCGCTCACTTCTTGTAAATAATAATAATCTAAATTTTCTTATGTATGATATTTTTAATGATTTCAATTTTCCTACTGTTGTGTTCAATTTTAGAGCCTAAATATGACTGGTGTTCACCTGCTTATCTGCAGTTTAAGACGTACATTAAACAAATTGTCCGCCAGTGATGAATTCGATCAGTCTCCAGAGAGCGCAAAACAATCTCCTATAGGCTTGGAAATGTTACGTGCAGAAATTATAAAATATTTGGATTATATCTCACCTATTGTATTCAAGTGTAAAGGAATACCAACGTATATTCAGTCGAACACATTAAGCTTAGGCATATATCTCTATCAGCTGGCCTTAATGCTTACATGCTATACCGATATTGAACAAGTCGACAAGTTACCTGCAAATATTGATTCACTTCTCAATCAAATACTATACACACCATTCAATGAGTCACGAAAACAGTTGATTAGTTTTCTTGTGAAATTTTCATCTAACAGCAAGGGACTTCATCACTATGATATAATTACAAGTCATAACAATGTCTACAAAGCTCTACGATTAATACGTCAATTTTCTGCACAAATTTATCATTTATTACATATAAGTCCATTAGATCTGATTGAATGGATGTCAAAACATGAACTTAACAACAACAACTACAATGTTAGTATATTTCACTCGATACTGAATCGTTTGTTCAACTTATTTACGTTCAGTTTACCGATACCTTCAAATCCCTACCATTCAATTGATCCTGTATGGCCTATAAAATTCGACATGTTATCAATTGCAGTTGAACAGTATAATGAAAACAACGTATATCATCATCCTGCTATTGTGTCAACTGATCGTTGCTGGAGTCGTAGTTTCTCCCAACGCACTTTATCACATCATTCATCTTCTATGCCTAAATCGTATTTCAATCATTCTATTCAGCATTTCATTACACCACTAACACGTGCCGCATACACTCTGATATTAAGTTCAACTCTAATCAACAAACCCTTAAATAATGATATCAATTTAGATGAATTAATTATGACAAGTTTGATTCAACCAAGCAAAGATGATAATGAAAGTAAACAAGTAGACAACAATGTATTGATAAAGGCGTCAACAAATTATGCAAAGCTTTTAATTAAATTATTAACACATTCTAATATCCTGGTAAGTGATCTGCTGTGAATATACATATATTCGTTTTGAAGGGATCACAATTAATCCCAGTGGTTTGTTCTTTTTAACACCACAGACACTAGATTATTTATTTATGTATTTGTTTCCTAAAGGAGGCTGTCATGTTCCATTTTTAAACACATGGAGTCAAAGTTATCGATCCCCTAAAAGCCGTTTAGAATAAATAAAGCATTCAGAACATCATATGCATCAGTTCTATTTTATACGTACTTTCTAGCTATTTATAACTAACGCCATAGTATATGTTAACTATTCCTGATTACTTAAAAAAAACTTTTGTAGTTAATGTTCTGCCTGTCTGTCTGTTTTCGACATAGAACTTTGCACATATATGCGGCACTTCAAGTCGCCACACTCCCTCCTTGTAGCACACAAAGCAAGAGAAGAAAGTAGGAGAAATGCATAATATAGACAGTAAACAGAGGTGTGAGACAAAGGAATAGTAATAACGGAGAACAAAACAGTTTAATTGGAAATCACAAGTCACAAGGAGTGGATGCATCTGCGCCAGCCACTGAGAACGATTTTGAGCCATGTCACCAATTGTTTCCAACCATTGGTTTTTACCGTCCCGAGGAACTCAACCATCCAGGAAGTCTACACCTTCCTACTTGGCTTAGACTAACTGTTGTAGATTTCATTGACTGGTGCCATGTTTTCGTTTGACCACCGCTAGCTCTTTTCCAGCCTGACCCTATATCAGCTAACATTGCCAGTCGAGGGAGGCGATGACTAGGCATGCGTAACACATTTCCTAACCATCTCACTTGATCGATGTAACTTCACAGCCTCGTCGATTGATTTCCCCTCCTTACCTAGCACTCGACCAATGCCTCACCTCAATATTGCTCACCTTATTATACCACTTCACACGGAAGATAGAACGCAGACACCTATGATCGAAGACAGGTAATCTTTTCATGTCTTCCACTCTCAATGGCCAGGTCTCACAACCATAAAGGAGGACAGAGCGGACTGATGAGCAGTACATACACCCTTTGGTCGATAGTCAGATATTACGTCTTTGCCAGAGACGGCGAAAACTGGCATATGCGAACCTAGCCCTCTGTATTCATGCTGAGATTTCGTCTGAATTCAACCCGTTGGGGCTGATGGTACTTCCCAAGTAATTGAAGCGGTCAACGTGTTCTACCACTTCACTTCCTATTTCTAATCTAGGGGTCAGTTAATGTTCTAACTTCTTTCCGAGTCAATTCAACTTCAATGAATATTACTTATTGTGGAACACTATTGTCAGACATGCGTAACACACGCATGTCCTACCCATTTGAAAAAAATGATGCTTCACCACCTCATCGACTGAGTTCACCTCCTTATCTGATAAGTAACTCTAAACAAAAACATCCATCACTTTTACTAACGTTCGGCTGCAGGTTATCAATAACTTAGAGTCCTTTTTCCACGGTAAACTTGAAATGATGTCAGGTTTCGTCAAACCAACAGTCAGCGATTACATGTTTTCGTCTGGTCACTACTCCCAACCCCCTAACGTCCTAATTCTACTTCAGCCAACATTGCTTCTTGACTTAATATTTGCCTGAAGCTTGTTGACTGACTTATGCTTCAAGTTTGGTCATGGATTGATAGTTTATTTCGAGTGTAACTCTTTGTTTATTTTTGCTTTTCTCTGTAGGTTTCCTGTGCTACTCGTGACGCTTTATGTCGTCTTATTCTTCATGCAAGACCTAAACGTCGTGTCATTTGGTACAAAGTACATTCTTCTATGGATCGTCGACATCCTTCCTCTCTTAGAAAGTCTAGTGTTTCACGTTCTAGTGAAAATAAATCCTCTAAACCGGTATCAGACAAAAATACAATGCAATCTGCTGATACTGAATCACTGTCTGTACAAGGTTCAGACTCGATGTATGGACCTCATGGTTCTAACTCAGCAACTGCAACTACTGCTTCCAGTTCTGGGCGTAGTTGTCAACCAAGAACTACACCATATTCTGGTCGTCGACGTCCTACACGAGAATTTCATCCTCTGCAGGCGATCGATGTTGATGATCAATTGAATACACGAGAACTTACTTCTTTCTTCCACTTGGATGAATTTGGAAGCAATCATGCTGCAGCAGCGTCGGATAATCGTCAAGATACCTTTGGTCAGCGGAATGCAAGAACTGGTGCCGCTAATCGGCTGCGTAGATCAGGCCACTTCATGAGAATTTCGGTAAGCTTATACACCATGAAACATATAACCATTTTACTGAATATGTAATTTTATGATTAGGTAACGTGAATTATAACCATTAAATACTCTGAAATTTGTCGAAAAATTTACGGTCAACTTTGTATGATTCAACTATAAAAGGTGTCATTGATATAAGAATAAAACTTGGGCACTGTGGTAGAGTGTAATTCCATTATGGGTAAATTTTTATTTTGATAGAGTCTCACAGTGTTATACAGTAATATTTACTGATGACGTTTCGAGCACAAACTATTGCTCATAATCATATCAAGGTGTATTCTACTCAATTTTCTTTTTTTTCTCTTTTTTTTTCTTTCTTTATGCCCAATAAGAATCGACCTCCTTCAGTACCGGGTGAAGGTGAAACTAGATCTTCAAACAGTACAACAGCTTTCACTATCTATGAACCTATTCAGTATATGGATATGGAGAATGATATTTTAGATGATTATGGTCAGCCGGATTTGAATTTAGACAATGCAGACAGTCATTTACTATCAGAGTTTTTTGATTTAGCCGGTAGTAGTGATGCGCCTATTTCATCATTACGTGATGAAAGTGATGACGATATGGCATATCGTATCCTACGTGTATGCAGACGTATTTGGGGTTCACGAAGAATTGCTTCAATGAGACAGATGCTTGCAGATTCTGAATTCAGTGGAGAGAATGACTTCGATGGTAGAATTAGTCTAGCAGCTAATGAGATTGATGATATTCCAGAGACTGAACCTGAAAATATCGACGGTGAAGATGATGACGATGAGGATGATGAGGAACACGATGATAATGATGATGATGGCGATGAGAATGAGGATGGAGATGAACATCACGATGCAGTTTTAGATCCAGATAATGAGAAAGATGAAGATATGGAAGACGATGATGAAGAGGAAGAAGAAGATGAAGGAGATGATGAAGATAGTGACGATCAATTGCAATTGGGCATAAGTGAAACACTGACAAGTGAGATGGCTGTATTGCTGGCCCAGTTAGTTGCTGAATCTGGTCAATCCGTCGAAAACGGTCAAGAATCTCTTATTGATCAGCTAGGAATAAACTTTTCTGGACTGAGTAGAAGTTTTCTAAATAGAATACAGCAACCAACTCACAGTACGACAACAACAACAACAGCAACTACTTCTACCACAGGAACGAGTGTATCAGTTCCTAACTCACTAGTTTCCTCAACTGTGACAACTACATCCTCAGAAATGCGTGAAGCGCCTATTGATACATCAGTTGGAAGTTCTGCCAATCCTCAGTCAAGCTCCGCAGGTTCTAGACGTAGTCCTTCAACTGCCCAAACAGAACCCACACCTGTGTCAAACAGTGATCATGCTAGAGAATGGGAAGGACATGAAGCGGCGCATGGTGAAGAGATGGGCGAGAGACTAAGAGACAATGCAAGAGAACAAGAAGTTGATACAGTGACTGAAGGTGGCGAAGAAGCAGTCGATCTAAACCCTGATTTGTTGGATGTGGACGACCCACAAGGAAGGATGGATATGTGGGCATTTTCTGATAATCTAGAAGAAGATGTGGTACGTTACAGGAATGTTTTCATTTCTTGTTAAAGTTTAATATGTTTATTTTTTATATTGTGTACGAGAAATTGAGGGTTGAATACCACAAAACCAGATACTATATACAGATTATAACTTAGACGAAAATATGAAGGCAACAGAAGATGCAAACATTATTTGCTGGAGGGTAACCTATGCCTCTGTCTATTACGTAGTTCTAAGTCTACATTGCCATACTGATAATACGTATCACTTTCAAAAAGTATATCCAGTTGTAATAATACAGTTTGGTGCATAAAATCACAGATTCTTAAAGAATAAATTATAGTGAAGAATTTTTCAATAAAAGGGTTAGCCAAACACATTAGTTTATTTATATATGTCCAAACCAAGTTCACTTTTAACATTTTGAAAAAATTTGGGCATTGGGTATATGATATTCATTATGATAAAGGTTTTTTTGTATTTCCCAATGAATGAAAAACAAAACGATATTGTTTTTACTGACGTTTCGCTATTCAATGCTAATAGCTTTATCAAAGTATTATTAAACCGGAATTTACAAAATCTCAGCATATATATAACAAAGAGTTAATAGGTGAGAAAATAGACTTAGGTCAAGTTAAAATGACATATTGAAAGTTAAAATACCAATGAAGATCATTAAACCAAATAACAAAGGTAATAGTACGTCTGTTATGATATCAAAATAAAGTTTACTACATGCTATAGAATCAGGTCACAAAATTGATTTTGACAATATTGAAATAATCCAGAAAAGCTTCAGAAATCACAAAGAACATCTAATATCAGAATTACTTCATATCAAGTGGAATCCAGATTGCCTGAATAGGAATGATGGACGAAAACAGAATCTGACCTTGTTACAACACCTCCCTCCCCCATAAAATGGCAAAATCAACACGAATGTGATATGCAAGTTCACTATGTAAACACACACTGGTTTTATAGTTTTACACACTGATCAAATCCAACAATCTACACTTGAATTAAAAGTCAATCTGAACGAAGAATATTCTTTTCAATAATTTCTCTTCAGGTTCTTACAATTATAAAATATATTTGTTGTCGTTACAATAAGGCCAGTTATGCGGCAGATACATTTTTAACGTAGAATAACAGATTAGTTATGGGGTGTCAAAATAATGCTCACTCAGCGGTCCATTTCACCTACGAAGGAGAATGCAACGACTCTCTACACTTCCTCGACGTCCTACTAACGAGAAGAGAGGATGGTTCCGTCAAAAGAACCATATTTAGAAAGCTAGAGACCAAAGCTCAGTATACACACTTCCTTAGCTTTGTACCGATGAAATACAAACGCAATCTGATCAGATGCTTAGCATTTAGAGCAAGGTCGATTTATTCCGAAGACTGTGTAGAGCAAGAACTCCAGGTCATCCGAGACATTCTAAGTGAGAACGGATATCCAGAGAAGTTCATTAAAGCAAACATAGGTTACAATAGCCGTAAACATGAACTGACAACGGTGGAGAAAAAGCCTCTGTTTTTACGTCTCCAATTCAAGCGAGATACTCCTGCGGAGATTCTATCGCAACGTTTAACTAGGACGATCAAGAAAACTTTCTACTCTGCACGTCTGTGTCTATCCTTCAGTAGCCGTCCAATGTTCACCCAGCAACTCAAAGATGTTTTACCTAATCTTAGCTCTTCTTCATGCATATACCATTTCAACTGTTCCTGTGGTTCAAGTTATATAGGGCGCACGATTAGGCAGGTTCGTCTACGGGTTCGAGAACATATACCAGCTTGGTTCAGCAGAGGGGAAATTAAGTGCATAAAAAGCTCGATCCTGTCACACTTGGTCGATACTGGACATCATATCGATGTCAACACAGCTTTCAGGGTTATATACCGAATTCCGAAGTCGTTATCACGTACAGTTCGCTTACGTCTTCTACACATGGCTGAAGCTGTTGCAATAAGATCGACTAAACCGGAACTTTGTATCCAAAAAGAACACGTCCAGACGCTGTTCCTACCGTGGCCAAACTTGGATTGATGATTCTTCTTCTCACCAAGAGTGCTCCTTCCCCTTAACCCTCTTGGCTTTTTTTTTTCCTTTGCTTATTATTACAATTATTACTATTATTATTAATATTATTATTATTCGTCATAATTTATGCCCTTCATGCAAACATTCTCTCAATACTATCGAATTTTTTTTTTCGTTTATACTATCCGGACTTATTATTAGTGATATTATCTCTTTTCTCAACATATGCCTCCACCTGTTTCATTTCACATATTCGTTATCTCATTATGAACCTCCCAATGCAGTCTTACTATCTCCTGTTTAACACAGACCACTTTGTACTAGCCACTCACCTGACACCTTTTATAACCTTGAACTGACTTGTCAATTTTCCTACCCCCACTCTACAAATCTATTATGATTAATCACCATTGTCTCCCGTTTTACATTATTTTGTAATCGAATTCAGCCTAGCACGTTTGTCACACAAATACGACTATTTATTTTGACACCCCATAACTAATCTGTTATTCTACGTTAAAAATGTATCTGCCGCATAACTGGCCTTATTGTAACGACAACAAATATTATATTTTATAATTGTAAGAACCTGAAGAGAAATTATTGAAAAGAATATTCTTCGTTCAGATTGACTTTTAATTCATAATATGGGAATTTTCCACACTATCAAATCTACACTTGGTTTTGTTATCTTTACCAATTGACCAACTTGACAACGAAAAATGCCCCCAGACTGACGAACGATGATCAAGTTTGTAAACTTTGTTTTGATATCATAACAGACGTACTATTACCTTTGTTATTTGGTTTAATGATCTTCATTGGTATTTTAACTTTCAATATGTCATTTTAACTTGACCTAAGTCTATTTTCTCACCCATTAACTCTTTGTTATATATATGCTGAGATTTTGTAAATTCCGGTTTAATAATACTTTGATAAAGCTATTAGCATTGAATAGCGAAACGTCAGTAAAAACAATATCGTTTTGTTTTTCATTCATTGGGAAATACAAAAAAACCTTTATTATAACAAATTAATTTATCACTGTGAAAGAATTCCGTCATTTAAAGCAGATATAGTATATGAATTGTTTTTGTCATGCACACTCTTTCACTTGTTGATGCTTGTTCATTAAAATAATAGTAACTGTGACTATTCTCCATTATTTCTAAATGTTTGTTTGTTGGTTGGTTGGTTTTCATCGTAGCTGTTCACTCTAGCCCTGCATTTGAGTCTTCGTGATCAAGGTGGTCCAAGTGCCAGAGATGATAATGCTGAAGAAAGTAATCATCAGTTAACTGGTGGTGGCATTGCTGCTGCACAACGCCAATCTGCCTCACAAGAAGAAAACATCTCTATGCCTGGAAATGAGAATACTGAACAAGAAGAATTGAACAATGATGACTGTGACCAACAAAATCATCCAGCCAGCTGGTCAGATGAAGCAGAACATCACTCAGATAGAGTAAGATTTTTTGTAAAACTAAGTGACTAATATAAAGAAAAGAGTTTTATGCATTCCTTGTGTTTCAAGTGGAATATTGAGTTTTATTAGCGGTGGTTTTGTTTTTACGAGGTGGAGTTGTTGACCTCACACTCGAATTTCTCTCTTTTTCGGATATACTACTGGCTAAGAGAGGTGAAGTGGTGCTTAGGAGTGTGTCGGCTGGGAAGAGAAGCAGAACCTATTGCGTAGCTGATGAATATTTTACCATCGGACCACTGACACTGATTCAAAATTACAGTCCATATTCTTCTAAAAGTCGTTAAATTATTGAGGAAAACAAATTATTATTATTATTAATATACCTTCACTTGTCATTCTGTGACTTCACTTCATGCCTTGTTCACGTAATGTTTCTCATCCTGTTACTATCTTTCCGGCATATTGAATTAATACAATAAGTTATTGATTTTACCGTGAGGCGTGTAGATTTAATTCATTTATGTGGAAACCGTATCTCCCGGAAAAACAACAACCACACGATTTAATTCATCGACCACCTGTTGGCTATCTCTTTAGAAATTAAGTACCCTATTTTCTAGTTTAACTTTAGATGTGAGGTTGCAGGATTTTCGAGACTTTCTGTTGGGTCTTTTTCACGTCTTATGGAAGTCAATATGAAGGTTGGATTGCGAATTAGATAGTTACGATAAGTCACAATCAACGTTTGCATAATTCCATTTAAATGGTGTTCTTTGCATTCACTTTTTCCAAAGCGGATTGTAATGTCTTTGTTTTCTTTTTCCTTTCTTTTTCAGAACCGTACACCAACCAATTCTGTTTTCATAGGTAATTGTTTCTTTCCGTATATACATTAATTTTATTCATATCAGTAAACAACCATCTTTGTGTAGAGTCGCATTCACTGTTTGCTTACCGCACAATTTAAAGTGAGATTTCGCCACAGTTTCCAAAGGAAACTGTTAACACTTTTCCCGAGTAACTAGCTGGAATTCAAATGGTTTGATCTGGTTGAGCTCTCTGAGCTGAATTGACACTAAGTGCACTGGTGATCAACTCGGCTGCAAATGAGCTAAACGGCTGCCCGGTGTTACTATCTTTGTTTAATCGCATGCTTTCGTCTTACCGGTTTAACCCTTCCCCACTCCTATAGTTTGAGGTCTAATGTGAGTAAGGTTCCCTTTTTTTTGCTGATAGAATATGAAAAAAAAGAAGTTGAAAAAAAATACTAGCTCGCCTTGTACCCGAAAGTCCTGAGTTCTGACCCTTGTAGGTGTGTATTGACAAAGAGTCCCAGACATGGACGAAACGGCTGTCCAGCACTCCCCTGGTTTCCTAAAGTTTCTCTAAGTTATGTCAACTCCTGATCAAACCTGTGACTGCAGAATATTTGTTGAGTGCTTCTCACTTTCCATACAGATTTTTATCACATGTTCACTAATTGTAAATGTGTAAAATGAATACTACATATATCTGGTCAAATTTAATGTCCCTTAAAAAAAAGTAAATAAAACTAGAAAATCATGCATGAATTAGATGTGTAATTGAAGTTTAAAAAAGCAGCATTAATTTGTCATAACAACCGTAAACAACATCTATGACTTTTAAAATAATAAAGTGGACATTTTATCTGTGATTGCATATCATCCAGGATAAAACTATGGTGGAGATACTTTCAAACGACGGGAAAGATTTGGCGCTCAAGTGAATGTTTATGATTGATGTAGTTGTATTTTTAAGCTGAATGATGAAGCCCTTAATATCCTTCTAGACAGCATCTCCAATGCTAAGCTCACTTTTGTAGTCTTATGAAATTGATTTTGTTATTTTTCTTGTTTGTTTCATTCTTTAGAATCATCATCTAGTCAACCGATTGTCGCTGCAACTTCATCGTCAAATTTGGACAGTGTAAATCGTCAGAATGATGAAAGTAATCGTCACCGTGATAATAAGGACAACATTGCTGCTGATGATGACGACGACGATGACGGTAATGATAATGATGAAGAAGAGGAATTCCCTGACTTGTATGCTTTATTCGACGAGACAGTAGCATCTTCATCTAAACCACCAGTCAATGAAATACTCTTGCCTACATCTATTAACCTTGATGGTAATGAAGAATATAGTAGTAATGTGAATATTAAATCGGATGAAATGATGCCTTTAGTCAATTATGAAGATACACATTCTATTGGCAGTGATAATGGTAGCTGGAGTGATGATGACGATAGTTCACCAGAGTCGAATATTCTACCCGCTTCATATCGTTACAATACTGCCGTGTTTATGGGTGCTGATAAATGGTATTCAAAAGTTAATGGAGTAGAAGATTACGGTGAACTTGATAATGATGATGTTGATGTTAATGATGATGATCATGATAATAATCATGATGGTGGCGATGACAACGATGATAATTCTGATCCTAGTGATAATTCTATCCTTAAATACAATCTCAATTTGGATGGTAGTAAATATTATAATAAAGATGACAATCTTGTCAATCCTCAATCTCATGACAGCCAACAAGATAATGATGGTGTTGGTAGTGGCGGTGGTGGTGGTGAGAAAAATGAACAGACTATTTTATCTTCGATAAAACGTCTAAACAAACTTCATCTGAATACGAAATATCGTAAACAGAATCTGGCTTTATTATTCTGTATAAATCTAGCTAAACATTTATCACATGAATGGCCTAATATTGTTGGTCAATTTGAAAAGTCCAAAGGTTCAGTAGCCACCATCTCACCAGGCTCAAGTCAACACTTTGTACCTGTTCTACAGTTGATTATTAGTCTAATACGTGTTCTGCATTCAAATGCATGCCAATTAAACGCTGAAATAATATCATTACAGCAACACATACTGTCGATACAGTCGACAGTATCTACTGACCATGCTGATATCAGTTGTCAAGATAAATTTTATCTGGAGTATATTAAACAGTTACTGCAGACAATTAAGTGAGTTATGAGTAACACTTTTTACTAATTTTATTCGCTGTAGTATTATTATTAATTAATGTGTGCGTCCGTGGCACAGCGGTTAGGACTCTCGTCGACTATGCACATGGTCCGGAGTTCGACCCCCTACCAATGCACACCTGATATCAATGATCGGCCTGCAAAATTTGGACTACCGATATCACATGCTGAAAATTCCATATCTGTACCAAAAATACCGTGTGGAATCAAGCTATAATCAATATATATATAAGTACTTTTTGGCGTAAATAAATTGCTTAATCGTTAGATTGGCGACTAGAGGCTGTATGTGAATTAATATACTTAAGCTGTGAACTGTACTGTTTATGATGTTGAAGCAACTTGCATCTCTCGGCTTTTAAATCGACTGCTTGACACAATGAGCCCTACTGTCAGTATAAAGAACCACATCAGGTAATATTAATTAACTGCTTACCTTAACATAATTATCCTAATGCTACTACAGCACACTGGAGCGATATATATATATATATATTGATGGATAATCCCCATCCAGGCATTAATGAAAACAAAACACGTAGTTCAGCGACGAGTCTCTTTTCGGCAAATTCATTTTCTTAGCTGTATAATCGCAAATATATATATATGTGCTATTTGGTATGTATGTGTACATTAAGTTTGTCAAACAAAATTGCGATTGGTTATAGTTATTTTAACTAAACAGGTGAAGATCGGTAATTGGAGTTACGTAATACGAAATCAGTCAAGAAAATTAGGTGTTAATGAAATTAGGGTAATGACAAATGACCTAATTTTGTTTGTTTGCCTGGTTCTTTAATTTCTTATAATTCTTGTATTCATTTAGAAATCTTATGTAATTTCGTATTCTCTGCTTTGTTCCTATGTGTATCTGAGTAAAACTCAATCATCAAACTATTTATATTACTATATAACTTCTTTTTAACAACTGTTTGTGACAACTCATCGCCTTTGTTACTACGCTAATTTCATTAACACCTAATTTTCTTGACTGACTTCGTATTACGTAATTTTGTTTTACGTAACTCCAATTACCGACCTTTACCTGTTTAGTTAAAATAAATATAGCTAATTGTATTTTTGTTTGACAAACTTAATGTACACATACATACAAAATAACACATACATATTTGCGATTATACAGCTAAGAAAATGAATATATATATGTTCAACTTTCAGTTCGAATATTGGAAATATGAAGATTGGTACTTATTCAATGCAAAAGAACAGGTTGTTCATGAACGCGTACACTTTATTTATATAGAGGTGTCCAAAAAACATTTATCGTATTTTTTAATACGATATTGGATACCTGTACTGTACACTGTCTACAAAAGAATAAATCTTTTTTATAACTCTTCAGCAGTACGCACCCACCGGGATTTGAACCCAGGACGTTCTGGTTACAAGTGTTTGAATCCCGGTTGGGTGGGTACCGATGAAGAGTCCCAAACTAGGACGAAACAGTTGTCCGATACTCCCAGGTTTTCCAATGGTTCTCTAACCGATCTCAGCTTATGATGAAATCCTGTAACAAATCAATCAAATCCCCCACAAAGCGATACTCGAACTCTTTTATACTTACTTTTGGAATTTTAGTAAAATCAATTTCCTTTCGTAAGATAATATGTAATACAATCCTATTTGCTGAAACTTAACCCGCATGTTCATTGCCCACTTGATAACAGTTGGCTAATCGAGGAGATTTAAATATGACTGGTGAAAATAGGATATAAGATCATAATATTTTTGTAATCTGTTCTGATGCCTACCTCGTTTTTAGACGAGTAATAACAATTTGATAACATGACAGCAATTTTCTAAACGTCAGTTAGTATCAAGTCGAAACACGTGGCATCATTTCATGAAGTGTTTGACAGTTAGTTTGAGTCAGGCATATAGATAGGTGTAGACTGCCTGGTTGAGGTCCTCAGGATGCTAAGAACCAATGGCGTGAAACTGTTGTTGATATGGCTTAAAACTGTTCTCAGCGCCGCAGACATATTCATTCTTTGTATCCTCCCATATCTGTTAAATCCTCATGTTTTTCCATGTTAATGCTCTTTTCCCGTCACGTTTGTACACATTAAGGTTCTTTTGAATGTGATATAAGAATAAAATTTTGTGCACTGTGATAGAGTGTAATTCCATTATGGGTAAATTTTGTTTTGATAAAGTCTCACAGTGTTATACAGTAAACATTCTTTTGAATTTTTTTTCCTCTGAGTTTGTCTACTTCATGGAGTGTGGTAACTTGAATTGATTGCATGGAGGATTTCATCATGAGCTGACATCAGTTAGAGGACCACTGGAAAACCTGCAGGGAGTACTGGGCAGCTGTTTCGTCCTAGTTTGAGACTCTTCATCGGTACGCACCCACCGGGATTCGAACCCAGGACCTTCTGGTTACAAGGGTACTGTGAAGAGTTCCAAACTAGGACGAAACAGCTGTCCAGTACTCCCTGCAGGTTTTCCAGTGGTTCTCTAACTGATGTCAGCTCATGATGAAATCCTCCGTGCAATCAAACAAAAATCCCTACAAAACCAATACTTGAAAGTAACTTGAATTGCTGCACTTCTGGGAAACCTCCTATTATGAAATTCAGTTAGTCAGTCAGTCAGTCAATATTATTTAACATGCACAAATTTTTAATCTTTATTAATATTTATCATATATCTGGTATGTTTCTTTTTTCAAAATTTTTAGAATCGCCGTGAAACAGTTAATTCGAGCGCTTATCCATGGTGTACTACAGACTGTTTCATTTGATGTTTGCGATAGTGAAGACAACAAGCCTACTACCGATGAAGGTTCTGTCACAATAAAACCATTGAACACTGTTCATTTGCGTGGATATCTTGAAAATATCATTAATTTAGATTGTTCTTTATCATTAGGATTTATTGTGCTACAGTTGAACGCATTAATTGAAATATTCGCATCGATTCCATCCTCCTCAATGTCTTCTTCTTCTACCACTACTAATCTTAATAGTCCTACTTCCTTATCTTTAATCAATTTATGGCTGTATGATGATAATGATGAGAATAATACTGTCGGTGTAGATAACTGCAAAACGCTGAACCAACCAATATCACCATCAGCACCAACAGTACAACAAGAAACCAGTTCAAAACTTTTAACTACTGCAACAACAACACCAACGAAAACCACAATCGATCAGCCAAGTATATTATCAAATGATGAAAATGAACTGCGTGCTTTATTTGATCAAACAATTGAATTCTGTTTAATCCTAATGGAAACACTTTATACACGTCTGCTTAAAGTACATGAGGTGAATAGTAGTGTAGGTTCATATGTAGTCTTTGTTTGTTTTTTTTCTCCTAATCCAATCCAATTTTTTTTTGACGTTGCTTATTATAATGGATAAATTGTCAAAGCGTTGATTAAAAAGAGAAGGTCAACCAACATCTTACAGTTAGGCAGATTTTTACTGATTAATTAACGACAATGAGTAGTCATCATTTCATTTAAAATATTACACGGGATTGAAAATAGTTGATTATCTCTAGATACGATTTTGAACATTAAAAGAGGAAATCAGTTCCTTTATGGTTTCACTGATACACCAAACCTTGCTGCTAACGAATGCTAACAAGCGCATAACTTAGGTCTGGGGCTTCTTGCCGATTACCTCTAACTAACTGTCTAACAATAATTCGAAGTGTACCACTATGGTGAGTTACTGTGCTTGGTTGTAACCGCATTGCGAAGAATTGACTGCACTAGACACATGGTTACTCGCTGTTGGCCGATCAGCATGGTAATGGAGGTTTTAAATGTATGTTTACGAATTGGTTGATTGTGGAAGGTAGAAAGTTATAATACAGATCTTAAAGTATATGAAAGAAGTATTGTAAATCGAGGTACTGTTATTTCCTTTACCATTTATAATTATTTAGTTTTAAGTCCGCAATGTGGGCGCGGGTTCGTATCCTACCTCCGATACACACTTTTGCGTCGGTGACACAGTGGTAGAATGCTCGCTAACCACGCAGGTGGTTCGGGGTTCGATCCCCGAATGACGCACTCTTTCACCTTTCTAAGCCAGTAATAAAACTGGTAAAGAGGGAAGGCTGGGCATGAGGCTGGCTTACCCATTCTGTAAAAATAAACACCACTGCTACTGAAACTTCAAGCCTCTAGCTTGAAGCCCTCTGTTCCGTTGGGGACGTAAAGGAATAAAGAAAATGCAAGTCATTTTTAAGCATGTACAATATTTCATCGCAATTAAAAACGATCTAGTAGTTTTCCATGTACACTTCCAGATTTTCGGATTTTATAAAAAGCCTAACAAGTTGGATTGTTTGTTCACAGCATCACATCGTCTGTTTGTCTTAATAAAGTGTTATTGTATTTCATTATAATTATAAATAATGTTTATATTTAGTGTGAGTCCTAAACGAGTTGTGGCTAATTATTCTGTTTTACCCTTTTCTCCTACAGGAGACTGCTAGAGATGAACAAGGTGATACAAAAAGGCCAATGAATTCCAGTGTAGTCAATTATCCAAATGCTATCGCTAATCCTTTAGCCTGTGGTGTTCTACAAGGTAGTATGTTCAGTTCACAGTATAGTGGAGACACATTAACTGGTACATCAGCTAGTGGTTTACTCAGTCACTCACCTCTACTGAATACATCTCATTGCCTTGATCATATTGGTAATCCAATAATGAGTCAGTTGGTTTGGTTAGCGACTAAAGCTTGCGTGAAACTGCCCAATATTCTCTTATACTTTGCATCATCTTTAATGAAGGATAAAAGTGTTAGCCTACCGTCTACTAGTGGAAAATCAACACTTCCTCCGCATAAATTATCCTATTTATCTAGTGAATCAGAAGTTCGATGGTGTTCTGTATTGTTTAATTATAAAGAACTATTAAATCATCCTAATCTATATCAATCTCAATTCACTGCAAAAACTCAATCCAGTCATCCAGGTAACAATAATCCTGATTCTGTGAATACAGTGAATTCTTCAAATAATTTATTCCAATTTATAAATATGGAAGGTTCTCAGCATACTTCAAAAATAATTAATCCACTTGGACGAGAATTACAGTCTGTAAGTTAATATGGATTGAGAAATATATTACTGTTCATTATTATTGCTCAAAAGTTAGTCTCCATATGACAGAGAAAGAATGTTGTTAGTTTGCACACTTCTAGTGTAACGATAGGGGAAGGCAAGAGTCAGGCAACAGATCGTTTATTGAGGAAATCAAGAGATATTTGTATATTTTTATTTCATTGATATAAGTATAAAACTTGGGCACTGTGGTAGAGTATAACTCCATAATGGATAAGATTTTATTTTGATAAATCACACAGTGTTGTGCAGTTATATTAACTGATGACCAGGTTTTGAGCAAAAACTATTGCTCATAATCATATCAAGTTACTCACACAACTTCTTTCCTTCATTTATATACATTATTATCATTATCATTCGTAATTATTAATGGAGAAACAGCGTCTTCTGATTGGTTGTTTTCTCGCTGAAAGTCAATCTGTCGTCTCTTTGTGGCCATCTCTTTGAAGGTCAGACTGAATATCTGCGAATCGCATCTGCCCACGCAGTCTGCTTTTATTAGTTGTTGAGTTAGTCTTTGTTCTTGTTTTTTTTCTCATGACCAAGATATGAGACGTAAATTGTTGTCTACCAATTTTGGCTAGCAAACAGCTCTCACCACACTAGGCATAAAGTAGTTATACTGTATTATTCTAGCAGCCCCATCCCGTAAAATATACGCCACTGCTACCGCAACTTAAAGCCTGCAGCCTAAAGCCCGATTTTCCCCTGAGAACATAAACGAATAAGAAAAACTTTTAAAAAATAGAAATTCTTGTGAATAAATTTTGAAGTTCCCTGTTCTATTTGTTTTGAGTATCTCAAGACATTTTAGAGTGAAAATATATATGATCGTAAGTGTAATACCTAGCTGTATAAAGCATGCCCCATTACAATAAAGTGTTATGAGTAAACCAGTAAGACTTAAAATTTATCACTAGACTTCATTTAGCTGTTATAAGTAAATGAAGCACTTCAATTAGTCTGGCGACTATTTATCCAACTGCAGTTTTTATGAGAGACAGATTTGTTCATAGCCTTCATGTTCTATAACGCCCCCAATCACCTGGAACAGTTTGTTCATATACCAGGCTATTAGCCACATTACAGTGTAAGAGTTGATAGTTGTTCAGGCTAAAATAGGGGGAGCGGAACTCGATCCCGGAACCGCACTAAAAAACTCCACTTCATTTACTAGAGGAAATGAAGGATAGTTTGGGTGTAAATCTCGCCTAAATTCTCCCTACCCATTTTTTCTGCTTATAAAGAAAGTCAAAATCGTTATCTTTATGTATAATAATAATCAAGTTCCTGAGACACACATAGTCGCCATCTTGGCTATCATTTTATTTTAACAACCTTCAAGCTATTTTGTTGAATTCTTCATTTATTTCAACTTTTTACTTATTTATTGATTTATTTGTCATTTCATCTGTATACTTGCAGCTACTTATATCCATAGTCGGACCTAAAAGTTATCGTCATTTACAAGATGTTCATCGTTTGGCAAAACTACTACAACGAATTCGTGATATTTGTGTTAATACTGGTGGCTTAGTACTTCATGTTGATTGTGGTTCTACACAGTTCACCGCTGGTGGTGGACAGTTTCCACCATCATCACCATCGTCACATACTTCTTTGAACAATGTCAATAATATGTCAACAGGCTCAAAAGTTCATATAAATACTGCTTTTAAAACAGCTGGTGCTGCTGATGATCGGGGAGCAAATTCAAGTTTCGATTGGTGTTCACACGATACAGATGCATTTGCCAGGCAATTACGGTTACCGTATATAGCACAGAGAGAAATTGTAAGTTATATAATCATCATTAAAAATCATCACTACCATTACTGTTTCATTAAAATTATTCTTATGATGTATTTGGTCCTTTATCATAAGTTATGTTTTCTGAATCTGTATGTGACGATTAGTCATTTCTTGTTTTACCTGACACACACATACACACAATACTACACAACTAAATCAAAATCATCCACCTGAGCTACAAATCTTCTCTATTTAACCAAAACCTCTCTATACAACCCTAGTCCTAACAAAGTCTATCTTGTATCCCGTTTCTATTGAGTGTAGTGCATTCACTGGTCTGTTTTCTAGCTTCTTCAAGTCTGCAGAGGTCTTTAGAACCACCTGTAGACATTATTTATGCTCCTTTACTCTTTCTTATATTTACCGGTCTAGAAGTTTCTTCTACATATACACAGCATCACACTACCTACAATTTATCTGATAAATGCAATTTTGTTAGTTGTCTTCTTCTGTTTTGTCGTCAACCTTCACCAATGATGAGCCTAAAGTGTCCGTTGCACGAAAATTCACGCATATCTCAACTGTTAAGGATTCGCTTTATTTCATCTGATGCTTCTGTGTGATAAGGAATCACGGTTATACCAACCCGCCTTAGCCATAGGTTTCGCTTTATATATACATATATATATTCCCTTGTTAATATAATTTTGATTAACCTCCCCATGGAAGTTCAGACCAGTGTGTTGAACGAAAAGTAGGAATTACTTGTTTGAATTTCTCTGAGATTTTACAAATTTAATTTTTACCTGTTTTTTTCTAAAGGTTCAAACTCTGGTTAGGCATCTATGAAATCTTTTTAATCGTTTTTTTTCTTGTAGTTGGAAAATGTATCATCGTGTTTGGTTATCGCAGTACGTAATAGACCTTATTGGCAAAGATTGTGTCTACGTTCATCTCGTGAGTTTACTAATTCTGTCTTCGTATTCAGTGTTTTTGTGACTTTCACTACTTCTTGGTGTGAATGTCATCTCAAATTTTTTTTCAATGTCCACAGAAAAAAATTAACTAAGACGGTGTAGTGCTTAGCACTAAGGTTGAATGACAGTAATTGTAGTCTGTTTTGTTTTTACAAAGGATACCAGAACTGTATTCAGTGAATTTCGTATATGTCATATCGAGAAGTGTGTGTGTTTGTTAACACAAACACCGACATACCGATTAGTTCGATCCATGAAGATTACCCGAAATTATTGATTTTCAAACAATCATCAACTGTTGGCTTCTTTTTTATCACAAGATGTGGCTTTTGAATTAGTTATGCTCTCTTAGCTGGGTTGATTTAATTGCGAAGATTTTGTCGTCCCTCTTCTAAACACCGTCTTCAGCGCATGTTTTCGTATAAATTGAACTTATTAGAATTCTTCATGAGTGATGTAATTGTGTCTCCTGGCAACCAACGTTGTGATTGGTTATTAATTTACATCTCTATTGATCATTTTTATTGACTTGGAATTTGATTTTGTCTATAGTAATGTTTAGTGCGTCGGTGGCATGGAGGTAGAATGCTCACCAACCCTCGCAAGTGGTTTGGGGTTCGACCCCCAGTCGACTCACTCCTAAACCAGTAAAAAGACTAGTAAACAGAAAAGGTTGGGCATGATGCTAATAAACCCATCCCGTAAAAATAAACATAACTGCTACTAAAACTTCAAGCCTGTAGCTTGAAACCCTCTCTTCCATTGGGAACGCAAAGGAATAGAAAATAAACTAATGTGTTTGTTAATCGCTGATTCATTTGAGTACCAGGCTTCTAGAAATTCCCTGGCATTTTTGGTGTTTCCTCTATTTCCAAATTGTCCCAATCATATTGGTGTCCGTAATTATCTACAAATCGTCTCCATTATAAGATGTGGCTATTGCATATTGAGCAGTCAAGTGAACAATCTTTCTTTTGTCCCAAACGATAAGTGAACTTTAACGAGAATATCATCATCTACTCTCAAGGAGAATGAGAAACGCATCCGAAATTTTAATGTTATAAAATTAACCATCGAGAGTATATGGTATATTTATATTTTATGTGTTAGTTTCCTGTGAAGAAATTTCTCCTATTTTCTATAAATCCTTTCATGCTAAAATGTGACCTCATAGATTGTACACTACATAGTTCATTTGTCCACCGTATTCTTCATTCATTCTTTTTTTCCTTTTGAATTGTTTAGGTACATTGTTGTTCTTAGTACACGCTAGTTTGGTTCTTGATCGAAAAATTGCTCGTAATATGCTCTATTTAATTCAACTTGCTATTTGTCCAACCTCAGTAGAATCTCGTAGTCATGGTCAAACAAAACATGTAAGTCATTCTTTCATTATCTGCATAGTAGTACTGATCACTTTAAAAGTAGTACTCCATTTTTTTTCCTAAATCATATGAAAAACTGTCGATCATAAGGGGAATATACCACACAGTTGTTCTATGCTGTTTTTGGTCTCCTTGAGACCTCTCATCACGACATGTATAGAGAATAATGCATTCTTTTTCATTCTCTGCAAGTTTTCTATTGATCTTTTCAAGTACTTTGAATAAAGAATAATTTTAACTTCATTCATTCACAGTAGTTGTTATGGTGATATGCAACCATTTCCACTGGTTAAATCTTCGGAAATAGATCTTTTTCTGTAGGCAGAGTTACAATAATTCAAATAGAAAATTGATATATGTATAAAACTTGGGCACTGTGGTAGAGTATAACTCCATTATGGATAAGATTTCATTATTTTTTTGATAAATCACACTGTTGTACAGTAATATTAACTCATAATCATATCAAGTTACTCACACAACTTTTTCCTTCATTTATATACATGTGTGGAATTGATTAGATATTTGAATAGCAATCAGTATAGGATAATGTACCTTCAGAAATAATAATATCAGTGTTATTGATCAATTACAATCAGACGGGAAATAAGACGAGTGTTTTTATAGTCAACTGTTATACCATATAAGGAGGGGACATCTGAGACCGTGCGTAGGCTAAAAGACCCGGTGGACCCAATTAAACAAAACAATGTAATTTACAAAATACCTTGCAATGACTGAGGTTAAAAGAGTAGGTCGGGGAGTAATCAGATTGTCGGAACATAAGATTTTAGCTAAGGTAAGAATGGTTGACCCCGAGAAGATAAGTAATTTGGAAAAAAGCTCAGCGATTGCACTGCATGCATTAACACACAACCACACAATACGGTGGGAGAGGGTTAAGATTCTAAGAAGTAATATAGGTAGGTGGAGAGCAAGAGAGGTTGATTACTGAATCCTGGTTCATTGAATCTACGCCCAACACATGCAACAGAAATGACTCAACGCAAATACCAGAAATATGGGAGATATTATTACCACCAGTCAGTCAAAGCAGAGGACGATAATAAATAACCTCAAAATTCTATGTCAATTCAAGCACATCACAACATTCTAACAAGTTACTTATTATTTACTATAAAAACACACGTCTTATTTCCTATCTAATTGTAATTGATCAATAACACTCGTATTATTATTTCTGAATGTACATTATCCTATGTTCCATTATGGGTAAATTTTTATTTTGATAGAGTCTCACAGTGTTATACAGTAATATTTACTGTATAACACTGTGAGACTCTATCAAAATAAAAATTTACCCATAATGGAATTACACTCTACCACAGTGCCCAAGTTTTATTCTTATATCAATTATCCTATGTTGATTTTTATTTAAATATCTAGTCAATTCCACACATGTATATAAATGAGTAACTTGATATGATTATGAGCAATCGGTTAATATTACTGTACAACACTGTGATTTGTCAAATAGAAAATTCTCACATAATTGTTATCATCTGGTTATTAGGTGTGTGTAAGAGTTGTTACCTTTAAAAAAGATCTCATCGTGGACTGAAATCATCCATAAGGTGATTGAAAACCACACAGCACAACGGTGAAAAAGATATAGCGCTTTGGTGACCATCAAGTTACGCGTTGTGCACATCATTATTCAGTTAGAAATAGAAACAGAGTGTAAAGACGTTAAATAACGATGGCGTTATATATTGTACCAAGTAATTGATTAAGTTCAGGGCACACTGCCAGTATATATGCTTGTGTTCAAGATATTGATAAACTGTGGGAATTTCTTTAAAATACTGTCTCTTTTCGTCATGTTTGTTATTTTTCCAGTACCGCATAAAATGTATTAATCTTATTGCATTACTCATTCGAATACTTAGTCATATAAATCAGTTAAAAAAGCTTTTTCAACTTGTATATCTTTAAAGGGACCGTTTGTAAAGTGTCATTCTTAAATAATCCTCTTGTTCAATGAGTCGTTATCATTTGCACCATTCTCTTATTATTGTGCATATAATACTAAACTCATGTTTTATTTTTTCCCTACAGTTACATGATGGTTTTAAGCGTTCAGCGCATTCAATTCAACAGACAGAAATGAAGCTATCACGAATCATTGCACGATATTTAATACTTTCAAGAAATTCACACGCTTCAACTTGTTCTGAAACCAGTTTAGAGGACAATATCCCTAATCATTCTGAGAATACAGATTTATGCATCTCACCGTTATTTGTTCAATTTATTCGAACATTTTTATGCCAATGCCCTAAAAAGTCTATACGAGATTCAGCGGCGCATATATTGTTTGCAATTTTCAAGTAAGACTGCAAACTTTACTTCATTTTGATGATATAGTAATAATAATAATAGTTATTTCCTTTCGATATCGTTTTCTATAAAATGTGGTTCCAGTGGAAGAACTCTACATTCTAAATCACTGAGTTCAAATTTGAATCATATGATCCGCCCTAAACTTTAGTAGTTGTTAAATATTTGAGAATCTTTCCTACACTGCTATTCAGCTGTCCACTTTATGCTTCTTAGGAGTTTATCGCAGAAATTGGCTTATCCACTGGGAGGTCAAATAGAAGAAATTGTGGTGTTTCTTCTAATGAGTATAGAAATGCCATTTTAGTAGTGAATATCGAAAGATATGTGAGCCATGTATTTTAGAATTTACGGTGTCTACCATACCTACACTGTTTGGTATCATATTGGATGTGGTCGCATTAGAAACAGTTAATGACCAAGTGACCTTCATATTTTAGCTTTGAATCCTTTTTCAGTGATACGTCTATGTAAATTGATTTTTCTTTTTCTTTAAATCTAATGACGGTTTGAGTCCTAAGGAAATGATAAAGGCTAATTAGATTTGGACCAGTAGTCTGATAAAGACTGCCCCCCCCCCAAGTCTTTATCAACCTCATTCAACACTTATATGACAATGCCACGTGTCAGGTGATACACAACGGGAAACTCAGTGAGGCGTTCGAATTGAATACAGGAGTAAGACAAGGCTGCCTTATTATCACCGATGATATTCTTATTTGTGGCGGACTGGATTATTCGTCAGACTGTGCATTGGGCGTGAGAAGACAGGAGTGAACACATTGAACCGACAAGAAGACTCGAAGATCTGGATTTCGCGTGTGGATAATTTATGTTAAGTATCAAACAAACTCAAAAACTTGCAGGTGAAAACCAACAAACTGGCAGAGGAAGCAGTGACGACCGGACTGCAGGTCAACAAACAGAAGATGAAGATGGTCAACTAAACAAAGGCAACAACAACAACCAGCACAAATCACCGTCAACGGGAAAGATTTGGCAGAGGCTACTTTCTTCACTTATCTGGCCAAGAAGCATCGTTTCAACTACAGGCGGAATGGATGAAGATTTCAAAGATGGCCAGAATCGTAAAGCCAAGATACATCTTCATCAACATGAAATCAGTTTGGAAGTCTTCTGCACTCCGCCTCAGTACAAGATCTGGATTTCAACACAAATGTGAAGTCAGTCAGTCACTGCTTTTATAAGAGTCAGAAACTGTGTTTCACGAAAAGGATTTCCAACGAGTTACATACCTTTATCAACAGCTGCCGCCTTCACTGGCTCCATACTGAAGATCAGATGGCCGGCCAGCCAGAAAGAATTAGCAAGAAGAAGCTCCGTCTGGGAACAAACCAACCAAGGGCCGATCGCTTAACAAATATGTAGGAGAAAATGGAGGTGGATTGGCCATACGTTGAGGAGGCTGTCGAATGATATCGCCGGCAATACAAGTCATCGCTTAAGTATAATTCGAATGGGAAGTGACGAGTGTGTGGTCGGTGTGAGGTTGACATGGAGGAGGTCGTGTGGAGAAGAGGAGACGAGAGATTATGGGCAATCGTTTGGCTAGCCAGCTGAAGAGGACAGCACCAAATAGAAGAAAGTGGAGATGTGTTGTTGAAGCCCTATGTTCCACTTGGAACCCAAGGGAATAATAGTAATAAGTCTTCAGTTTGTTGCACCGAATAGCACTGAAACAGCCATTTGAATCCTGCTGCTGCTGACGTTTTCTTGTTTCACTCTAAAGATACGAAATTTATGAAGTCATACTGAAATTGTCATTGTTTCTTTGATTTTCAATTTTTTGTATTTTATAGCTGTGTATCCCGAGAGGCTCAATCGCATATTCTCAGTTTAATTTCACTTTTATGGTCTGAGTTATCAACATTTGTGCCTTACTCAAATCAATTTGTTCAGTTGAGTATTCACTTATTGAATTCATATCCTACATGGTCTGGTCGAGCACAACTTATTGAACAAGTTATTTGGATTTTAATGCAACGTCTTGAAGCTTTAAAACGCCATCCAAACCGTACACTTTATACAGCACTTATGGTAAGTATTGTTTTTTGTTTATTCACAAACTGTGCATATTCTGGTGCAGTTAGTCACCGAGTTGATATTCTTCAAGAAAAAGCTTTCAGTGGCATTCAGACTGCCGTTTCTATCATTATTTCACCTATCCCTGAAAGCTCCACTGTAAGTAATACCGAAATGGAAAACACAAAATGAGACATTAGCGTTTTGAGTTAAATTCGGATTTTATGATTTCAAGTAGTGCGTATGTGTATATTGTAAGAAAGAATGTGATTCTCAGGAGTCCTTTTTGTTTGTTGGATGACGTTAGTTTATTTAGATTGATGTTGTATTATCTTTTCATTCGTTTTTTTTTTCAGCATTTCACTCATTCTCAAAAAGGACTTTTACCCGGTGTGTTGATTCCGTCTGAATCTTCTACAAAGAGTGGATCTTCTGATGAAAGTATAGATGACATTACATGTTTACAATCCACTCATAACGATTCATCAACTCGGACATGGGCTTCTGTAGCAGCGCATAAACCTGGTAGTTCTCATGCGCCTTCAACTGGTAGTAGTGGAGGTCCTAATGAGACGACAGATGCTGACCAAGTTGGATCTTCAGACCTCAATCGTAACCTTTCTGTCCTCCCCACACCATTTTCTCTATCTAGTTCAGCCTTCACTTTTGAACTGGAACCATGTTTGTTATGTCATGCAAAGGTCATAGATGAACCGTTTTACGTTGTATTTCGTTGGGATTCTGAACCAAATGTTCCAAGACGTTCAATTCAATCAGTCGTATCTACCATCTATAACAGTCGATTCACGCATCAGTTTCGACAGTCACCGTCAAGAATGTCAATGGCTCAAAACTCTTTACGAGGTACATCTCAACAATCTAATCTAAGCACAAGTGGAGTTGGTAAGTATTATTTTTCCCTCGTCGGTATTCATTTATTCAAGTAAAATCTAAATTATTTGGTCTTATTTATAAGAAGTTCAGTTGTCTGGAATATATTTTTTGTGTCAAGCTATTGTTATTATTATTCTCTAGGGTTCCGAGTGGAATATATGGGCTTCAGCAGAACATCTCCATTTCACCTTGTTTTCTGAGTTCTCTTTTTGCTGACTATGCGATTACTCATAAGCTTTTATTTCCTCCTCACATGTCACACTCGAACACGTAATGTCGCTTCCTTTTCATATTCCACTCAATGACCTGGGATGTGATATCACTCAACGGTCAGTCCATGTATATTTCCTTCTGCCTGCCTGTTGGGTAGTAGGTTATTTGTTGATATTAGATGGTCGGAGGCAATCTGCAGGAAGCTTAGGACCTAAGTTTGCACTCACCAGCCAGAAAGGCATATCTGCAACCCTTCTGAGATTCTAACCTGCGTCACCCAGTACTGCATTCAGAAACGTTACCACTGAGCTGTTCGGAGTGCACCAAGCAAATGACTAGACACATTACACTAGTTACTAAATAGTGTCCAACCAGCAAGTTCTCTATTGGTTCATTTCAAGAATTCTTTGCTACTTACCCTTTCTGGCTGACCATGCAGTCTTTAGCATCGAGTGAAGTCAGTTGTTGGTGAAAGTTTGCAGTCTGTTGGAATTGCTTTTCGTGACACACCAAGTCTCTGAACCATGTTAGTGTTGAAGATCCACATCTCGTCCCTTTGCTCAGTTCAGCAGACTTCCACACTGATTTCATAGTAATGAAGTTCTCTCTTGCTTTTACGCTCCTGCCGTTGACATCCTCATCCTGTGTCGTTTATAGTTGAATTGCCAGGGTACTGACTGTATTGATTTTATGGCAGCTGACCTGACCATCCAATTGCCCAAGCTGAAATAGGTAGAAAGAGATTCTAGATACACTGCTTAAAAGTTAGAGAAAAAATAGTCATTCTCACACATGTATAAGGATGATAATTAAATTTTTACTAGAATATCTAAGTCACTAAATGATTGAAACCAGTGTCTTTTAATGTGCTCATTTAATTCGCCTAAATATATTTCTTTAAAATTTATTCGGTTTATGATACCTGTTAAATAAAGCTATCCCTACAGCAGAAGTCCTTTCAAAAAAACGTAAGTTTAGTCTCCAATTTAGGTAATTTTTAATCTTAATCATCTATACGTAACGTTGCTTATCCGTGCTACCTTTTTTGGACAATAATTTTTAAACCAAAGTCTATTTATCATTTCTCTGTTTAACAGATATTCAATTCACTTCAAATACAAGTCATACGTCTACAACACCAAATGCTTCTGGTGTAATTCAGCCCACGTCAAATACACCTAAACCGTCAACTACACCAGTCAATACAACAGCCACCACTGGCGCTACAACAACAAAGACAACAACTACTGCTAATGGTGGTGGTGGTGGTAGTCGAAGTGCTGGCGGATCTGCGACATCATCAACTAACACCTTTTCACTGATAGTTCCAGTTCAATTGAAATCACGTGCCACTTCATCAGTTCATATTTTTGATCTTGAAAGTAGTTATTTAATTTCACAAATCACTGTTAAGGTATGCCTAGAAGTAGTTTCTTTTCATGTTTTATTAATATTCAATTGAATTAAAGCTAGGAAGGAAACTGGTTTACATGTAAATTAAATTAAAATCGCAGGGTTCATGAAGTTTATTCCTAATGTATACCTTCTAGGACAATAATTCGATTCAGAGCTTGTTTTCAAACGAGCTGACATCAGTTAGAGAAGCACTGGAAAACCTGTAAGGAGTACTGGACAGCTGTTTCGTCCTAGTTTGGGACTCTTCAGCAGTATGTCCCAAAATAGGACGAAACAGCTGTCCAGTACTGTCAGGTTTTCCAGCGGTTCTCTAACTGATGTCAGCTCATGATGAAATCCTCCATGCAATCAAACTGAATATTATTCATTCGCATCAATAATAACATTAAATTAACTAGTTGCATTGTTATGTAAGCATGAAGATGAAGAGAAGGTAGAATGCAATAACTTGCTATTACATCCTATATACCAGTAGTAGTTGATAATCGGCCTTCATGTTAACTTCCGTTATGCCAATATGTGGTATTTTCAACCTTCCTGTAATTAACTTACTGAGCTTCAACATAGAACTTTGCACAAAAAGTGTATCAGTTTGAGTTGCCACAATCTATGTAGCACACAAAGGTAGAGAAAAAAAGGAAATTCAAAAGAGCTATACTGAGCAGAAATATCAGTAAGAGAAAGAATGGTAACGTGAAAGAAAAAAAACACATGAGGGTTTAAGGAGTCTGTGTCGATTATGAAGAGTAAGTGCATCTTCACTACTGAAAACGATTTATCAGCGTATCGCCTATGGTTTCTAATCATTGGTTCGTAGCATTCCGATGGCTGAAGACTGTTGGTGATGTGACTCAAAATGATTCTCAATAGCTCAGATGCATTCACTCCTTATAATTTTTAAGCTAGAGACTTTGTTTCTTATACGATGGCCCACAGTTTCATTTATTTGTTTACTATCGAATCTGTCTCTCTGTCTGGATTCAACATAGAACTTGGCACCACACTACAGCAGTTCGAGTTGCCACGTTCCAAATAGCACACAAAGGTAGACAAGAAGATGAGTGAAGAGAATCAATAGAGTTTTGACAAGTATAAGAGTGAAAAAGAATGAGTAATGGTAGAAAGGAATATGAAAGATTACAGAAACTGAATACATCTGCATAAGCCATTGACAACGATTTTGAGCCATGTCACCTTTTGTCTCCAGCCTTCATTGATTCTTAGAGTCCCGAGGGCCCCAACCCGGAAGTCTGCATCTCCCTACCTGACTCAGTTTAACTGTCAGGGATTTCATGGATTGATGCCATGTTTTTGTTTGGCCACCGCTTACTCTGTGATTATATAAGTGGTAGTTAATTAAGTAGGGCATCTAAAGTGTAAGTTTACTACGTAGAAATCTTTTAATACATCATTGGAATATACCGTGGCATGGGCTACTGATAAGATTTATCAGTAGTATATAAAGACTTGTCCATCGGCAGGGAGATACATTTGGTTTCAGAGAAAGCAAATGATAGTGTTATGGAGATACATGGGAGATGTGGAAAAAAAATACAATATGAAGGCCAGAAGTAGCACAGCATGGAAGATTTGTGCAAATAGTGCTTTGAAGATAAGGCGTGCAACATTCCTTTACCAAGTCTTTCGTCTTCTACCGTTGCAATACGACATAACACTTTGTCCACATTCTTGTTTCCACTATTCGTGGTTTAATAGGAAAAGGTCTTGTGATTTGAAACCGCCAGCATGTTCAACAATAGAGTTTTATACCGATGCTCTATTAATTTTGACCTGTAGTTGACTCAGGATCATGTTACCTGTTACTTTATTTATTTGTGTATAAATAGTTAGATTAAATTTTCTAAAATATACTTTTATTACTTATTATCTTTTCATCAACACACAGTTTACCGTTATATCGAAACGTCCACGCTATGTTCGAACTTTGAATGTGTATACATGTGATCTAACTGATCGTGCTTCAGCAAGATTAATTCATGAACCACAATTGTGGCAACCAGTTGCATCTGTACGCTTTAATCGAAATCAAACAATGGCTAGAATATGCTTTTCACATCCATCTCCTGTGCCTACATGGTTGACTGCAAATCAAGACTATGCTACAGATAAACGGATTTCAATGAATTCAAATTTTATCAATGATTCACTAAATTTAAAGCAAAGTCCCGGCCTACCGATTCGTGCATCACGTTTAATCTTTGAATATGCAGATTTTCATTCAACTGGTCAAGAGGAACGTCGTGTCTGTCCACGTTGTCATGCCTCTGATTTACAGGGCAGTACGTGTATGATGTGTCGTAGTAATGTAAATGAATGTTTCCGATGTCGATCATTAAATTTAAGCAATGAAGATGTTTATTTATGCGCAAACTGTGGAACATCAAGGCATGGTAAAATTGAATTCAGTATAACTGCCAGGTAATGTGAAATTTACTGTGTATGAGGATATTTTCATGCATGTTCAAATAGCATTTTTTTAGAATTTTGTTTATAGAAGATGCAGACATCAGCAGGACTGCCAAGTTTAAATATTCAGTTTTTCAAAATATTTACTAATTATTGGTTGGCTTGAACAGTTCACTATTCTGAGACGAATACAGTTGTTGCAGACATCTGATCGATGCCACAATTCATTTCGTCACAAACTGTCATTCGCGTAGAAATTAGGCAGAGGTGAACAACGGTTTAGTCGCACTTCGGGACTGTTAGGTAGTGCAAGATCCAGCGTCTGTTATCATTGCTATACATTATGATGCTATACAAACTTTGTCGATTTCAGCAATCACAACTAGTAATTAGAACTCAAAAAGATTCATTTAGAAAACTAAGACACTTTGGATTATGATTAGTAGTATCTGATCAGGAGGAAGAATGTTTAGTAAAGTGTAGTAATTGTTTTGTTTCAAGTTCGATCATAGATTGATATCAGTTAAAGAACCATTGGAAACAAGGGAGTACTGAACAGATGTTTCGTCCCAGTTTGGGACTCATCGGTAGTACGCACCCACTTGAAGTTCTAGTGAGAGGTCGTGACCACTGGGGTCGGAAGTAAGGAAAAATACTCACCGATGACACTGGCTGTTAGTGGCGCTAAAATAACAATTTGGTAGAAGTTAGAATTCATGGGCCATTGAGTTGGGTTCCATTGGTTGCGTGGTCTACGAGCTTGCTTTGTAACCGGAAGGCCCGGGGTTCGGGACCCGGTAGGTACGTACTGCCAGTGAGTTCCAAACTAGGATGAAACAACTGTCCCATGCTCCCTGTTTTTCAGCATTTCTATAACTGAAATTAGTCCATAATCACATTTATTTATCTTTGCACCAATTAGCATCATATTCTAGGCGCTAAAACACAGTAAATCATAAGGAATTAGTAATAGGGGTCTTTTAGTTGCTTCATTTACATAAAAAATGTCTATGAAGGTGGATCTCTGAAGGGTGACTGTTATAGTCGAAATCTATCAAGCTGATGTGAAATGTATTCATTCACTCAGCTGACTGCACGTGGTCAAAGTAAGTCGACTAAAAGCTTTGGATCTAGGTTTTATGTTCACAGTGTCTTTTTGCATAAGCTTGTAATCATATTGGACATACCTCATCTAGGTGTGCTTTCTGCATAACACTTGATTTATTTTATTTTCACCCTTTCTTCTGAAACTTTTTACAGACCATGCTACTCAGCTATTGAACCTCTACATGACCGAGATGATCGTGAATCTGCCTGTGGTCGTATTTTAACACTATCTCGAGAGTTAAGTAAAACCTCTCGAACACTTTCCCGTCTTATACAAGTTGATGTAATGGAATGCCTATACAGACTATGTTCACTAGATACTGGTACTCTTGATCTCATCTCAATGCCCGAATCTTTTGTTAGCAAAAATTCAAATACAGCCTCGAGTAGTACTTCAGCAGGCGGTAAAGGTCAAACAAACTCAAAAGATTTATCACAGACTACTACACAGTCCAGTTCCAATTATACCAACTGTGTTAATCCAGCAATAATACGTCTAATTAATACTGCACTAAAAGCAAGATGCTTAAGCTTGGATGCAGCTATAACAGCACGTCGTTTATGGGCTGCACGTCAGTCCGTTGTAGAATTCAATTTAGAAGAACAACATGAATCTGTTGGTTGTTTCCACAATGAATCTCCGGGTAATGATAACAAATTTATAAATCCTGAAACTTCAAATACCAGCTCTGCTAAAACTCAATTAAATTATACCGAGTTAGATAAAATGTTTTGTAAGTTTACCCTTTTTACGTTAAGTGGAATTTTGGCTATTGCTACATATATTTAATTTGTTTCAATTGTATAAACTAATACCATATTATTATTATTACTTCCTTTAGTTCCTAGAGGAACATAGGGCTTCAACCGGACGTCTTTATTGCGTTCGGTTCTCTGCCAACGTTTTCACGTGGCTCCACGTCTTCCTACATCATTTCATCTCTTTACATGACCTCCTCCATGTCACCCTCGCAATGACGAACAACTCGCCGCTTCCCATTCGGGTTCCACTCGAGGGATGGCCTAGCGTGTTGTGTCACTTGATGGTTTTCTCAGAGTATGACCAACTCACTTCCATTTCTTCCTACACATTTCTTGCACAATCGGTTCCTTCTAAGTTGGTGCGCTTCCAGAGATCCCTGTTGCTGATCTTTTCTGGCCATCTGATCTTGAGTAGTATTGAGCGAAGACAGCTGTTGATGAAGGTCTATAGTTTGTTTGAGGTGCTCTTCATGAGACGCCAAGTCTCTGATCCGTATAGTAGCGCTGACTTCACATTGAATTTGGAAATTCGGATCTTATTTTTGATGCTGAGTGCTGTTGCCCTTCACATAGACTTGAGAGAAATGTAAGTTTGCCTTGCTTTCCTGATCCTCGCTTTGATATACTTATCAGTTCCGTCCACCTATAGTTTACACGATGCTTCCCAGGTAGGTAAAGGAAGTTGCTTCTTTCAGATTTCTCCTATTTATGCTGATTGTTGTCTGTTGTTGTCGGTGTTGCTGTTGGCCAGGAATCTTTATCACCTCTGTTTTCTCTATGTTCACTTGAAGTCCCTCCTATCTTTGATGCCTCTCCTGCCAACTTGTTGCATTTCACTTGCATATCTTCCAGTTTGTGGGAAATCAGACAAATATCATCGGCGAAGTCCAGATCCTCCAAGTTTTCTGTGTGGGTCCATTTCATGCCTGTCTTCTCGTTGCCTAGCCCTCTGTCTGTAGCATTATCCAGTCTGCTACCATAACTGAGACGGTAAATTGGAGAAAAATGGATCTGCAAATAACATTTTAACAGTTTTTCTTTATTCATTATGATTATGAAATCTAATATTCGAACTTTTAATCGTAATTTCAAGTCAGTCAGTCCTTCTACATGATTCAGATACTTGTCGCACACTTTATCAAAAGTATTTCCAACAGCCTGCTACACGCTTTCATTGATATCTGCCTTCGCTCGATGCTGAAGATCAAATGGCCGGTGAGGAAGTATAAGCAACAATAAACTCTGGTAGCGAATCAACCAATAAACTATTATCTAACTAGTAAACAGAAAGAATTGGGTGTACGCTGAGAAGACTGTTCAGTGACATCTTACATGAGACCCTCGAGTGAAATTAGAAAGGGGAAACGATGAGTTGAACCTACGAGGTGATTATATAGGGAGAAATTAACACTTGTTGGTGGTCGTGGAGAGACATCTGTACTGTAAACATGTGCTACTGAGGTCTTACGTTTCATTCAGAACTCAAGAGATGAACAGTGGTACTCCTGTCATCATTAATATACGCGAAATAATTTACTTATTCCTGTATTATTTTATTCTTTTACGTTCCCACTGGAACATAGGCCTTCAAGTTAGAGCTTCGAAGTTTTGGTAGCAGTGGTGTTTATTTTTACAGAATGGGGTTGCTAGCCTCATACCCAATCTTCCCTCTTTACCAGTCTTATTACTAGCTTAGTGTGAGGTAAAGGAGTTCGTCGGCCGGGGATCGAAGCACTTGCGTGGTTGGCGAGCATTCTACCGTTGTGCCACCGACGCACACTTATTTCTGTACTGCATATTTTTAGGCTAAACAAAAAAATTGAAATGTCTGACAATCAAGTCACACATACACAGACGCCTTCAATGACTGTGTATTGTGACTTGTAAACTTATTTTTTTAGCAGGTATTTAATATTCAACTTTCATTGGGAATCTAGATGTATCAGATATCTTTGAAATCTTCATGTAACACACTTCTCTTAGTCTTCAATAAATCAGTGATCATTTTGATATAAGGTTAAACTTTTCCGAATGAAATTATCTGGAAGTGAAATCCCCGCCCCCCCCCCCGCCTCTAAAAGTTAGCAAACTGATCTCACCATGTTTATCTTAAACCTTAAATATTTTGGGAACTTTCTCTTTAAATCAATATCGAAATTTATGCAGTTGGTTTATTGAGGTAATCCTTTTATGTGATTATAAATATCTTGTGTTATTTATTACTTGACTCTTACACTTCTTTTTAGATCCTTCTCTTGCTGGTTGTTATTGGTGTCTGATGAGTACTATCTACCAGTGTAGTCATTTTCTACGATGTATTTCCGAATTCACTTCGTTAACTACACTGAAAAATGTAAACAAAACGTGGAACAATTCACACTGGCTATTCGGTGTTACATCTGATGATCATACATTCCGTCTGTTCAATGCACCGTCATCATCATCCTCATCTTCTAAAAATTCAACAAAAACAGCTACTACTACTTCTGTGGATATTGTACGGAACTTAATTACTGATGTCATCGAATCTGGTTTAAATATTTATCCTCAACACTTACAACAAGAATTACGTGTCCTGTTAATATACTTAACCAAGGACTGTCTACCTTTGGTAGGTTTTAATTTTTGAGAATAAAATCTGTCAGTGTTTATGGGTTAACATTTCCAAAATAGTCATTTGTCGACAACTGAGAGCAACCACTGATTTCTAACATTTTCTTCAGATACCTTATTCAGTGCGATATACTTACTTACTTACTTTACTTTACTTCGGCTATCTCCTACGGGAGGATGAGCCGGCTTCATGAACATCTCGAATCATCGCTGCCCAGGCGCGGCGATCATTTGTAAGAGAGTTCATGAAGTTTCATGGGAATTTGGTACGAGTGATGTCCCCAGAATCGCTCGGCCTTTTTTTTGAGAGTGCAGCTCTAGCCTTTACACAACCAAGTGTGACCTACAAGGCAGTAAGAGTGGAGTAGGGAGTCCACTATCCATTGGCAGCCGGTGACCGGAGTTCGGTTCATACGCCTTTTTGAATGGGGCCAGACATCCAGGACATCCAACAAGCCCTTTGTCCATACGTCTGCCGGTGGGATCCAGTGAGCTTCATATGCCAGTCGTTGGAGGTTTGGAATCAGGGTTTAGCCATCTCCCCTAGACTGTCATCCAATGGACAGTCAACCCGGTGAAGAGCGCCGGGCATCCGCTTTCGCCCTCTCACTTTGGTGAAAAACACCTCCGCCACGTGAAGGCAGTGAGTAGGACTTCCTCAGGAGAGGCTATGTAAGACGCCCGGTCATATGGGAGCATTTCAAGAGGTGTGTGGAGGGGTGGCCAACCCGCAGCGCAAGTCACCCACCCCCGGCCATCCTGAGGCTTTGGAGGCCATTCAGTATACCTACCTAGTGGACAGTTTTTAATTAAACTTTATATTATTATTATTAGATAAATCGGCTGATTTTACGCAGGTGATGACTGATTTTGGGTATATCTATCGGTTAGTCGATGGGATGACCGAAACTTGAGTGTTTCTGCATATTATACGTCTGTGGTTAATACTTCCACTTTCCACTGGTATAGCTAGATGAGGAAATGGGATTGGTGAGACCATTCTTAGTAACCTGGAGTGATACTTGTACTTTTCTAAGCATTATTTACCTCCAATAGTAGTATTATTTACATCACTACTTCAACAAAGCTTACAATAGATACCGAAACTTTGTTAGCTATAAGATCATCTTACATTTAGCGTTGGCCTTATTTAGGCTGGCTTTGCAAAAGCTACAGTTTATCGTGTGTACCTACTAATTCTACTTTTTTATTGCCTTTATAACTGGCGATACCACTTCACCTTTAGACGTAAATCCTTACTGTAATATTTTAATCGTGACATTACCTGTTTTTAGTCCCTTCTCCCGCTAATTTTAGGCAACAGAGAAGTTCAGTAAACTAACATTTCAATCGGTGAAGCATAGTTAAAAAGCTTCGGGTATTCAAGTTCTGCCATCAAAATAAGGTGTTTACTGTTGGGAGGAGGTAATCACTCATAGCGGCTTTTTGTAGCACGAATATTTCTATTTTAGGCTACCGTCTGTTTTCAGCATCACGCGTAAGAACTATCATGTCCTGTTAATATATTTAATTGCCTAATTTTGTATTATATTACACATTTCGGCGCTATCTATATATTCAGTAGCACCTCCCTTAAAATGATGTGACTTTCATTGTATTATTTTTTCTTTGAAAAAAAAAATAGATTTCTCATCTTGGAGATATACTTAGCGAACGACTAATTAAAACAGCTTATACTCATGGTGATCAAGCTCATCTGTTGGGACCTTTGTCATACAATGATGTATGCCTGTTACAAAGTAGTGTTGAAGCTATCCTACCAAGAAAGTTGCATGGCCAATTGCGCAGACAACCGATAGATCATAGTATCGAGAATTGGGAGGCGAGAATTCGTCCTCTCTTCAAAATTCTATCAAAACTTTCCAAAAACAACAGTTCAAAAGATGATACCTCTGACTGGAATCCCTCTGTTCCTGTCGTACAAAATATCCTGTTACCGCTCATAGAATCATTGCATGTATTAGTTTCGCATAAACCTAATCCTGTTAGTTCAACACTTTCAAGTCCATCGATTATACGTACACTCAACCAGTGGATTGACACTGCAAATGATGTTCAAACTGGAGCCAGTGGTGAAACACATCATCAATCAGTTGTTGTTTCAAATCAGCCTAATTCAGCTAGTGGAAATGTGAATATTCCACATATGCTGCCTCATCGACATTGTAGACAACTTTCACATCTTACTGATACAGATTCGATTGAATTCCATGCATGGCTGTCGAACAAACCTCATGCTTCATATGCGGTAGGCTATTTTTCTTTTCTTTAAATGATTCCTAAACACGCCATTTTTGTGTTGATTATTGAGTAGGATTAACTAGCCATATTGGTTTGCAGGATAACACTCAGATAGGTTGTATACTTGGAAACACTAGTGTATGCTGAGGATCATCGTATTCAAAGCGATGTTCAAGCTTCAAATTGTCGTCCCATTACACTGTAGGTTAAGATTAGTTAAATGAAACTTTTGAACTGTAGGACTAAAATATTAAGTAACAGGCTAAAAACTCTACGAGAAGAACAATCGTCGACGTAATTGTAAAAAGGTGTAGGAAAAGAGACGTATAACACGTATTATGAGTAATATTAGTAGTAAAAAGGATATACAACTTTTCAGTATTCCTACGTGAGGTGGAGTGCACGGGAGGGTTACGTAATGGGGCATTAAGATGACGTTGTATTACTAAAAACCTGAACAAAAGTAAACTTTGTTGTTTGAAGCATCCTTTTGAGTTTATTCACAAGCATAATTTCATGTATCCTAATTCATTCTATGATTATAAAGCCAAATTTACTTGATCTGAGTCAATTAGGCTACCAGAGCATCCACCATCATCATGCACCGTGATGGCGAGCTATCTAGAATGATGGCCACATTGCAAACCTGACTGATAGAATTCAGTCTGCACCAAAGAGAGGACTAGACACATCACACTAGTTACTAGTGTCCTATTAAACATTCTAACTCAGTTTAAAGAAGACTGGATAATATTATTCCATTAAACAAAAGGACTGGTTAGGTGATAAGCCTTCAGTTTTACGCAAGGGGAACTGGTAATAGAACGTTTGTCTAATGAGTCGACACTAAACACTTGCAATAAGAATTACTCATGATTTGTTTCAGTTATTTGTGAAATATAACGAGAATATTATACCATTGGATGTGATAAGACACTTACACATGTGCATCGGTGGCACAACGGTAGAACGCTCGCCGACTACGCATGTGATCCGGGGTTTGATCCCCGGCCGACGAACTCCTTTACCTTGCTAAGCCGGTAATAAGACTGGTAAAGAGGGAAGGTTGGGCATGGGGCTAGCAACCCCATCCCGTAAAAAATAAATACGACTGCTACTGAAACTTCAGGTCTCTAGCCTGAAACCCTATATTCCACTGGGAATGTAAAGGAATAAAAAAGACACTTACGTATATAAGTAGTTTGATTTGTGTTTTAAAAAACATTATTATACTGACTGTGCATATATAACTGTTTAATTTGCTTCAGTAGCCTTACTGCAGTGACAAAGTCTTAAGCCAACAGTCTTTAAAGCCGACTTTTCATAACTCCCCTTCTAGAAGTTTTCCATTTATAAATAATACCTTCTGCTTATCTCAAAATGATGCTAAATGTTCAACGTATGTTTGTTTGTTTCTTTGTTTCAATTTTTAGGCTTGGAAAGAACATATGTCAATAAAAATGAACTCTGCGTTTGCATCATCACTTCATCAATGTGTACGCTCACCGTCTACTCAAACTGATGGACAGATATCACGCTGGAATGATCTGGATTCTAAACAATCCTGTCTAGCCATGCATTTCGCAAGACACTGGAGATATGTTGTTGAAGAGAAACGGTGGGCAAGACGCTGGGGTGTGTTAACCACTAAGTCTTGTAAGTGTTTTTGCTGGATTTCATTTTCACATATTATTAGAAAATCCATGAATAAGCAAATTCTATTGAGAGAATGAGGATAATGGACAAAATTCATGTAAAATGTGCACTGATTTGTACACACCTCCTACACGTTATAAGTTATCGCCTAATCTCTCAATGAGATATCCATTGTCTAATGTTTTAGGGATATAGTTCTCATTGACTTAATTAAACACTTGGCTTACAACTAATAGGCTCCGAGTTTAAATCGCAATACACCTAATGCAGCCTGGAAATCTAGGTAGTATCGTCAACTGTCACGAAATAAGTGTGACTTATGGCTTGTTACATGAACTATAGCCTAACTCTTGACAACAACAACAACAACAACCATCTAATATTTGCTCATCAGTCCGCTCGGTCCTCCTTTATGGTTGTGAGACCTGGCCATTGAGAGTGGAAGACATGAAAAGATTAGCTGTCTTCGGTCATAGGTGTCTGCGTTCTATCTTCCGTGTGAAGTGGTATAATAAGATGAGCAACATTGAGGTGAGGCATTGGTCGAGTGCTAGGTAAGGAGGGGAAATCAATCGACGAGGCTGTGAAGTTACATCGATCAAGTGAGATGGTTAGGAAATGTGTTACGCATGCCTAGTCATCGCCTCCCTCGACTGGCAGTGTTAGCTGATATAGGGCCAGGCTGGAAAAGAGCTAGCGGTGGTCAAACCAAAACATGGCACCAATCAATGAAATCTACAACAGTTAGTCTAAGCCAAGTAGAAAGGTGTAGACTTCCTGGATGGTTGAGTTCCTCGGGACGGTAAAAACCAATGGTTGGAAACCATTGGTGACATGACTCAAAATCGTTCTCAATGGCTGGTGCAGATGCATCCACTCCTTGTGACTTGTGATTTCCAATGAAACTATTTTGTTTTTCGTCATTACTATTGTTTTGTCTCACACCTCTGTTTACTGTCTCTAATATGCATTTCTCCTACTTTCTTCTCTTGATTTTTGTGCTACATGGAGGCAGTGTGGCGACTAGAAGTGCCACACATATGTGCAAAGTTCTATGTCGAAAACAGACAGATCTAATATTTCATCCCGGTGAACATTACTGTTCTCATTTTGAAGTGTTATTCTTCTCTATGCGTAACATCCTGTGTATTCGAATTATGAACACTAATGCGTTGATTTGAAAGACACTTTTTTTTACATCATAGGAATTCATCATTAAAAGGATTTCATTTTACATTATGCCTAAATGTATGCTTATATCTCTTATTTTATCTGTTTCCATAGATAAAGGTAAAATACTCTTGCTATATGAGTAACTGCATAAAATCTTACACAATCCAGATTCTCACTATATAACATGGTTGTAGGTGATTATTATTATTATTATCCTATGCAGGTTCATCCACTGACCATTCACCAAAAGTTGATACTTGCCTATTGATCTGTTCTCCTTTTTTTCCCTTTTCTTTTCTGTCTAATAGCCTCCAAAAAGGGCGCGTGTATATCGTCTGATAGTTGGTTGACAAAGGTCCTCTTCTCACCACCCGACTCCAATGCACGCGGAGTATATGATTGTATGAAGCTGCTGAAAGAAATCACAACTAACTTCGTACCAAAAGAGATTCGTTTAGAGTCGTCTAGTCAGTTAACACTTTATACAGAAAATATCAATGCATTGAATGCTTTGTTCAATAAACGTCGATGTATTGTACTACGATTTCTCACTGAAATTTGTATTCCTCGATTGGATGAATTGGCGTCAACACGTGATGCAGCCTTATTACTAACTGATGGTGGTAGTGTATCAACAACTTCAACTTCATCATCCACAACATCATCATCAACAACAACAACCACCACCCAAACAACATCTTCATCATCAAAGAATTGTACAACAGCTTCTGTTCCAACGGCTGGAGATATTTTTGTTACAGAATTTTATCATTTAGCTACATCGTCTACACTCGCATCAGAACAGTCTTCAAAAGAAAGTCAGCAAAAACTTACGCATACTCCTGCCACTGCAACAACAACAACTGCTATTTCAAAATCACCGTTTATTCCTTATTTATTAATTAAAGGGAACTTTTTAGGTTAGTTTAATATTTATTTTTCTCCTTTTCTCAGCTAATTCATCTATGTGTGTGTGAGAGTGATTTTAATGGCAAAGTTCAACAATAGAGCGTCCCGAGGGGGTGCGAACGCATGATTAACAACCTTGAGCTGACCAATCATAAAAGTGAGGAATGTTTGCACAAAAAAAGGACGTATATTTACAAGAAAATGCAAGAAAACACATTATACAGGTTATCTTTCTCTGACATCACTTAAAAATACGTCCAAGTTAGAAGGAAGAGTTTCAGTTGCTGAGTTAGACTAGTTTCTGTACATGTATTCACCGAGGTAGGTGACTGATGATGAGCTGTTTTTGTGAATCGTTCATCCCTCATATCCTGTTATGCAGTCTTCCCCAAAGCCATCCGTGGAATTACTATGGTTTCCAGTAAGAGGATCGACGGCTACTTCCCAGGGAAATGGGGATAAGAAAACAAATTAAAATAACTCTAACCCCAATACTTACCTCAACTCTGATCCTAACCCTAACGAGCTATTGACACATTGTCCAAAGAGTACTTAAAAACGTGATCTGAGTGAAATTTATTTCAGCTATGATAATGACAGCTGACGACTAGCGCGCGTTCAAGGTCATTGGAGTGTTTGCACTCCTGGGACGCTATTGTTGAACTTCGCCATTTTAATATCACTTACATTTCCTAAATGCCTAAGTATTCATGTCACAGTGAACATGGAGTTTTACCAGTAGTCTATTATGCGACTATTTTTCAAGTATCCTACTAACTGTAATGTAAAGGAATTGACTTATCTTGAAACCGAACACGTCTTCACAGCACCTCTAAAGTTCAATGTGAGGACATTTATTGATTTGTTTTTGTTATCTATATACATAATTGATGTTTCTATATTGTATTTAATCTCCCCTTATATTATAGGTTATGTCAGAATTTTAGTTCGAAAGTTATTATCACAAATAACTTGCATTGAATCAGCGCGTATTCAACATTGGAATGAGTTGATGGCTGCTACACTAAGCCCAATAAGTGGTTCTGGTGCATGTAATGGAGGTGCTCCGGGTTATGCGATAGCCTTAGTTGCTGAATTGTTAAACGTAATTAAACCACTTGTGAGTTATTTTGTTGTCTGTATTAAATTTAAATATGTATCATTATATATTGTCACTAGTCAGAATAAACTAATCGATGAGAATAACAACTAAAAATATTGTAAAAGTTTTACTTTTGATCTGTACAACTGGTGGTGGATTCTTTAATTCAAAGTGTACTTTTTAAAGTAGGTGAAATGAACTATTCAGAAGTTCCTTTTCTGGAATAAGCTGAAAACGAGAGCTTTCAAGGTAATTCATCGTATCCCACCGAATCTTTCCAGTTTACTTCGTATTCGTCTACTGCACACAGCTGGGGAGATAGGCATTCGAAAGAAGTCCGTACAGCCATTATCTCTCCTTTAGCCTTTTAAGACATAACCAACCGATGACTTCTTCACCACCCTTTACTTATATTTTCAACCCCTCTCTTATCATCCCTTAATCTTATCACATCTTCATGAAAACGTAGTTTATTTACTTCCCTTGCAATCCATCATCACTTAATTGGTTCATTTGTTTTTATTACCCTTCATCGACTGCTTCTACCTGAACATTTATTTGTCTATTTAATCATGCCGTTGTTCGTTATTCTTGTTATCACAGATTGCCTCACTTTTTCATCCTTGTTATTGATAGAACCATTATTATATCACGAATTGGCACAAGTTAGGCTTCATAGGCAGTCGGATCCCATCTCCAGTGGCTGTGGAGGGTCAGTGAGCTCGCCTTGTAACCTGAAGTACCGATCCTTGGTACTTCACCATGGAAGTGCACTGCTGAAGAGTCCCAAACAAGAACGTGACAGCTGTCCAGTGCTCCCTCGATTTTAATAATTCCCTAACCGAATTCACTCGGTGATCAACACTTCATATTATTCATTTTATGGCCCTGAAACATTTTGCCCACTATCGGTTTTCATTCAGGATGTTTCAACTATCCTAGGTAGATTCTGACAATACGAAAGGTGTTTGTTTGCTTATTGTACTAAAAAGTTCACTCAGGAAGGTCGATTGATTCTAATCCGTGTAGAACTAATTATTCATCATAATCGGTAACGATTTTTTAGTTATATTGTTGCTCATGAATTACAAATTTTACAAAGGAAATCATACCATTTCACATGTTGTTGTTTTTTTTGCCTTTAGAAACAGTTAACAAGATCACAACAAAATCTGTTACTGCGTATTCTGTTACCGGCATGTGCTCAATTAAGATATTTAATATTTCAACGCGCTGATTGTACTGTTAAAGCACAGACTATATTCGATTCTATGCTAGCTGAATTGACTGGTGTTTCTGGTGCACAAATTAAAGAATTTCTATCCGTAAGTTCAGTGAAAACAATAATAATAATAATAACCAATATATTTTTTTTAATTAGTAAATTCAGCATATCTTAATGTATTATTATTATTACTATTACTTCTTTGTATTATGTTTAACAACAGACTGTGTTAGACGTCCTAGCTGAATATCCAATTGATGATCATCGGTCTGGAACTTATCTGTTACAACGATTGTGTACTCCTGTCTGTCCATTGCACACTGATCAGTCTGTTTTCCAGATTAAATTAGAAGTATGGCGTCCACATGAAGATTATCTATTGGCTAGATCAAGAATTGAAATTCTACCGTGAGTTTTGTTCTTATGCCTCCATTGGATTAACATAATTCAGGTTGTGGTTGGTATCAATACAGATGATATTATCAAACAAACAGACAGCATATTTCATTATAGATGTTAAAACTCTTCAATTTGTTTCATATGTCTCTGTCAAGTGTGAAACAAAACGTTGCGTAACAATCGTTTGTATTTATACTCATCTGGTAACCAGCTACGCGTTTTATTTAAGGACTCGTGATACTATCAACCTGTCTAAACCTTGGCAAGTGAAGCTGCTGCCGATTAGTTAGAAATTGGATGGATGGCTTAACAAATAAACCGCATTCACGGTTTCCTGACTTATTGACTTCACAGTTATGTAGAACTATGCATAAAACGCATCACTTCATGTTACCACATTTGGAATTCAGTGTTAAATATCGCCTAATGCAAATGATATCTCAAATTACTGAAAACTATGTTGTAATCTCTTAACAGGTGCATAATCTCCGCATCACCAACTTAGAATATTAGTGATTCTTTGGAATGGTTATTGTCCTCGATCGTTAAATAACTGCTGCTTGTAAACAGTCGAAAATTTTACACACCTATGTGTACTAGACAGTCTTTATGGAATAATTTTCTATACCACTTCTGCCTACTTTTCTTATCTGCTTTTTGGTACTGGTTTTGTTTGCATTACGATGCATTTTCATATTTTCAGGTTTTAGTTTGTAGGGATTTTGTTTGATTGGTTGAAGGATTTCATCATGAGCTGACGTCAGTTAGAGAACCATTGGAAAACCTGCGGGGAGTACTGGACAGTTGTTTCGTCCTAGTTTGGGATTCCTCGTCAGTACGCATCCACTGGGGTTCGAAACTAGGACCTTCTGGTTATAAGGCGAGCTAGATTGTAGACCATTAAGCCACCGGGACCCGATCCAATGGCTCATGAATTCTAACTTCTGCCAATTCACAATATAGCATAACCACTTCGCAACTTCTTCGATGAAGTAACTATCCTCACCTTCGATCTGAATTGGCAGAAGTTATAAATCATGGGCCATTGGGTCGTGTCCCGGTGGCTTAATGGTCTACGAGCTATGTCGCCGCCTTGTAACCGGAAGGGCCTTGACTCGAACTCCCCTGGTGGGTGCGTACTGCTAAAGAGTCCCAAACTAGGACGAGACAGCTGTCCAGGACTCTCTGCAGGTTTTTCAATGTCTCTCTAATTGATATCAGCTCATCACTTCATGTTTATCATTACTTTGTTCTAAACTATAATTGTTTGTGTTTTTTTACTTTCTTTTCTTGTTATTTGAAGTTCTGACACACGAGGTTTAGGTCCACGTATACACAATCTCATTGATTTCATCTGTGATGCTAACAATTTGACTACAGATATGCGATTAGAAATTGTATGCGAAGGACAAATTTTAATGCCTCAATTACGTCTACACGATGTCTACACCCAAATATGGTGTGCTAATAAAAACAATGTAAGTGCATATTTGTATTCTAATAAAATTTGTTTGTTTTTCTTCCTATTATTATTATTATTCGTGGAACAAAGAGCTTCAGCAGCACATCTTCATTCAGCCATGTTTTCTGCAGTCTGAATTACTTGGCTCCATGATTGTCCATAAGATTTCATCTCCTCCACATTACCCTCAGATGCTCACCTCATCGTTTCCCATTCGGGTTCCACTCGAGTGCCTGATACGTGACGTCACCGAGCGGTCTTTTCAGAATGTGTCCTATCCATCTCCATTCCCTCCTACATATTTGTTTGGTTCGTTGCCAGAATTCTTTGTTGCTAATCCTTTCTGGCCGGTCATTAGGTCTTCAGTATCGAGCCAGTTAAGACAGGCGCTGGTAAGAGTCTCCAGTAGTAGGCTGTTGGAAATACCTTTCATGATGCGCCATGTCTCTGAACCGTATAGAAGAGCTTACTTGTTCTTTATATCACCAGGACTTATTCTCTAAATAGATTGCTGAACATCGCAATTGATGTGAAGTGTTTTATCTTCTAATTAAATTGTTTGTAATTCTGTTATTTCAACTAACAGACGACGTTTTGTTGTCGGCCAAGAAAAATACTTACGGGTATAGTTTCAGTCAACGATCATTATCAAAATGACATACTTTTGTTGTACTCTTATTCTGATACATTTTTGTTTCTCATTTATCTTTGTTCACTTATATTTTTCAAGATAAATAAACCTATGCGTTTACGATATCGTATACCTGGTTTGGAGGCAGATAATCTTCCATACGTTGAAAATTTATCCTCAGAACAAATTCCACCAGAACAGTATTCACATATATCTGTGCTAGCTACACATCCTCATGGATTAGGCGATTTATTGAAACGATTGGCTAGTTCACGAAATGCAATCTACAATCGTGATTTAATGGATGTTATAGTACATATACTGGAGTATTGTTTGAAAACACCTGCGTGTACAGAACGTCTTACTGATCAGGACATAAGGTAGGCTATTGATTTTTATTTCTACTTATTCTGACACTGGCTGTGCAAATTTCGTTCTTTTTTAGTTTTGTGGAGTTTTTGTCTAGGAACTTAACACAGTTGGACTTCTGATGTGATTTTTCCCTTCTTTGTTGTAGTTTGATATGGTACTCAGACTGTGGTTTTCCCAGAAGTTACATTTTTAGGCCTCACGCTCTTTGTTTATCTGCTTTTTCTATCCAATGGTTATTTCTGATAAGATGAATGGTCATCTTGATTTTATTTTTTAATATTTGATATAATATTTAATATGTTTCATCATCAGGCTTGATAACATCGTTAGGAACTACTTCTAGGTGTGGGGATTGGTTGGCTTTTGGTCGTTGGACTGACAGCCAGTTTGTTAGATTTTAGGATCCATTCAATCTGCTGTCACCTCAATAATCGCGCATAGAGTTTTACATTTCACAGTGCATCGGAAAGGCTGTATTGTCCGTTGTCATTTCTACACGTGTGAGCATTAGTTGTTTAGTTGTGAATACATGATTTATATCAAAAATGTATTCTTATTTCTTTTTGTACAAAATTCATCACTACTAACTCTTTGGATATCACATGAATATGTACTGGTAGATTGTTTTGTATATTTCCCATTTGTGACGATCGCGTAATCACGTATACCTTCACACATTAGGCTTTAGTTCACTATGTGATAGTGTTTATGGTTTACGTTTTAAATTGTAAACTGACTTGTCACTGGATAGATATAAGCGTTGCTGTTAGTACTGGTCAAGTTTACAAAATATTCACTAAGCTAAGAGATCTAGCATTATGATGAGCTTTTCATTGGTAATCCCTTGGTTGGAAGCAGTCGACAAGAAGCCCTTGACTTACGTGTTGTACTCATCAGAAGGATATAAGTACGATTATGGGTGGAATCAAGTGTCGTTTTCGATATTCCATATTTCACTACCCATACTTTGAGTAATAAAGACTAAAAGAGAGCTTTGTGTGCTTTTGGAAGTATGTGGGCGATTGTAACTTCCCGGACGCCCACATGGCGGAAGTTGATTTTTTCTTGCGATGCCTGAGAAAGAAAGAGAATCAATGTTGTGTGACCGCAGATCCCAGGCGATAGCTACTTCAAACTGGCTCGAAACGGCCTGTTTGAATTAGTTTCTAGAGTATTGTCCTCATTAAGAACTTACCGCTGGTTATACCACTGTGGTGAGAGCTGTCTACTAGCCAAGTGGTGGACAGTAATTGAGGTCAAAGGTCAAGGTGGACAGGCGGTTACAGTTAACATATAGATGAACTGACACAGCCACAAGAGATGCAAGGTTAACTTTGTGTGAGAAACAACCAATCAACAGACTGTATTTTCTACTAACATTGACCTACAATAATGTACATAAAAATCTATAAATACGTGTTGATTTTTCGTAATAAACGATCTGTTGCCTGGCCCTTTTCTTCTGTTGTTACACCACCACCATAGGGTAAGTCGGGAAATACAGTATTCTGGGTTGACCTTTTCAGACCACCTCTCTCCAGATTGGAGAGACAGCATAGCTGGCTATTTGAAGGAAACACTGTTATACCCTTTTCGCCATTAGTACGACTTTGCGCACAGACTCTCAGCATAGTGTTAACAACTGACACTACGGCAGTAACTGCTTTTAGTCCAATCGCTATCCAAGCAACCTTTCTGGCATGACAGGACCTGTAGGAATATTAGTTCCAGCTAGTGTGGCTTGTCGGGTGATTGCGATATGCAAACCTGACTACCACGTCAAGGTAGCAGCTATCGGTTGGAATTATCCTACATTTATTCTCCTAAAACTGATTTTTTTTTTTCATTTATTTATTTGTTTATTTCTGTTCAACAGAGCTGTACCTAGATTGCTGTATACGCTAATTATATGCTTGCAATCAAGACAACTGAAATCGATCACTAATGCTCAACAACAACCACAATCTCAACAGTCGATTGATATTCCTGAAGATATTACAAAACGTTTAATCGCTGTATTCAAATCAATCCTTGAATTAGTTGACGAAAAGTTGAATTCTGCCGGTTCATCTCAGTCAGGTTAGTGAATTTACACTTAATTTTAAGGAATCGCGTGATAACCTGGTTCACATTTGAGTCTTCTACCCTCTGCTGGTGCAGTGTTGAACTAGTAATCTGAAGGTTTTGGCTACTGGTTTCAATCCTGTTGGGACTCAGATTTACACTTCGCTATTAGTCATCACCCATTACATCTAATGATTAGTATATTAGTTAGTGAATAATAGGTATATATTTATTTATCTTGTCTATAAAATATAAGAATTAATAAATAATAATAATTGAGCGGAACTGATGATTATTGTAAGTAGGATTCACTCGATTTGATATATCTCAGTTCTAATACTTCAGTGTCTTCTTTCTAACTAGACAGAACTTGTCTATTATTATCATTATTATTGTTCCCTTGGGTTCCTAGTGGAACATAAAGCTTCAACTACACGTCTCCACTTACTTCTGTCTTCCGCTGTACTTTTCACCTGCATCCATGTTTGTCCATTCTGTTTCAACTCCTCTTCACACGATCTCCTCCATGTCACCCTTGCACTGACGTCCCACTCGCCGCTTCCCTTTCGGGTTCCACTCGAACACTGGCCTGACGCGCGATGTCACCCAACGGCCTCCTCAGCGAGTGTCCAATCCATCTCCACTTTCTCCTGCATATTTGTTGTTTGGCGATTGGTTCTTGTTTTGTTTGTTCCCATAGTTTCTTGTTGGTGATTCTTTCCGGCCATCTGATCTTGAGTATAGAGCAAAGACAGTTGTTGATAAAGGTCTGCAACAGGCTGTTGGAAATATTCTTTGTGACCAGCCGCCAAGTTTCTGATGCGTATACAAGAACTGACTTGACGTTTGTATTGAAAATCCGAATTTTGTTGTTGATGCAGGCTGAGTGACGAAGATTTCCAGATTGGTTTTAGGTTGATGAATGTGTTTCTCGCCTTCCCGATTCTCGATTTGACATCCTCGTCCGTTCGTGCTGTAGTTGAGACAATGCTCCCTAGATAAGTGACTGAAGTAACCTCTTTCAAATCCCTCCCGTTGATGGTGATTGGCGCTGGATGTTGCTGCTGTTGTTGTTGGTGGTGGTGGCTGTTGGTTATTTTCATAACCTCCGTCTTGTCTATGTTCACCTGGAGTCCTATCTTTGCTGCTTCTTTGATCAGTTTGTCGGTTTTTACTTGTAAGTCTTCGATTTTGTTTGACTTGTCTGCTGGATTCTATTTCAACTTCGATGCAGTCACTTGACACTATGATCATCACATCAACAGAAAAGACGCCTACATGGTAATAATCTTCAATTAGTTCAATTGAATCAAAGTAGCCAACACTGGATCTACTGAACATATGTTGATCTACTGGTGACCATTAATGTCAATGAACATGTGTTTTGTCCCTATGTTCAAGTGTGATTTAGAGAATATTAAAAAGTATTTGTTTTTAGGTTAGCTTCCATTTCCCATTAACTGGTTATGTTGGACCGAAATGCTTGGTCTCCGTTAACTTACCCATCATGCATAAGTTGACTGTCGTGGCCCACTGGTTAACAATCTCACGTTTGAAATGATGGATGCCAGAGTTCACAAGTCGCAATGCGAACACCATCTGTCACTGGGAATGCAGATACATCCAGCTCATGAGTCTTAAACAGGACTAAATGCCAGTTTGTTTGCCATCAAAAGACATATACCCCCAAGCCAACCTATCAAACCGAAAGCCCCCAAGGAAAGCACAAAGAAAATCGCCTTACCATATATAAAGGATATCTCAGAAATCACTACACGACTCTTCAAACCTTTAGGAATTGACGTCGTACACAAACCAACAAAGTCACTTCACTCAATTCTATGTCAACCAAAAGACTCAACAGCGAAAGAAGATAAAACCAACATCATCTACAAAATAGATTGTATCAACTGCGAAAAACACTACACTGGCCAAAGTGGACGTCCCCTTCGTCTTCGTATCCACGAACATAAGCTAGCTGTCAAGAGACATGATATCCACTCCCTCATATCACTACATACAGGCAACCACGGACATCAATTCGACTGGGACAACGTTCAGGTATTAGACAGAGGAAACAACAAGAATGCTAGAGAATTTTTAGAAGCTTGGCATTCCAGTGAATCATCAATCAATAGACACATCGAGATTGACAAAATTTATCAACCGATAAGAAAGAAACCTCACACACAAAGGGTCAGAGTTCAAGTCAAAGAAACAATGAATTACAATACAAATAACCTAGAAGGTATGAAAACACACAAAAACAACCAATCACGTCCAAGGTCACCAGGAGAGATGATTAATAAACTCGTGGAGAAATCTGAAAGCTCACTTCAAATTGAAGTATGCGCTGAAGATGTCGCCTAGTAGGGCGATGAAAGCTTCGCAAATTAACTATCCAGCTCAGAAAACACAATCACACCCAAATCATCCACCTGAGCTACAAATCTTCTCTATCATATCTAAAACTAAATGCGCATCCGCTTAATTCCGCTGCTAGTCATCATCAAAGAATGGTTGAATGAAAGTACACTTAAACGGACAGTATTCATTTAGTATTATTTATTACACTTATGATTATTAAAATCAGCATATTAACACACTTATAAAACTCTACAACTTATATTTATTGTCTTCTTTCTTCTTTTTTTCCCCCTTTTATTTTCTATTCTTCAAAAACTAATTACAATGTCGAATCTCTCTGTTTAGATGCTGTCATCGATTTGGTAGATTTGAATTCAGTGAAATTCCTGTTGAATTTTATTAGAAGTCAACCAGCTTTACCAAATATCAGTGTAGATGTAGCACGTCTACTCGGTTTAATGACATTTTCAAATGAAAAGATAATGGATGTGATAATTGACTTCTTGAAAGTAAATTTAGATCAATTAAAGTAAGTTCAACAAAGGATATTATTTTTTTCACTTCATTTCTTAAGAGGATTATTTGATCTCATAAGAAGTGTGTACCATGTAGAATGAATTCTGCTGTTTGTTTGTTTTTTGTTTTTTTTCATACCCATTATAATATATGATATGTACTCGAGTACATTGCCGGTTTACGAATAGAATGCTCTCCAGCCACACACTCGTGATCCGGCTTCGATTCCTGACCAATGCACTCGCAAACCTCTTTCACTGGACACTAGTAACTAGTGGAATGTGTCTAGTCTTTTGTTTAGTGCAAACTGAACAAAGGATTAGACACATCATATTGGTTACTAGTGTCCAATGAAAATATCCAACACAGTCCTACAGAGGAGGTCAATCGCGAGCCCAACAGCTCAGTGGTAATATCTCTGACTGCAGCACTGGGTGAAACGGGTTCGAATCTCGGAAGGGAAATCAGTTCCTTCAAGGCTGCAGATACGCCTTGCTGACTGACTGGTGAGTGCCAACTAGCAAGAAACCTAGGTCGAAGGCTTCCTGGCGATTGCCTCCAATCATCTAACACTCCCAAACCTCGTGTAGTTTATTAGTTGATATTAAGTCGAGAAAAGAAAGAGCGGTGGACACGAGACTAACAAGCTCTCTCCGTAAAAACAACATCGACACTACTGATCTTAAAGGTTGGAGCCCTATGTTCCACTCGAGACTCAAAGGAATAATGCATATATATATATATATATATCACATTGTTGTTAAGGTAACACATTCTCCTTACTAGTCGAATATTTGTCATCCAAATAAAGAACAAAGGATTTAACTTTGTTATTATTGTTTGTCCGCAAGGAATATAGGGCACCGATGTGCCGCACATGCTATTATGGTCTTGTAAAGGGCTGAGATGAGTGCTCAGTTCTGCTGAAAATCAATTTAAGATAATGTTTTCGGCATTTAGAAGTAATTGTAAAGTATTTTTTATTCAATTGTGTGTTCTCTGAGCTGAATAATTTAATTGAAAAGCTTTCACTGTCCATCTAGACAAAAATATTCGCAATTACATCAGTCAGTTCAGAGAACACACAATCGAATAGGAATTATCCACCTGAGCTACAAATCTTGTCTATTATTTCAAAATTGTGAAGTATACCATTGACTTTCTAGCCTTAGGAATTTCTTAAAGTGTCTGTAATTGATTATTTCATTGAATTTTAGATTTTCCCATCGATTGATTGGACTGATGTGCTCGGTCTCAGGTTGACATGTCGGCTTCTTGTGCAGATGCTGCGACGAAGTCTGGGAATGTAATTAGAATTTAATTGGTGGCTGGTGACTAGCAGTGGAAAACAGACATCGTCGAAGCATCTGCACAAGAAGCCGGCATGTCAACCTGAGACCGAGCACTTCGGTCCAATCAATCTACGGGGAAATTTAAAATTCAATTAAATAATTAATATGACCCATTGCACAAGAGGTGGCTCTCGTGGCCCAAGTGGTCTAGTGGATAACGCTTTGGCGTTTGAAACTAGGGCACTGGGTTCGAGCCTCGGTGGGAACATCATCGCTCACTGGGGAGTGCAGATACATCCAGCGAACGAGTCCCAAATGGGACGAAATGTGCATCCTGGATTCCACTGCCATCAATTAAATTCTAATTACATGTATGTAATTAATGCTGTAATGTCAACTCAACCTGCGATTCATGTGTTTTGATTATTATGTTACTCAGCTGTCTGTTTTAGTTCATATTGTCATTTTCCACCTGCTTATGGCTTTTGGCTAGCTACCTAATTACTCACAGTATACAAGGTGCTTTTGAATAAAGCGAGAATAACAATTTTTGCAGAATACTATGGTACAATCATTTATTTCGTTGGCTTCCCATCATCTGATTACAGCCTAAATAAATTATTATTAAGTTTATTTACAGAAAAGTTCTAACATATTCGCAAATTTTACACTATATCAGTTGACAGGAGTGAACAGTACTCAGAAAATTACGCTTTTATAGTTTTTACACAGGGCGTTCAGGTTTAAACAAATTATGCATATAATGGTAAGGGAGTTATGTGATCAAGACTAGAGTTGCGTAAGATGTAGAGTAACTAATAGATTGGGTAACAATGTACCGAGTTCAACTCAAATCATAGAAACAAGAGACAAGTAAAATTACAGTATATCAAAGGGAGTGAGGTTAAAGCCAAAAATTGTGTAATCGAATTAAGGAGAGAATAAAGACACCCAGTTAGCTAGCAAGTTGGCAAGGAAAGACTGATAACTTCTTCTTTCTGAATATATAAATCGGGTTTCAGGCGTTTGATAGAGATTGCTTCGGCAAACTTGAGGAGAATTGAGTTTTTTTTGTCTATCGATAATTTTAAAGGATTATGCGATTTCCACCTCATGATCCGTATCAAGAAGATGCCTGGTAACGTCACTATTGTAAGTGTTTGTTCCCTTGAGACGTAGGCTTTTCAGACATGTTCAGAAAATCGGAGGTGTGCCCTTCTTTCTGTTCTCCTAATGTAACTGCTCCTGCAGATACACGTAAATTTGTATACACATTTGGGGTTAACATGAGAAGGGTATCTGTCCTCTTTTGCCTGCACCAAAGAGCATGTTGTCTGATAGACACGAACCAACTTAGCTGCGGGATAAGCTCTGTCTAGTCACTTACTTAATCTTCTGCTGACTATTGCTGCAATATTTTCACCTTTAAAATAGAGTTGAATGAAGAGAGGCTTTTTTCCCCCAATGGGATTTATTTGATGTTTGAGCCTTCGCGTCTAACACATTTATAATGAATCTCATAGGGTAACCATTGTTTTTTAACATTATTTCGAGAATCGTAAATATTCTTCCTCTAATTTCTCTGCAGAGCATATTCTCCTAGCTCTAGTGCTCATTTAAAGCTATATGGACAAACAAAAACTATTAAAATCTTTTGTTTTCTTTTTCAGACCGTCAGCTCAATTCAATCCAACTGAAATAGCTTTATTAGATTGTTGTTGTGCTTTATTATTTGCTATACCAAAGCATAGTCGTAATGGTGTATTATTTAGACAGAGGGTGAAACAGAATGCAATGCTTTTACAGATTAGTCTACAATTCCTTTGGGCTACATGTCCATTAGCCTGTATTACTGGTCAGCTTGACGAGTCATCTACTCCAACGGCAACAACGACAACCACTGCTTCGATATCTAAGTATGTGTATAATCCATTATTGTTATTATTATTATTCGCTTATATATTTACTCTGCTTTGTTTTAATATTCAAGAAATCACATTACTTGAACCTTCCTTTTTCTGTCAGTACGGAGATGATGGTAATGGTGATGATAACTAGATCTGGAACAATTCAAATTGAGGTTGTTTTTCAAACCATCATTTCACTTCAACAACCAATTTGCTCAGCCTTAAATGCTACTAGTTCTGCGTAGATTTCTTTCTTATAAATATACTAATTTAGACAGAATAGATTAGTTATCTGTGCAAGCTTTCATCTTCTAACAAACCTTTTCGTATATTGTATACTTAATGGACAGTAGAAAGTAGTGTTTGCTTAATAAACCTAACATGAAGGTTATCTTATATCACAAGTAGGTTGGAACTCAGACTGAAGGATCTCTGACTTTCTTTGTCGTTGATTATGTGATTTTCAATGCATATAATTTATTTGAATTACTGACCGACTGAGTTTCGACATAGAAGTTAGCACACAAGTGAAGCCGTTCAAGTAGCCATATTTCATGTAATACACATAGATGGAGAAAACATCGAGGAAATAAGTTCCAAAAATAAATGTATAGAGAGAAGAACAGCAGCATGGAAAAGCGTGAGGATACAGTGGATATCGGAGATTACAAAGAGTGAATGCATGTGTGAGCCATTGAGAACGGTTTTGAACCGTGTCACCAACCGCCTCCAGCATCCCAAGGAGACCCCAACCAGATAGTTTACACCTCCCTACGTGACTGGCTGAAACCAACTGTCAAGGATTTCATGGATTAATGCTAAATCTTTGGTTTGACCACCTGTAATCCTTTTCTAACCTAATTTTGTGCCAGTTATTAACATTACTCAACGAGAAAGTCAGTAGTTCGGGGTGCTTAACACATGTCTTAGCCATCTCAGTCTATGTAGGTTTACAGCCTCATTAGTTGACCTCCCTTCTTACCTTATTCAGTAACTACTGTTGTGAAGACAGGTATCTGTTCTGAGTCAAAACAATATTTATATATGTCCAAACCAAGTTCACTTTTAACGGTTTGAAAAAATTTGGGCATTGGGTATATGATATTCATTATAATAAAGGTTTTTGTATATCCCAATGAATGAAAAACAAAACGATATTGTTTTTCTATTGTTTGGTTTGTAAGGATTAGTTATGTTTTACGAGTTGATCACGGACTGATATCAGTTAGAGAACCATTGAAAACCAGGGAGTCCTGGACAGCTGCTGTTTCATCCTAGTTTTGGGAATCATCGGCAGTACGCACCCACTGGGATTCGAACCCGGGACCTTCCGGTTACAAGGCAAGCTCGTATACCATTCAGCCACTGGGACCCGATTCAATGGCTCATGAATTCTAACTTCTACCAATTCGTGATTTTAGCGCGACCCCAACTATTGTCGTTGGTGGAAATCCATCCACGCATGACTTCTAATTGGACGTCACTGGTCACGACTTCTCACTAGAACTGCAGGAAGCTCCAACCTGTAGCAAGTCACTAGCGAGCATCAGAATATTGTTTTTACTGACGTTTCGCTATTTAATGCTAATAGCTTTATCAAAGTATTATTAAACCGGAATTTACAAAATCTCAGCATATATATAACAAAGAGTTAATAGGTGAGAAAATAGACTTAGGTCAAGTTAAAATGACATATTGAAAGTTAAAATACCAATGAAGATCATTAAACCAAATAACAAAGGTAATAGTACGTCTGTTATGATATCAAAATAAAGTTTACTAACTTGATCATCGTTCGTCTGTCTGGGGGCATTTTTTAGTTGTCAAGTTGATGAATTGGTAAAGATAACAAAACCATCATGTGTAGATTGTTGGATTTGATAAGTGTATAAGATTATAAAAACAACGTGTGTGTTTACATAATGAAAGTGCTTATCACATTCGTGTTGGTTTTGTCACTTGATGGGGGGAGGGAGGTGTTGTAACCAGGTCAGATTCTGTTTTAGTCCATCATTCCTATTCAGACAATTTGGATTCCACTTGATATGAAGTGCTTCTGATATGAGACGTACTTTGTGATTTCTGAAGTTTTTCTGGATTATTTCAACATTGTCAAAATCAATTTTGTGGCCTGATTCTATAGCATGCAGACCTATGGCTGATGATTTTTCAAGTCTTCGCAGTTCAACAGGATTTCTCGGTGGTCGAAGAGATGCTCTACGGTGTTCATTTCTTCTGATTTTGATTTTTCTTTGGCGATGTTTGTCCGATGTATATCGCATCACATTCCAAGCATTTTATTTTATAGACACAATTAGATAGAGAATCTTTAGGGATTTGGTCTTTTATATGGACAAGGTTGCTTTGAAGTGTGTCTGATGTTTTGAAGAAAACTCTAATGTCGAGCTGATTGAGTACTCTTCTGATATCATCTGACGTCTCTGCTCTATATGGAATGACGACTGTTGAGGTCCATGTTTTCGGAATGCGTTTTCGGCCATACTTAATGTCTGTGTTGATTTTGTTGATGAAGTCCCTTGGGTAGTTGTTTTGCTTGAGAGTTTCAGTAATGTTTGATATTTCTTCTTCTTTTTCTTCCTCATCCATTATCAGAGAGTGTGCTCGTCTAAGAAGACTTGAAACAAGTGAAATCTTTGCGCTGATGGGATGTGATGATTTGAAGTCTAAATATTTATTGGAATGGGTTTTCTTCCTGAATATGGATATTCTAAAATGTCCGTTTTCCCTTCTCTTAACTAGGCAGTCTAGAAATGGTAGTTCACCGACGTCTGATTCTGCTTCCGAAGTGAATTGGATTCTGGGAGATACACAAGTTTATTTTCTCCAATATTTATGTGAAATACTTCTCATGATTTCGTTATTTCATTCCCTGTTGGTGTAATTCAGCTTATATACTTCACCTCCTCGTATATAATTAACAAGTTTGGATCAATCGTGACTATTGTGTTGCAGTCTTTTGATAATCAAAAGTATATAAGGTTATAATACTACTTTGTCTACCCTTTCTGTTGTATCATTCAAGTCTATTTATATCTTTGTTGTCTCACATCTCTTTTTTTATTATCTAGTACAAGTGATCCTGAAATTGTTAAATTTCTATCTGAACCATCATTGCCGTATATTTTACAATTGATGCAAGTCTCTGTGGATGGTGATCAAGTCGAAACTATTCTAAATCAACCTGAGGATAATGTTGAAAAAGGCAAGACACGAATTGAAGCCAATCAGCTACTGCATTTATTCCATCAGTTGGAAACGAGTAAATCGTCTGGACGTGTTGGTCTATTGGCTGAAGACATGTTAAATGATTGGGCTAGTAAAGAAGATAACAACCGTACAACTACTGTTCAGTCTATAGGAAATCGTACAATCGGTCAAGTTATTCATAATCTACGCGAAGCAACAATACGACGTGCTAGATCATTAGCACAAAATATGCGTCAAAAACGCTTACGTAGTCTTAATATGCGTGTTAATGAAAAAGGCCAAGTACGGTTTCATGGTTTATTTTCATAATTGAAGTATAAAGAAGTTTTTTTATATATGTAGAATTCAGTATTTCTTTTGTCAAAGAAAAATTAATTTCAGTGTAGATTTCGTCACATCGGTTAGAAAACCATTGAAAACCAGGGAGCACCTGAATGTAGCAGCACTCATCCATGACTCCTCCAGGGATCGAACCGAGGACCTTCATATTACGACACCAACCTTGTTGACCTTTAAGCCACCTGGGTCGTAACAGAATGAAATGGGAATTCTAACTTTGGTAATTTGTGAAATCTCGAAGTATACACATTAGTTCTTAAGGAAAAACACAGTTTTTTGTTCAGCGAAAAAATATCTCTTTTCAACGACTTCATTTTCAAACTGTACAGTCGTATTTATATGGCACTAAGTGGCACTAGAAATTGCTCAGTCAATATTGCACATATGATAAGAATAAAGATATTTATAACGATGTATTAAGGGGATAGAGTTGAAGTGGATGAATTGCAAAACTCTTAAAGATTATTAAATAAGTGAATTGGTATTAAGATTTTAAAATTGTAGGTCAGATGCTGTCTAAATAATTAAGAATACGATGACGATAACAGTAAAGACAGCGAAGATGAAGGGAAGCGGAATGAATTCAAGTGGTAAAACAAAAATAAAAGAACACAACTGTGACCAAGATAAAGAAAGGGATTTAACAAAGCGTTTTTGAACACATAATTTAAGTTTCTGTCCATGTATAGTTAGAACTTTGGTTATGCATGAGTGGGAAAAACGTAAGCTGTTTGTAGAGTGGTTGAATTTGGTTGTGTAAATAACTTTGAAGGGTAAATCACATGACTCTGAATGGCCTGACTCCAGAATGTGTTCACAAATTGAAGACTTCATCATCCTGCGCTCATCTTTCATTCACCAAACCGGGTAGTGTTCAGCTACGCGTTTACGAAGAAAATACGACTGTACAGCTTGAAAATGAAGTCATTGAAATTCGTGAAATAGCTCTACCACCAACCAATACTATAGATGAGTGTTGACTTCACCTTGACATTGGGGCACCACCTCACTGACTTCTCATCACAACCTCTAGACATCCATTCAATTCAGTAGTCGCCCAGTGAGCTGAAGGTTGATGTTTAAATTATGGGTTTTGTGGGAATTCGGACCTATTTCAGTATAGATTACGTCACGAACCGACATCAGTTAGAAAATTATTTAATGCTAGAGAGCACTGGACAGCTGTTTCTAGTGAATAGTCCTAAACTAGGACGAGACAGCTTTCCAGTTCTCCCTGGTTTCCAATGATCCTCTAACCGATGTCGGTTCGTGATGTAATGTACACTGAAATTCATCCAAATCTCTACAAAACGCCATAATGTAAAGAAATGTTACTCTTTTTCAAACTAACTAGCTGTTGAAAGGCGTTTCCGTTTATCTTCTACATATGTATATATGTGTGGTAAAAATATCTCATATACAGTATATGAAGCCTCTGCATAACCATTATATTAGGTGATAGTAAATTATGACTATTAATAGGTTTTTACGAATACTAAATTGTCACGTTAAAAGTAGTATTAGATGTATTTGTTCACAAATTGATCTACTCAGTGTTATTACTTCTCGTTTGGACAATAAACACATCGACCTAAGTGGATAAACTTACATGAAGACTATGGCAGCAAAAGTTCACTTGGAAAATATTCATTTTGGAGGTTCGCTTAAACTTTTATTTTGATAAAATATGACTGAAGGTAAACGACGTGTTGCTAGACTGTTCAAATACGTTAGAATGTATCCAAATAGCTAGTTCACTCGAATCCTATACCTTTTGAATAACTTAGCAACATGTTGTCTACTGGTAGTTTAAAGTATCAATTGCTCTCTTGTACGAATTGAAATTGCCGTTCCTTATGTGAAACTTACACATTTCCAACTAATCAATTCCATCATTAACGGTAATGCATAAAACATGTTCTCGATACAGATTAGATGTGTTATCATTCCATATTCTATTGTAAAAATTGAAAGAATGATTTTGACTTTGTTACAGCAGACGTATTTTAACAGGTTTAGTTCGCTTTTGGTACCTTACAAGTGTAAAATCCTACAGGAGATCGGTCTACATCGACTCCTAATTTACTTTTGAATATATTGGGGACTGAAGTTATCTTCGGTTACTTCATTTACCCTACTGTGAGTGTAATAGTAGTGAAATATCTGCATGTATATAAAAGTCTCTTTACGATGGCTGATAGTATTAGGACGACACGTATGTCGTTTGGTTTGTTTGAATGTATTTGGATTATTATGTTCAAATTCTAATCCATTCAGACACCCCCCCTCCATACATCTTTGAGTGTTGGTTTTATAAAAGCTTTGCCTATTACCTCTAACGGTTTCCTACCCCATTACTTAACCTATTCGTCGCGTCAACCCACTATTGCTAGGTAAGGAGGGGAAATCAATAGACGAGACTGTGAAATTACATCGACTGAGATTGTTAGGACATGTGCTACGTATACCTAGCCATCGCCTTCCTCGACAGGCAATGTTAACTGATATAGGGTCAGGCTGGAAAAGAGCTAGCGGTTGTCAAACGAAAACATGGTACCAGTCAATGAAATCTACAACAGTTAGTCTAAGCCACGTAGGAAGGTGTAGACTGGCTTCCTGGTTGGGGTCCTCGGGACGGTAAAAACCAATGGTTGGGAACAATTGGTGACATGGCTCAAAATCGTTCTCAGTGGCGCAGATGCATCCACTCCTTGTGACTTGTGATTTCCAATGAAACTGTTTTGTTCTTCGTTATTACTATTCCTTTGTCTCACACCTCTGTTTACTGACTATATTATGCATTTCTCCTACTTTCTTCTCTTGCTTTGTGTGCTATATGAAGGGAGTGTGGCGACTTGAAGTGCCGCACATATGTGCAAAGTTCTATGTCGAAAACAGACAGACAGACAGTCATTCCACTGTCAAATGTCGAGTATACTACTCAGCAGTTTTTCCTCCCATCTCATCTCTGTAGCTCATTTTGGCTATAACTCACAGCAAATAAAGGCTCATTCATTTCTTTCGCCCTTCATTATGTGAATATATATATATATAATCTTTTCCTTTAATATATGTGATTGTTTCTCAAATTTAGGTTGCTATGGTGGAGACAGATCGATTGAATAAAATGACTGCTGTTGTTCAAGAGGAAACAGGTCTATCCTGTGTTATATGCCATGAAGGACAACGTATTGCTCCGAATGAACCACTTGGTATTTATGTCTACGTTCGTCGATGTACACTAGAAGAGAATCTCTGTATGACTGGTTGTGAATCATCCAGTGGCAATAATCCACCACAGAATATACCTGATGGTTATTCAACTTTGTCAAATTTTGTAATTGTACATTTTTCATGTCATACAAAGGTAAGTTATTTTTTCCCTTATTTAATATTTATGTATATATATTTAGAATTCACAGAATTTTATATAAATACTGTGTACCTTTTTTTAAAAAAAAAGGAGAACTGGAAATCAAATTTACTGCTGGAAAGTTATCTCATTCTAGTCTGCAAATGTGTGGTCACTTTTGAATTCATCTAGATTACTATTATTATTATTCGTTCCGAGTGGAACTTGGGGTAGCACATCTCCATTGCACCTGGTTCTCTGTTGCCTTTTTTAGCTGGCTCCACGACTGCCCACAAGCTTTCATTCCCTCTTCATATGACCTGCTCCAGTTCATCACTTCCTATCGGAGTCTCATTCGACGGCTTGGCGTATGATGGCACTTAAATGTCTCCTCCACGTATGTGTCCAGTCCATCTCCATTTCCGTGTTCATAGTTGTTGAGTAGTGAGATCTTGACTGGTTCTCTGCTAGAGTCCTTCCTTGCTTATCCTTCCCGGTCCGGTGTACTGTATTGAGGCAGTGAAGGCATCTTTTGATGGAAATCTGTAGAATTACAGTCTTCACTGTGGAGACATGTTTGTCAGTACATACGCTGGCTGAAAGAAGAATCTCACTCTGAGTTTTGTTTATCGTATACTTAAGGTGGAAGACTGTTAGTGGAAGCAGAAGAGTTGTTTTTCGGATGTTACTAATCGTTATACAAGGTATTTCCGCAGGATAAAGATTTCATACCCCCTCGTCATTACCATCAAAATTGAACAACTTTCCTTCTGCATCATCTCCTAATTTTATAGACATGCGGTACTGGTAATTGGACGCCAATGTGTTCGCCTCAATAATTTTCAACGAATGACTCTTAAGTTCTAAAATATATCTGACTGCAATGAACTCTAGTGTAATGTCAGACAGTTTGATGATCCTGTAGAAAAAATCGATTTATGAACGACATATAGAAATTATCAACCATATTATACTTATCATTAAATTATTTCTTCACATACTCATCAGACCATTATCTATCTCTACTTGCATTTTTTTTTGTAGTCATTTAGAGCCTCATCAGAAAATGAATGGGTAGTTGCTCAACGCCATAATTGGGATGTTGGTTGCAATAATATTCTGCCTATACTCAATCCACCAATTAGTATCAGTGCTACTTCGAGTACTGATAGTACATCAGTGGATAATAAAACTGCATCGAAGTCTACACAACAACAATCACCAGATACAGTATATAGTAGCCATTTGGCTAACTTCATGGAATTCATCATGGTAAGTTGGTTTATGTAAATCTCTTCTTTTTTATATATATACACAAGAAATATTTTTATTGAGGTGGGTTCCATTTGTTTACCCTAATTTGTTCTGTCGTCTTCAAAGTAATTAGTGGATTATTATACTTCGGGTTGGTTGTTCACTGTAATACTGTTACATTGAGTGATGATAAAGTTATACCCTTAAATACACCAGTTTGAATGAATTAGTTTTGCTAATCTGTGGCAGTAAATGTTGCTTGACAGTTACATCTAAGCAGCAGTCGTCAAAGTTGTGCGTCGGTGGTTCAGTGGTAGGGCGCTGACCGTCCATGCACGTAGTCCGGGGTTCGATTCCCGGCCGGTGCATTCCTTTACGTGCCTTAGCTAGACAAGGAGGGAGCGTTGGACATGAGGCTAGCCACCCCACTCCGTAACAACACCACTGCTACTGAAACTTCAAAGCTAAGGCTTGAAGCCCTATGTTCCACTGGGAACGTAAAGGAATAAAAAAGACGTCGTCGAAGTTACGCACATAAAATTGCGTTTTCATGGTTTTATGCTAATATATGTATTCTATTGCATTCAAAACACTTCGTATGGACAACTGAAAGTGATCAGTGCTTCCTTTTAAATAACCGCAAAAATTCTTAACCAGTCTATGAAATCTTCATAAATTGAATCTATGTCAAAAGTAAGAACAGCTGCAACAAGAAATTAACCATTTTAGTAGGAAAAATATATCCCTCCAGTTATCCCTTACTTCTTATGGTAGCAACACTTTAATACAGTTCAATTGACTGAACAGTAGTAACTAGTGTGATTGTGTCTAGTCCTTCGTTTGGTACAGGCTTAATTCTGTCAGTGAGGTTTGCAATATGGCCACCATTCTAGGTAGCTCGCCATCACGGTGCACTTTGAATTGTCGATATTAGATGGTTGGAGGCAGTCGGTAGGAAGCCTTGGACCTAGGTTTCGTGCTACATGGCGCTCATCGGTCAGTCAGTAAAGTGTATCTGCAACCTTGAAGGAACTCATATCCCTTATGAGGTTCGAACTCGTGTCAACCAGTGCTGCAGTCAGAGATGTTAACATTTAGCTATTAACTACAGTTCAACTGGAACATGAACGCTTGAAACCACCATGTAAAGAGTATCGTGGTTACACCACGCCAACATGCCATTTAAGTGGTTCAAAATTTCCTACAATCTCGACAAACTGTTGCACAATTCTATTGAAAATTACTGTTATCTAAGCATTTTAAAAAGTAGGATTTCAATGACAAAAAATCGCCACTTTGCTACAGTAAGCTGTGCCTTGACAAGATGCTGTTTACAGACAGCCGTTTGTACTTGTATATTGCAGTGGGTTTTTTTTATTCCTTTATGTTCCCAGTGGAACATAGGGCTTCAAGCTAGAGGCTTGAAGTTTCAGTAGCAGTGGTATTTATTTTTACGGAATGAGGTTGCTAGTCTCATACCCAACCTTCCCTCTTTACCATTCTTATTTACTGGATTAGCAAGGTTTAAGGGGGGTGTTGGCCGGGGATCGAACCCTGGACCACCTGTGTGGTTGGCGAGCATTCTACCGCTGTTCCATCATCGACGCACCTGTGGTGCTCATTCAAAAGTAGTTTATTTCGGGGATATGCTTTATCCTCACCATCATCATCACTTGCTGCATTTTAAGGGCTTGAGATCATTCTTATTTCTAATTTTGTCCAACTGTATTACATGCATACTTTTATATATATCTTCACTTCTTCATTCTTACAGCGTAAACTTAATATTTGTCCTGGTTACGTGATGGCTCTACATGATATCAAACTGTTACTGTTGCGTTTCGCTTGTAACAAGACATTCACTGTTGAAACGGGTGGCGGTGGGAAAGAAAGCAATATGCAGTTGTTGCCACATTTAATGCAGGTAAGTAAAAAAAGAGTACATTTTTCCTATCACTAACTATACTGTTCTTTTTTGTCATTATTACTGGGCTGTTAATAGTTGAAATAACGTCTTGCCGCGTTTAACTGAATTCTTATTTATAGTCAACTTTACTGATAACTTTGTAGACTCGGAACAAATACTCAAAGTGTGTATGGTGGTAGTGGGGGCGGAGGGGGGTTGTTTCATAGTTTGCGTCGTTTAAGTAGTGCTGTTTATTATTATTATATTATTATTGTTCCCTTGGGTTCCTAGTGGAACATAGGGCTTCAACTGCACGTCTCCACTTGCTTCTGTCTTCTGCTGTTCTTTTCACTTGCGTCCATGTTATTCCATACTGTTTCATCTCCTCCTCACACGATCTCCTCCATGTCACCCTTGGACGTCCCACTCGCCGCTTCCCTTTCGGGTTCCACTCGAGGGCTTGACGCGCGATGTCACTCAACGGCCTCCTCAGCGAGTGTCCAATCCATCTCCACTTCCTCCTGCATATTTGTTGGGCGATTGGTTCCTGTTTCGTTTGTTCCCACAGCTTCTTGTTTGTGATTCTTTCTGGCCATCTAATCTTCAGTATGGAGCGAAGACAGTTGTTGATAAAGGTCTGCAACCTGTTGAAAATATTCTTGGTGACCCACTGGCCAAGTTTCTGATCCGTAAAGCAAAATTGACTTGACGTTTGTATTGAAAATCCGAATTTTGTTGTTGATGGTGAGTGACGAAGATTTCCAGATTGGTTTCAGGTTGATGAATGTGTTTCTCGCCTTCCCGATTCTCGATTTGACATCCTCGTCCGTTCCTCCTGTGGTTGAGACAATGCTCGCTAGATAAGTGAAAGAAGTAACCTCTTTCAAATCCCTCCCGTTGATGGTGATTGGCACTGGATGTTGCTGCTGTTGTTGGTTGGTTATTTTCATAACCTCCGTCTTGTCTATGTTCACCTGGAGTCCTGTCTTTGCTGCTTCTTCGACCAGTTTGTCGGTTTTTGCTTGTAAGTCTTCGATTTTGTGTGACATCAAACATAAATCATCCACGCGCGAAATCCAGGTCTTCTAGGTTCTTCACGTCGGTCCAGGATATCCCTGTCTTCTCGTTTCCCACTGTCTGACGCATAATCCAGTCCACCACAATTAGGAATATCATTGGTGATACTAAGCACCCTTGTCTGACTCCTGTGTTTACTGCAAACGCCTCGCTGAGTTTTCCGTTGTGGATCACTTGACATGTGCCGTTGTCGTACAGCTGTTGAATAAGGTTGATGAATATTTGGGGTACGCCGTAGTACTCGAGTAGTTTCCAAATTACTTCGCGGTCAACGCTGTCGAAGGCCTTCTCAAAGTCTATGAAGTTGAGGTAGAGATTTGATTGCCATTCCATGCTTTGTTCGATGATAATGCGTAGAGTTGCAATTTGGTCAGAACATGATTTGCCTTTCCTGAATCCAGCTTGTTCTGGTCGGAGTTCTGTATCCAGTGCGTCCTTGATTCTCTCCAGGATGATGCGACTCAGGATTTTACTTGGCGTCGACAGGAGCATGATTCCTCGCCAGTTCTTGCAGAGTCCTAAGTCGCCCTTCTTTGGTAGTTTCACCAGGTAACCTTTCCTCCAGTCAGTAGGCACCTTTCCCTCTTTCCAGATCTTTTGCAATAATGGAGTCAGCATATCTGCCGTCGTTTCTGGGTCCGCTTTCAGTGACGTGCTGTTTAGTATCTATGTATTCACCTAGCATTTAGGCTCAATGTTACCACAGACTATGCTTAACTCCGTTTTGAGGACATTTCGTGTATTTTATTATATGTGCACTTCGAAGTGTTGTTTTGCA